AAAGCAAGCCTTTTTCAATCCTAGATACTGAACCTGACTAGACTATTTTAAAAGATACGTATGAAAATCACTACAATGTACCAGATGATGTTGGTGTTTCGTCATCCAGACCGGACGTATTCCCCTTTTTAGGCACATCAAACATAAGTAAAGTACTAATAGAGCTTACTGTATCATACTAACATATTTTTTTTTCCAGCACTCACACCAATTAGCCTAGCCCCAAAGTAAGCACTGTAAGACTTGTGTTATGGGATGCTAGGGTAACGGATAGAATACATATACTGTACATACATAAGTATATTTATATAGAAATACATATTAAACATCCATGACTGGAGTACAAATGCTCGTATTCACCACACAAACATCTGCCCCCACCGGGATTCGAACCCGGGACCTCTCGAGTCGGCGACACCATGAAACCCGGCGTACAAACCACTCGGCCACGGAGGTCGACCGAGACATTCCAAAATACCTCACAATAAAATTGAATAAATATTACGATCTTACCAACGAACTAACCAAAAATGGCTATCTAGTTAATTTACATGCGGTAGAAGTAGGAGCGAGAGATATACCAGCAAAATCTTTCTTTAACCTTCTAAAAGACCTCGGCCTATCGAGAACTGCAGTAAGTTTAATTTTGGAACGAGTAACTAAGGCTGCACTAACAGACTCCTATCAAGTTTGGCTAGGAAGGGCGGGCAACTCAAGCAGTGAAGGTGAGCGTTGATGCGTATCTCAAAGGGGGCCTCCTTAAACCTACACCGGATGGCAAGGCCCGGGAACTGCTCAGAGTTTCTCTCTCTGCCACACGATGGACTCGGCACCCGCACGGTGAAACATGGATTGTTAAGAATTTCGTCTCACATACAATTAATGAGAATAGATGTCATCTTATGATCTTTTTAGGACTTGTGCTAGCTAGTAAAAAACTAATTTTCGAATAACTTATTTTTATGATGCTTCTAAAACTGTGTTCTAAACGGGCCATAGTTGCCCGGCAATGTGTGGCTACGATACATGGCCCGGCAAAATTATATTTTTAAGAATACCTTAATACTTGTTAGTTGTACACACAGTAACATTATACAGACTGCACACTTTAAAAAAATCCTTATTACCATCATTTTACGCCCAAGAAATGCTTAACGTAGGTACGTACGAAATCACTTCTCTGTTTACGAGTAGTCCTATCGAAATTAGAGCTTTAGTAACGAGACTAATGAGAGTGATGTGCGATTCTATATTTTTTTTAAATTTTATATTTCGTTTTTGGATTATTTATTATTTAATTTTTGGTTCCGAAGCTCCTCGATCTAGGGGGGACCTCCTGCCCGTACCTGGCTACGCCCATGCAATCAACTGTAAAAATGTTTTTATCGAAGACTGTAAGAGAAGATAAAAGAATACGTCAGCCAGATATACCAACAGCATTCCTCAATGGGAAAGTAAAATCAGAAGTATATATTAAAGTACCTAAAGGATTGAAAACATAATAAAATATAGTTTTAAGACTGAAGCGTTCATTATGCGGTCTTAATGAATCGCCGCTATGTTAGAATGAGAGGATAGATACTTTTATGAAAGAAAATGGATTTTGTAGGTCAGGTCATGACTCTTGTCTATATTTTAATGATAATTGCTGGGTGATTATATATGTTGATGACATTTCAACGATGGGAAATGATAAATTTATATTAGAAAAGCTAGCGGAAGAATTTAAAGCTAAAGATATGGGTGAGTTAAGTATATTTTTAGGTATGGAAGTAACAAGAGACAATCATAAAATGATTATAAAGCAGACGAGAATGATAGACTAGATTTTAGCTAAATTCGATATGGCAGAATGTAAAGGAGTCAAAACACCTATGGAAACAAACTTTAATGTGAAATTTGAGGAAATAAAAATAAGATTGATGTGCCATTTAGACAACTTGTAGGAAGTTTATTGTATTTATCTATCACTTCTAGACCTGATATCACATTTCCAGTCTCATATTTGAGTAGATATTTAGATAAAGTTAATGAAGAGTTATGGAAAGCTGGTAAAAGGATACTACGATACCTTAAAGAAACAAAAAACAACGATCTATTATTTCAGAAAGGTGATGGAGAATCAAGTCTTCTTGGATATTCCGACGCTGATTGGGCTAGCGACAAAGCAGATCGGAAAAGTATTAGTAGTATAGTGGTGGCCTAATACTGCATGGTAAAAGTCCGGTTTTATGGTTTTCTAGTAAACAAAAATGTGTTGCTCTGTCTACAGCAGAGTCGGAATATTTAGCAGCAGGTAGTACAGCTCAGTGGTTGATAAATTTAAAAGGAATTTCAGAATGTTTGGGAGAATCTAATTCTATAACTTTACTTGTAGATAATGTAAGTGCTAATAAGCTATATCTAAAAGTTATGAAAATTCAAAGAGAACGAGGGTCTACCCAACACGGAAAAACATGGCAAGGGGTCTACGACATAAAAAAGTTTGGGGAACTCTAAATTAGAGTAACACTTAGGCCCGTATTAAAGAAAGATTAATTCTCAGTGTTTGATCTAGTCTTGAGCATAGTTAGAAAGGGAGGTCGCTATATATAGCACATAGCGATATCCCTTTCTAACTGTACTCAAGTAAAGATCAACACTTAGTTGTCATTTTGCAATACGGCCCTTAGACTGCTAGGACTAGACCCGATTACCTATGAAACTTTATTTATGATTTTAACCATTTAGAAAATTAAATAAATTTTAATACTTATGTGGCTTCGTATATTTGACAACGATTAGCTATACTTGCGTCCAATAATAACAAACAAGCAAGGGTTATTTTTTTTGCTCTTTTTTCGGCGTGCATCAAAGGAGCACAGACTTTGGTAAGCGGTTGGTATGAACTGCTCGAGCAGTTATCAATGGTAGCTTCAAGCTGTTGACTGAATGCTCGAGTATTCATACTTCAATCGATTTGTCTTAATCATGTCAGTGCTAATAAATAAATGATCGTGATCGAAATTAAATATAGGGACAATGTGGCGCCATATTGTGGGAAAAAACCATAGGTTGAGATAATTGAAAATCATATCATCACAATACATTGACTATATAGGTATAGTAACCAAACCACAAACTTATCTATCTACTTTAGACCACGTTCCTTAAACATCATTGTAAATAGGAGTTTGCGAATTGTAGCCATTATATGACGATCTCATTTTTGAACGTCAGGATTTTTTAAATAAATTACCAAGTAAAAACAAGGACAACCGCTTCAAACCACTTTCATTGGATATAAAATCTTTCACAACAGCTCAAACGCCAGAAGAGGTTCTGCTTGCGACGTTCAGTTAACATTTATCGAATATTTAGGTACTTATTTTACTTAGTTGGAATGGAACACAGGCAGAAATAAGAATCACGAAAAAAACGAAAATAAATATGTAGGTACATAAATATCTCTAAACCAAAGCGCGAAAGGTTTATTTCATTCTTTACGCGACATTTGGGTTTTAGGCCTTGTGAGCTTTATTCAGGAAACCGGTTACTTTAAATTATAAATTATAAGTCAGGTCCATATTTGGGCTTGACCTTTGATTATCAAAGGGCTTGACTTAATCTTATCGATTCAACTTGCAAGTACCTATACTTAATTGACTTTACTGCAAAAAGGTACAAATAATGCTTGATACAATGTGTTATTAAATTAAACCGCAAATAATACCTATTTAAGTTTTTTTACTAAAGGTTAAGGCCATAGGCAGCGAATATTTTTTTTAAATGAATGAAAGTTGATGCTATCATTACTATTAATATCCTAGCAATAGCAATAAAATGACACAACACCCACGTTACTTTCACGAGCATTAAATTAAATTGAATAACACTTTATCAAGCAAATTTAAATGGTATTGTGTAAATGAAACAACAAATGAGTTGTGTTTTGTATTTACATATTTTTTTTACATACATTTCAACATTTTACAGACTACGGGAGCTCTTTTTAATTCGAGCAACGAACATTACATAAACTAACACGTAAATCTAAATCGTAAAAACGCGACTTGCATGAGTCAATCTATCGGGTCCGCGTATGGCTATAGCGGAACATGGCACACGAGAATCAATAAAATCCCTGTGTGTGCTTACAAAACAAGAAATGTGGCAGTTCCCTTAGAAAGTTTGATATTGGTACGAGCAACGCTTAATTTTTTAGGCCGCTTCCAACTCCATTTATCGTGCAAAGGACGTTTTGGTCTTGTGTGCCTTCTTTTAAACAAGGGTAGTTAAAAACACTATCAGTTATAAGTACGTACAATTATACACCCTCAAATTGACTTTGCACTGACGACTATCTACCTAACAAGTTAGTACTATCTACATACATTATACAAACACCACGTTGAGTTGGTAATCTTTGGTTTGCCGACAACACTTTCAGTGAAATTGGCAGTTAGCCCGGTATTAGAGTTTTAAAATCTGAATGGCCGTTATCAGAAGTTGAAAATTCGTCGAAAACTAGTGAAATTGCGTTATAGTAGTCATTTTATTTTATAACTATAGCATTAATTTGCCTATAAAAGACTAATTCGGCAGATCTTACGTTTATCTATAACTTTTAAGTACAAAGAACACTAACTGGTGAGCGATGCCAGTAGAACGTAATGACAGAAACTTGATACAACTGTCTGCTTAGTGTTCGACTGTCGAACAAAGTGAACGAAAACTCTATAATTTACGGCGCTCTACATGTATATAGGTATATTTGCTTTGATACCTCATAACGTTACCGTGGTCAGAACATCAACATTGCGAAACATCAATTTAATAACAAAAACAAACTATTTACACGCTATTAATCATTAAAATATCGACATTTTCTTAATAACATAATATTTATTCTTATATGACGAATAACATTTTTATAAATAATATATGTAAAATTAAGTCGACAAGATTGTTAAAAAATAGTATCTAAAATGTAGACTGGAATTTAGTAAAATAAATGATATGTCCAATATATAAAGTTCAATGTGATATGTCAACTGTTAAAATTTAATCCGAAAGTTAAAAATGAAAGGAAGACGTCGATATTTTAACGTGCCAGTAACATTAACAGCTGACTGAATCATCAGCGACTAGAACAACGTTTCACGAGAGTGAGAAGCCTTGTCTAAAGACAGTGGCAACGGCGTCGGTCGGCTCGAAAGCTCCGTGCACTCGCCGACCATGGTTGCGTCGCCGCCGCCGCTGTCCGTCGAAAACTGTTCCACCTCGTCATCCGTGGAGTCCACATCGTCCTCGGCAAACACTGAGTCCGCGCCTACCGATGCTAGTTCACACTCCACGGCATAAGAGGGCCCCACACTGCCCACTGACGCGAGAGGTGCGAGTCTCTCACTAGGACATGGTGACAAACGACGTTCGGGTAGCGCGCACACTACTGAAGATCCGCGACGCTCCAAGTAAGAACTTCCTGAGCTCGAACAAGTGGCAGAACTCAACCGCCGATCTCGCGGGCCGCCGGATGCTCGCCTCTCAGCAAACCGTAACGCAGAGCCTGGTAAAGAATCTCCACGCAGTGCGGAGAGACGACGAGGTGGTGTCAGCAAACTACCGTAACCTCCCCCGTACGAGGCGAATCGAGCTGTCCGCGGCCACGGCGGCTCTTCAGTAATGGAAGGCCGTGAACGCAGGCGCTCAGATAAAGCTTCCTCCAAGGCAGCTGTTAACTGCCTTTCCTCTTCAACCGCCTGTTCCTCCGCAACTACAGCCTCTGCTAGCTCCACAAGTTTTGGGTCGTTCAGCGCCTTGACCGATTTGCTTCTACTTTTGTAGACGATCAAAAATACCATGAGCGCAAAGAAGCCGCCTAAGGTGGCGGCTATGCGAACGCCCGTCATGACGTCGTAAGTGGCGTAGAACTCGATTCGCACTCGGTCGCGATCAGCGGACTGCGAACGCTCGGTGGCATTTTCGGACGCGCCCATCTCTCCTCTGCCCCATCCATCACGATGCTCCATCGTTCGGTCAAGTTTTCATCGCCTGCGAACAAAATATTACACAATGTTATCATTTCTATCGCTTTTGGAGATAAAAGTGCTTTTATGATAAGCGCCAGTTCCTCCCATAGGTAGTATTTGTAACGATTCATACTTATATATATAATATTAAGTACATAGACTAGGCGGGCCGAAGCTTAAAATATTATTAACATTTTGGAGTATTTTTAATAACAATAGTGTGATTCTGATGACGGGGTAAAGTAAATGAAAAATAATATTTAGTCCGTCAGCTAGATTTATTAAAAAATAATGGACACTTATTTTTTCTTTTGTCAAAGATAAAGCGCTCAAAGCTTGGGAAAGGGGGCTCGTGACGACTTCTAAGTAAAAATTGACAAGACGACCAAGACGTGACGTAATGCGACATTTCAAATCAATATACATAATTATATCTGTAATGTTCTGACTTTTGATTATTTGAAGAAAGAAAAAGTACGTGTCCAATACTTTTTGATAATCTACCTATTAGGCGACGAAAAAAAGTTAGTCGTCGTCCCTATTAAGTGATATATAACATACAGTTGTACGATAATAGTGGGCTGGGGTATGGGAAACCAAATAACAATGTTGTCGCGCGCGACGCGATTTCCGTTCACAGGCAGAGCGTAGGGCGGGCGGGCGGCCGGCGCGCCGTGCCCGAGTCGACGTATCTGGGACACAAGCCGTTTTGCTGCTACGCTTTACCTGCTTTATTTTGGATTTGAGGCAGTGAGAATGGTTATACGAAAGGATTATTAAACATTTTACACACAAAGCGACACAAGTACCTATTATTTTTAGTAAGACAGAGGATTTTTACTCTCATTGGAAAGCCCGTCTGGGAAAGTTACCTACATATTTCAGAAAATCTTTCAGTGTTGTTGTTTTTTGTGTTGGCGAGTAAGGTTCCAGAGTACATCAGGATAAAGGAATCCCCTATCCTCTAAGGGGATCATGTGCAGTAGGCTAGCAAGATCTTCATTAGATTGGGTTTCATCACATTAGACGAAAATCTCTTTCTTTCTGTTTTCTGTGGCCTTCATGGCCAAGGGTACAGCGATTATAATTAATCTTCCATGTCAGGGGCTTTTTATATAGTTGATGAGCCTATTATGTTTTTCTTATACTCATTCCAATGCAGTATTGGAGAGACGGATGCGGACATACAATAGAATAGAATAATATTTATTTGCGTTTGAACAGGGTAATCAAGGTTTATGACATAGTTACACATAACCTACATTAAGGTTTAGCCTATTCAGCTATAGACCGTGGCATACAAATTTACATAAGTTTTTTAAATAAATTAATTAATACTATGTCACATAATTGAATAAAAATTAATTAACAAGACACAGAATAAATAGTCAAAAAAATCGATTAAAATCAGATCATATTTCAAATATGAATCAAGAATTAAATCAGTATATGTCACTAAAAATCTTGTCCACCAAAATTAATATTATTTATATATGTATTAGCTATTATAAAATCAAGAATATTATTATGAAGAAGGCGGCTGAAACAAAGACATTCCTCTATAAAAAAAATACGATGTGAAAATTATTAAAAAATTGCGTTCAAAGATAAGTGAAGGCTATTGTTATAAAAAAAACAAAGCAGTATGTAAGTAGGTGGTAATGGTAACAGATAGGTCAGGCTGTTCTATTATTATCATCTTAAAATAACTCTCACCTTTCATTAGCTACTACGCAAGTGATTAAAAGCAAACTATCAATTTGCATAATAATAATATGGTGGGCATTATTATGTAGAGCAGGGTTTCTTAAAGTGAGACCCACAAACCTGAACTCTAAGGGTCCGTAGCATCAGCACTAGCTCGGTAACCCCTTTAAATTAAGTAACTATACGATTATATTTAATTACTGTAATGAACTACCATTAAAATTGAGCTTTTCCTAAATATTCTTTGCACTCACATTGCTGCTATCCGGGCCAAATAATAGGACACTTATTTATTCCCAAAAAAATAACCGTACAAACGGGGGGGACCTTTAAACAACAAGGATAATGCGATATTTCTCAAAAATCCTTTACCTTCTCTGTTCACGCTTTTAATTTAAAAATCTAATTATGATTTAAATTTTAAAATCGTAGATGTAACCCTTACCATAGCCACAATCTATAGATTTTCTTTATTTTTTTATATTATTTTTTACGCTGTATTATTAGGGTTAATAAGAGATATATGAACAGACATCGGACAGAGACAGCCTTGCACGCTTTCTGTTCTACAACGTGAGAACGGTCAGTCATATGAAAAAAAGTTTTGAACAAAAAATATGTAAAGCGCATATTTAACAACTTTCAATATAAGCCCCAATGCGGTTGGAGTAATAGGAAGCGCGAAGTTCGAGAAAAGTCATTTTTTGACGCATGACCTCGAATTCACAGCTGTTTGCTCACACAGTCAGATTAATATCTATGCTTACACTACACCCCTCAGATTAATGTATGCTTACACCCCTCCTATTGTGGATTTTGATTTGACGCGTTACTTCCTATGTCAAAAGAAAGGGCCCTGCAAAATTTCAGCCTGTTTACCTCATATGCCGCGGTGCAAGTCTTATTTGGACTGGACTATAAAAACAATATACGAAGTATGGCGTCGCTTTGGGCAACGGGTCGCCGCCCCTGAATCCATCGATGAGGTTGAAGTAACGGCCACGACCACTCTGCCCAGAGTGTAACGACAAGGAAGAAGAAGAAGAATAAAAACAATAACCAACATACAACTACATATAATCTTTTAAAATGAACAATTCAATGTTATCGTAATTGCGTAGTCGGCGGCTATTATACTCACACCTCTAAATTTTGCAGTTGATCGATATATTGCACCCAACAAACAATGAGACTAAATATAGCTATGCAGGTAGTAAGCAGAATGTAGTAAGTCGGCCAATGCGGACCGTACACTGATAAAAAGGAGATCTATTTCAAACGTTAACTAGTTTGGCTGCACCAAGGTACTCTATATATGAACCTCTGTATACTTTTGTTATTCTCATTCTTAAATTATTTCATATTATATTCTCTCTTTGTTAGGACGAAGCCAACAAACAGTCAATTAATTTCATTCCATCAATTAGCAGCCAACATTATGTAATTGTTCAAAAAGATACTTATTGTATTTTCAGTTTTGAGCCGAATGAAAGGGTTTCTTTATCTTTAGCCTCCACTGTCCGTCCGACCGTCCGTCTGTCAGTGGGCTACATCTCATGAACCGTAATGGCACTTAACATCGCTAATCTTATTTGCATAGAATGAGTTTAAAAAAATATTCACATGGATTATAACACGCACCCGGGCTGTTATCGCTAGGATCATCTGACCATCGTCTTGTATGTTCGAAAGAGCCTCATAAGCGAACCGAGAACCATCTTCATACAGGTTTTCGCAGAGGTTGGCACTATGGTTCAGCTGATTAGGATGGATTGCGCGAATTATTTGCTTCGTACCCTTGGAAGCAGATTTGCCGTCAGAAGACCCTAATACCATCGCGGAGCTTGTCGCCGATGTGATTCTGCAGGTCATGGAATGTTTCATTCCAAATTCTGTGGTCCCACTAGGCGGCTAAACTCAGTGGTTCAGTAGACGGTTTGCCAAAGCCTCTAAGGTTAAGAGGGACGCCTACACAGACTGGGTTTTTGCTGTGGCAAGTAAGGTAGATAATTCATCTGACTTGAAGAAGCGGTATAACGCTGATTCAACGTCCCTTTTTCAACAGAATTGGCGAGAAACTTGGGAGCCATCCTGGGAGTCGTGCTTTCTGGTCGCTCGCCAAAGCTGTACCAGGTAATTTTTGTCGGTCATCGTTGCCATCTTTACGTAGTCAGGCAATTCTGTAGCCCACACTGCCCACGCCGGAAAAGAGAAAGTTGATCTCTTGGGCACACTGTTTGCATCGAATTTGACTCTCGATGTCGGGGGAAATCTTCCACCTACCATTGCAAGGTGCAAGAAGACAATGGCTGATATCAGCTTTACTCAAAGCACCGTACGGCTGCGGCAGCCCTTGCCCTCGATATCAGGAAGGCCGGATGCAATCCCAGCTATCGTATTGAAAACATGTGCTCCAGAACTGTCTCCAGTGTTAACGCGTCTTATTCCCACTCCTTTGCCGCTGGCATGGTCCGTTCGGACAGGTAGCCATAGTGCAACCCATCTCTAAGAAGGGTGACCGTGCAGTGCTTTCTAAGGTAATGTAGCGCGTCATTAAGAATTGATTGATGAAGAGTCTTGAAAAGCATCAACTGATCAGTGACTTACTTTCGCCGTGGTCAATCGGCTGGTGACTTACTCCTTTACCATACGCACACATTACGCACACCTTACGATAGGCAGATGATGATCGATAGCAAAGGTGGGGCACTTGCTGTCTTGATATTGGCATTTGATTAGGTCTGGCACAGGGCACTTCTGAAGCTTCCATCACATGGGCTCGCCAACTCGGCGATGGGTTATGCAAATGTATTGCAAGCTTTCTGACAGAAGGCAGCATACGAGTTGTAGTTGAAGGCGTCTCTTCTAACATTGCATCCATAAATCCTGACCCCCAATCAAGGTTCAGTTCTGTCGCAAACGCTGTTCATTTTGCATATCGCTGACTTGTTATTTACTAACAACAGCATTCATAGCTAACCCCTTTCTTCTAAAAACTTCGAAAATCTAGGAGTCGATATTTGGAATGAACTGCAATTCTGAGATCATTTTAAAGGAAAACCAAACTAGCTTGCAAAAAGCTTAAGAGCGCTCAATAGAGCGAAAAAATACTTAAGCCGAAACACCGGATGGTGCTTTACAAAGCACAGGTCCAGTCGCATATGGAGTATTGCTCTCACCTCTGGGCTGGAGCACCCCAATACGCGCTCCTTCATCTTGACCGGATATAAAGGCGGGCTGGCGGTTCGACATATCGATGAACCTGTGAGCACAGGATCTCACTGCGCCTTGCAACTGCTAAGCTTGCGCAGAGACGTTGCGTTTTTGTGCGTGTTGTTCCGACTATACATCCGTCCCGTGTTCCGGGGAATTATTCAATCTGGTGCCAGCGGCTAAGTTCCTCTACTGCTCTACACGCCCCAAAGGTAGTTTCACCCCTACCATCTGTATGTGGGTCGGCGTTCCAGCACCATGCGTTACACGCGGTCAATTTTCTTGCGTACCAGCAAGAACTCGATTCCCTCAGCAGTTTTTCCTCTTAGCTATGATGTGACGGTAAACCTTTTTCTTCACAATCGGTAACGCAGAAGTGGTACCCTTGGTGCTGCAAGTGTCTATGGGCAGTAGTGACCACTTACCATCAGGTGTACTAAAAAATATGTGCAATGTGTGTACATTATGGCAAATTAGCAATGCCGTGATTTTATACTCAGTTGCTCAGGTGAGAAAACCTTGGTTTTATTTACCTATTCAACAAATAAGACCAATAACAAAGACGAGTTAGTGCTGCATAATAAATGTTATTTAATTAACCTTGTATGATAGTTCGAGCATTCGAGTCCATAATGTGCGAGTCTTTTTATTATTATGCGTTACACTGCTGCATTATTAATATCAATTTAAAGATTTTTTTTCCATACACTATTTATAAACATTTTTCCTACATATAAAAGAAAATTCAATGAAAATTTATTTGTAGCAGAAAAATATCTTTACTTTATGACGACATTACAAACGCCAGACAGTACGTGACTTTGGCTCGGGTATCTGGTGGGGTTTAAACGTTACTATAATTAAGACTTCAAGGTAATTACAGGATTTCCTTTTCATTTGTGAAGCAGTTAAAGCAGTCAAGAGAATAAGCCCAGATCGAAGATAAAGGTGTTGCCAAAATAATTAAAGGCATGCAGACTAAAAAGTATTTAATAAATGAAATCAAACATTAGTAAGTGACCATTTTAGACCTATCCAATATTCACAAAAAATTGGCCAAGCGCGAGTCTGGCATTGCTCTATTTGGGCTCCGTTCAATGAACTAAGTATTTATGTAAGTAATTAGATTATTATTTTTCCATATTGTTATTGAAGCTATCTTATATCACAGACTTTTGAAATATGTAGTTCGTTTCCGAGCCAGACATCGCAACAAACCGCGAAAGGAAAAACATTTGTTTGTTCTTCATCACAACTTACAAAGTGCGTCATAATCATGAAACACTGAGTTTTGTTGTTTAAATACAGCATATACCAAAATTCGTTTTTGAGAGTGACAGCAATAGGGCTCCTCTATTACCCTTTGGGTACGGTACTCTAAAAGGGATAAGTATGTTTAAAACAACCTTTTCGGCCTCTACCATAGAAAAAACGTATTGCATATTGTTTTAAACTTTCATGGTCACTAACATTATAGTAATTTATGTTATTTACGCGATTGTTAGCATGTACCTTGTTTTTAGCGAGTTAAGATATTTCGCGGCACTGTTGCAAGCGCCATGATCACGGAGAAATCGCTAAAAACAAGGTACTTTGTAACAATCCCGTAAATAACATAAATAACTATAAAACGTATTGTAGTAAACGAATAAATTAATTTGATTAATAAATAAAAATTGTAGGTAATAAGTACCCAAAATTGCGAAGATTGTAATGTAACCGATCGAATAATATTTTATTGTTCGAGATGCGTATATGACGCGTAGCTTTTCTCATTAGCAATGATAACTAGCATAAATTACAAATAGCAATTTCTCATTCTGCCATTTGCTAAACACTGTGCGGCGGTAGCCGTCGGTCGGTAGAGCGGGTTCGTTAATAAACTGTCAACATTATTGTTGACGCTTGAAATGATATATTTATGTTGAATACGACTTTACCACCACTTACTAACAAGGGGCCAATCGCCTAACGGGATTGCTATGGCTGGCGCTATCGCTTATGATTTCATTTTGTTATTTCTGACCGCCTAAGGTTTTCAAATAACTCACGCTCATTTTTAACCGACTGCAAAAAAGGAGGGGGTGCTATGTTCGACTGTATATTTTTCTATAATATTGTTAGTACCAAATGCAAAAGAAAAATAAGAGTAGCATTAGCCTCGGTAAGGAACAACTGTTTCTTTACGAGGCTACTGCTTAACTGGCCAAAGATTTTATACCTATATTATTTATATTTTTTGGCTGTCTACACAAAATTGAATTTAAACTAAATGAAAACCTTAAATAAATTTTTCTAAATAAGGTTCTGGCTATGCCACACTGTTACAACACCAGTCTTCCTAGCAGCAGTATAATAGTTTGAGTGCTTGAAAAACGCAGCTGAGGATGGTAACTTGGCAGGTCATGAAAATGCATGAGATGGTACCTAACAAACTGAGGGAGAATTCGGAACCACTCTAACTAAAAGAGGTATCTAGACAGAAGTCCTTTCCCGAAAGCAGGGTGACCATTAGTGGTAGATTTCTGCCATTTGGTCAGATATGGTTTGGCACCTAAATTTTAACCCCAGCAAACTAACCTGATGAGTTAGAGGGTAGCAGTATTTGGTAGATTTCAAGGAAGTCTTAATTTTTTTTTAATACATTGTATATTATTGGTTTTTCTATTTGTAATGCACAAAAGGGTTAACATACAAAATTTAATAAAAGTTGGTTGTATCAATTGATTCCTCTCCCCTGGGCAAAAAAGTATCGTAATGTTCTCAAATTTGATTATAGTTTTTTAACTGTAGTCATGAAATGGTGCTATATTACATTGACTACTGTTTTTTTTTATTTAGAATTCAATTAATACATTCAGGATAACAAAAGCTTTTTAAGAAAAAATCAAGTGTTTTCTATCATCTGTAGCTATACTGCCGTCCTCAAACTAAAGTGTAGCTATCTGACATTTGGTTAATTTTTCAGTCTTACATTGCATCTTATACAATTTTTAATTCTCTATCAATCTGTCTTTAACGAGTGTTCGTATCTTTTATAGTTCGAGTCTAAAAATCCGTCATTTGATGAATGGTTACAAAATAGCAATAATTTAAAGTTTACGAGCCGTTTTTTGACCATATCTAAAAAGTTAATTTTATCACTTAGCCGCGTTTTAGCTTGAGGGCGGCAGTATAGTAAAACGGACATAGATGTTGCAGGTTTTCACGTTTTGCTACAAATATAAAAAAAGGTAGGTCGATTTAAGTGGTGGTATCAAGGGAGGGGTTTACCCCTACCTCTCCCCCTTTGCGTAAATGTATTCTGAGATATTCATGGTAGAAAATTGGAGATGGGGATTGTAATAAAAGTTAATATTACCTCCATTAACCATCTGACACCCAAGCATTTACAAATACTCTTGCCACTATGATCGAATGTACTTTACAAAGCATTAAACAGTTTTTGTTTCAAAAGCTGAGACCTTTCCTGTTGAATAAAACATAACACTGGTTTCACTTCATCAAATATTTTTTGATATTATTTGATAGACATTGAGCATTATTATTATTATCAATAAAGTAGTAAAACAATTTATTACAAAAAATCACATTTATTGCAAGTCCCTAACATATTAATAATAAATACTTGGGAATTGATACTACCTAAAGGTCAGTTGTCCGTTATCGAAATAAGAAGTTCAAAAATATTAAGCCTTTAGAGTATGGTTTATTTAGCACTTTGTAAAGGACGCCAGGTGTCAGGAGGTTAAACCTATTTTGTCAGTGTCACAACACTAACTTAACCTAACCGTCAGAATAATTCTGACGATGCAGACCTGAAAAGGCTGCGAAACGTCAATAAATAAATAAAGTTTCATGCATTAACCCGTAAAAACTAGTTTTATTTAATGAGTGATGTGCGTGAAAACCTAAGAAACAAATATGGGTTAAGTTAAGTTGTGTTGTGACTATAGTGACGCTCCATCGGCCAGCAAAGTGCCTGAAAAAATCCTCTTCATTTACCTACATCCTGTTATTATTATTTTTTACTTAAAGGTATTTTAAACCTTAATAAATTCATATTAAATGTAAAAAATACCACTAGGTTAGGTTAAGTTGTGTTGTCAGAATAATTCTGACGATGCAGACCTGAAAAGGCTGCGAAGTCAGAATAATTCTGACGATGCAGACCTGAAAAGGCTGCGAAACGTCAATAAATAAATAAAGTTTCGTGCATTAACCCGTAAAAACTAGTTTTATTTAACTTAACCCACCAATTTTTATATTAATTGTGAAGTAAATTCTCAATGGCTGCATGGTAATCATAACCTCACCTCTAGGACTATTAAAAAAATGTAACTTGTCTAAATCTTGTTAAAGAAGGTTATTTAATATGAAGTGTAAATTTTAAGCTCAAGGAAGAATGGTTATTAGGATAAAATATTAAATCTTTATTAGTATAATCAAGCAATCTCTCTTATATTGTGTGTCTCTCACTACGGAACATTGGCAAAATTTTTGTGTAAAACAGAAACAGCTACAGGACAAAAAAAAAGTGTAATTTTCAATACCTTTTTTCTATAACACTATGAGACTGTGCTATATGAAATTTTGCAGAATGACATAAAAATAGATCATATTTTTATGTCATTCTGTCATAAAATTACAGTCACCTAACTCAACAGTCCTTATTCTATATTTAAGCCTACGTTTTAATAATTTGTATCACTACATTTTTCTAATTAATATAATGAAGTGATTCTGAAAATAAAGGGTACAAGCATCATAAGTGTTTGCATTTGGTAAGTGTTAACATTATAGCAAATTTTTAACTATACACAATAATAGGGCCATTATAGTAAACAGAAAACCTGTTAATCAGAATTAACAAACATTGTATCTGCTTTTTTAAATGCACAAGACATTTGATAGGCCATGTTCTTATTATTATAGGAACAAAGTGGTTTACAATAAAATTCTATTATTAAATGAATATTGATTCATACCATGACTACAGATTAAGATTAAAAATATAATAAAATTACCAGCAGAAGAGCATGATTCGTAGCCTGCAGAAATCGAGCTTGAATGGTGCAGATTTATTTTGTACATGTCCTTAACAATTTATAAAAATAACGAAAACACCCGTTCATTGAGACTATTAAAATTTTAGCTACATGATGCACATTTTTTGCAAAAGAACTAATCACTGACCGCGAAATTATTGATATTCATTTTTGACACTGTTACTATGATAAAACGATTCAGAGAGAAAAACAATGATAATTTAACATAAGTACGCCTCATAACATTTAAAAGCGTTTTAAATGGTCATTATTAGAAAATTTTAAGATAACTTTCGTACAGAAAATCTATCTTATAAAAATGACAATGACAGCAGTCAATTGACATAAAAAACGGCTAACGATATTACGTTAAGGCAAAAGATACTAAATCCATAAAGACAAACCTGTCTACCATTTTTTTCTTTTGGTGTGTAGAATTATGTACCCGAATGGTATTTGAAGACAGTGGGCTAGACCACAGAGCTAGAATATGTCAAAGAATTTATACACCTTAGGGCTTATATAGGTATGTAGATAATTCAACAGATTCCTTAAGATAATAATAAAAAATATTGGATGTATAACATTTTTCCTCTCTCTTTCCTGCAATTTGTGGTAGTGGTTTCGTGAAACGGGACGGAAGTGTGTGCAGGAAAGCCAGAGGTAAGATTTTACACATCAAAAATCACCTAACGTTATTCAAAATTACAATTAAGTAAACTTTTATATATATATGTGTGTGTGTGTGTGTGTGTGTGTGTGGGTGGGTGGGTGTGAGTGTATGTATGTGTTTGTATGTGTGAACATAAATATGTGCGTGTATTTTATGGTATATATAAGTGTGTATCTTTATACTTTTTTAGGACCGTGGCAAGTAAATCCTCAGAATTTTCATAGTTTAATTTAAGCAATAATTTTGTGATCTCTTTTTTAATTCCATTTTTATTGAGATGTACTATGGCAATGCATCTACTGATTTTATTATAAATGAGTCCCCAAACAGCCATATGTACGTTGAACGTAGACCGTTCTGTAATTTCAATGATGTTTACAGACAAGGTTTAGTTTTTACGTTTTTACATTACTGTCGGGTCATAAGTGATTTCACCGTGTTTTTTAATTATGATAGCCAAAATAAAGAGCTTCCTGACGCTAAGGACCTCACATTACCTTAGAGCATTTATACCTGCTCTAAGCCTTAGACCATTAAACCGTGGTTTTATGGTCTAAGCTCTAAGCACATTACTGATATAACCTGGAAGTAATTAAATCCATGATTTGAAGTAAAATATACGATACAGAATTACAGAACCATTGCTGGTGGTTGGACCTGTAGTGAAAAGGTAAGAATCTGTATTATCAAATTCGTGCGTCAACGATTTATAGGTACAGTACTGACATTGTTAAAGTATTATAGTATTAATACTCAACTATTATAATGTTAGTGACCATGAAAGTTTAAAACAATATGACATTGTTAAGCCTGAAATATTATTAGGTATATTTGTTTGTCCTGTTGTGTTATGACGTTTATCAGATACTTACTTAAATGTTGTGACACGTCAGTGAGGCATCGGTTTTATACATGTAATACGGTATAGGTAGGAATATATTTGTGCGTCGCGATATGTCGATGAAATGCATGAAACCGATACCTCATTGACGCGTCACAATCATGACACAATACGACAGAAAAATAAATTTCCCACTTTAGCGACAAAATAGGCCGTGTGAGATATATATTGCGGTTGAGGCCTTTTATCTAATAACTACTGATAAGATTATTTATCATCGTAAACCTGGTTTAACTGTATTTTGTTTAAATTCATCATTTATTTCTTTTTTTGCATGTTTATTTGTCATTACTGTAATCATACTATTAAGTTAAGCAATACTAAATTCAACTGGGTTGTGGGGGCCTGGTGACCTGTAAAACGGGTTCTAACCTTAGTTCAGGCACCAGTCTCCATAGTCATATATTGGTGTCAATTCTGGCGTGATTCTCTAAACTTAAAACTAAATTTAGCATCAGTCTCTCGTATTCATTCGGTATAGAGAATGACAAGGATATACTGCTGTCAAATTTAAGTTTTGGGTCTTCATTGATTTCGTCGACAGAAGAGTCTAACCTTTCATCGTCACTTGTAGTATCAATTATAAAGGACAATGGGCAAAACGCACCCAGCTCCGCCGACAATGTAATGAGTATGAATCGATAGATCTATGAAAAACTAGCCTTTTTTATTATGACACCGATAATAAATATCCTGGGAGTCAAAAGATATGACACCGTAAAAAATATCCTGGTAGTAAATAGATATGACACATGGGCATATTTAAGTAGCTGAATAAATTTATTTTATAATACCTTCATTTTATATTATTAGTAATCATAATAATATGCCGTATCGTACTATAAAAACAGATATACGACAAAGCCTGCCGACCATCCTGCACTTGCTCTTACTGAGACATTTCAAAACGGTTTACGGATGATGAAGGCCTTGCAGTTGCAAATAGTCGACTCGTCTTACTTCGTTGTGATTGTGCACTCCCTGCTACTTGATTGTTTTTTATCTAACACGATTTGGATATTGGAACACGATTATCGGTTTTGTCAATTAGTATGGATGAACTGGAAGCGTGGACAAGTTTGTGTAATCTGTGGTCGCTCCGTTTTACATAGAAGACAATTTACTATAACGAACAGAATGTTTGAATGTTTTAAAAAAACCCAACCCATGCGGGGATGTTTGGATTTACACTAGCGCGGCAGAATAACATAAGGGGGCACCCTTGCACCTTGTGAAGTACTCCCATAATTCCAGAGCACCCTATGTAGAGTCGAACTAACTAACTATGTGAATTCCCTTGTTTCATTAATGTTCGTTCGTTACAGTACTTGTACACATTTAAATTAAAATAAGTAAAGACCCCCGGGATGGAATTTGATGCGCTTTGGCACAGATGATCTTGATTATAACACCTTTCAAACAAATGTAGTTTAAGCCGTGGCGGACGTGGGTGCAGCGCTCATACATTTTTGCCCAATGTCCTTTGTCAAGTTCTATATCCATAAGTCTATCTGATTCGAAATATTGGTCTTCGATTTTTTCTACGTGTTGACACGTTAATCCATACCGACGTTGTTATAGTGTTGAATGGTCGGAATTTACTTTTTGACGACATAAAATGATTGTATCATGTGCCTTATACCACACTTGTCAAAATAGTCTATATCCAAAAAACTCTTTCGCTCCCTTTTTTTTCCTGGAGTTAAAATTTTTGAATTGAAGTACTGAAGCTTCAGCTTCAGTACTTTCTCGAGTTACATGAGTGACAGTCTTCAGAAATACCTGAAACGAATAAATATACATATTATGATTATCCAACATACTCAAAAAACAGAAATTACCCTACACGAAAGCAAAATACTATGCAATGGTCACCCCAAAAATTACCTGTCAAGAAAGCAGTACGATTTGACATTTGATTTTAGTAGCGGTGGGTCGTTCTCAAATTTTCTGACGACGAAACGCAACCGTTTTCTCTTAAACGAAAAGTAGTCCTCGAAACGGTTCTCGTTCGCAACTGGATTTGGTTACGGCTGGGTGACGCAATGAAACGACACGCGACGGTCGAACGAATGTAACGCAACGAAACTGAACTAAATGAAATCTTGTTAACGTTCGTTTCGTTGCTGCGAACGAGACGACGAAACATCGAAATAAATGTAGTGTTATACGATAATCGATTTTAAATGTTCAATAATAAAGTTATATTATTGTAAAATCAAAGCTTAATTATCATAGAACGAAACGGCCTCATATCATTGCGTTCTATTATAGACTGTATTTACTTCACCATAAAGTACATATTGGCGTGCAGACAATCCGGACTAGTTGTTCGACGAAGACTGTTTTGATCCGAAACGTAAAACGGTTCTATCGTCGCGGAACACAAAACGGTCCTTGAAACCGGTTCGTCTTTAGAACGCTCACACCTAGATTTTTGATTTTAGGCTTTTGGAAGTTTTTTATGCCAAGGTTTACAGAAATATTGTATTTTTTGTAAAAAAAAACTCGATGTTTGTATTGTTTGAAATGTATATTATTTTATAAACTTTAACAGATTTATCCATAATGTCCAGTGACAACGAATGGCAAACTTACACTAAAGACTCCAGAACAGTTTGTAAATACGGTGCAAAATGTTATCAAAAGAACCCAGAACATCACAGAACTTATAAGCATCCTCCAAATTTGAAGAATACAACTAAAAACAAGCGTGTTCAGCGCAAATTCAGTCCTTATACTAAGAAAAATTCTGAAACTCATAATGACAAAATACCGGAAACTAGCGAAGTTAAGTTGCAGGCCAATAATGAGAGTGAGAATACTGATAAATCAAACCATGCTGAAAGCTTACCTGATACCCACAAAGTAAATGTACAAGTGAAACTTCCAGAGAATATTGAATTCTATGGAAAGAACTGTAACCAGGACACAATAAAAGAATTGTTTTTGGTGCATATGCCTGATGACTTTTACAAATTTTATGAATGTATGAATAAAGATGGGAATGAATGTGAGAAGTTATTAGCTAGTGTGAATTTGGAACTAATTGGTCCTTATGATTTGCTTAAGGGAAAACTACCAATTCTTGATGAAAAAGAGTTGTACTTAATACATTGGAGATTTTACTATGATCCACCTGAGTTTCAAGTGAGTTAATGAAACGTATTAGAAAAAGAATTACTTGATGTTGATGTTTTTTATATTCTCCTTTTATTAGGCATTATAAGAAAAAAAAATTCTTGAAAAAATTCCCCTAAAACCAGGCAGCAGACGGAACTGGAACCCGCACCCTCCACTATTCGAAAAGATGCACTGACCATTATACTACCGCGGCCCTAATGGCCTTGTCAAATTCTTTCTAGTATTTCTTAGGCTGTAAGACAGTGCCTGTAGCTTTCCTAGTAAAATTTTCTTTAGATTAAAACATCTAGCAGTAAAAAATAACAGCATTAACCAACTTAGTTTTTATATCTGAAGTTATACCTATTTTATTAAATCCAGACTTTATGGTTTTCAGACTGTATTAAAAAAGAGAGGGTCTAGTCAATATCATATTGGTTATTATCGAGATAATCCTGATGAGAAACCACAGTTTCTGGCTAGTAATGACAGTGAGAAAGATTGTAAGATTACACCAATTGCACACAATATCTTTGCTGCAGTGTAGTAAGTATTGTATGCAATTATGTTGTGTGTTTTTTATATTTTGTCCCTTATGTCATTTATAAAATATTTTTCAGTTACTATCTAGAAAATGAAAAGATGACATCACCTTTTGTGGCTATGGCTTGTCAAAAATTAATAGACATAATAAAAAAAGCAGCAGAAAAATATAACTTTTGTATTGAAAAGTATAATGTTAAGGACAGGCAAGGAAAAATTGCAACTAAAACACTACATGGTGCAGGTATAGTGGTACCTTACAACAAGAAAACACAGTTGGGGTATCGGCGTTTGACTGAATCTGATGGTAATTTCATAATTTGTAATATGAAACTTACATAAATTTTATTGTAATATGAGGAGCTGGAGAACAAAATGGTTTAATTATGCATCTGATAAAACTACTTATTTTTTACAGTCCAAAGGTTTTGGGCCCGTTGAATTTGAATCTCAAATAATTTTCAATCAAAACCGCCTAAAATAGTGTTAAAATTACTATATTTATAAATTAAAAACTATGCTAAAAGCATGCTGGAGGTATGACATTGAGTTTTATACAGCTTTTGTAAAATTTAATTTTATGTAATTATACCGTTTTGATTGCCAGCTCCTCATACATAACATATTAGTTTACAGACTGCAGTAGCACACTTTTTGAAAAAAATTCATTGTGCAATTTATGTATGAAACAACAACTATTTATGTATAATATAGTCTGGAGGATTCTATTCAATACAATAGGGGTGATGACAATTTTTTTTTCTTCGTCTATAAGGTAGATCATCAGAAACTATTAGACAATTTTTTTTCTTTATTCACATAATTAAAACATTACAGTAGAGTTATTTGAAGTTCACAATGGTGTAACATCTTGGTACAATTTTTACTTAGAAGTGACTAGGGATTGCAGTCACGCATTTCCTCGGCTTTTAATAATGTGCTGAATCCCGCACCTTAAAAGAGCGGATCCGCGAATCCCGCAAATTAAAAACTTGGCACTAAAACTTTCGCGTAAATAGCGCGTGCCACGAGCGCGACGTAGCCCCATCACATGGCAGCAGCAGCAGTTTTTTCAAAAGTTATCGCCATAGGTTGATAACATAGTAATAGCATCTAAGAGGAAGTCGTGATTTGCTTATAAGTTATTATATTAATAAAGACTGAATTAAAAATATAAAACTGTTTGTAGGAGTAAGTGTAAAATTAAACAAAACTATTAAATTATGCTAAATATTTAGAAGATGAATTTAAAAAAACAGATTACCAATTTATACACTTACACTTAATTAATAGAAAATTAATAATTTATATTGTGTAATGTAAGAAATGTTAAAAAGGGTTGATTTTTACACAAAAATCTGTAGTTTCAATTTGATTTTATAACATAATTTCAATGATGCGGGATCCATCTCAATCTCTAGAAGTGACATCACAAGGTCCCAAATTTTGTAATTTATTGGATTGACAATAGAAAAATAACTGTGTGACTTTATTTATTGATAATAATCTAACAAATGGACTTAATAGAATTTCATTGAATTTACCTCTGTCATCATCCCTATTTTGGTGATTGAAAGAAGGTACTATTTTGCATAGCAAAAGTATAATAGGTATTAGAAGAAGTATAACTTAATACAATGATTTTTTATTTTATTACAGCAACTCTGAAAAAAATATTTGATAAATTGCAGAATGCAGTAGACCAAGTTGAGAAAGATGCAGCTCTTTCAGATTTACAGCCAGTAATAACGTATGCCAATATTGCTGTGGACGAATGTGATTTTGGTACAGGTCTGGAGGCTGGGATAGATTTGTTTTGTTCTGGGTTGAAAGAATTGGAATCAAGTGCCTTGAGCTGCCTTATGTCAGCCTACAATCTTTTGAACAGAGATGCATTCAGCAAAATAATAATGGTATGGTTATTACTATTATTATTATTTATTAGTGCAGTTTATTTTTCACATATATTTTTTATCAAACTTATGGTCAGTTCAAACAGTGATATTTTGGGAAGGCTGCCAGTATCTTCGGAACCTTGTCTAAAGGGACTTCTTTTAATAATGTATTTTAGTTATTATATTTTAATTTTTTAAGGTTTTTAGTTTTAGGTTTATTGTTCTAGTATATATTTATATATTTTTGTTTTAAGCTATATTATTGATAAAAATATATTTGAAATTGAAGTTAACTTTGTAGATTGATAGATTAAAAATATATCATATTTTTAGTAACTTGCATAAGAAAATTGAAAATTTTGAAATATGAAAATTACGGTTTACTTTATGTGGCACAATAGACTACTCTAATCAGCGTTGCCAGTTTTTTTTTGCCAAGTCGGGATTTACGTACGTTTTGAGTGAAAAAGCGGGATTCTTTCGTTGAATGCGGGACATAGTAAAAAACGTACATTATCAAAAGTTATGGAATATTTATTTTCATTACGCGCCGGGCAGGCAGGCGGCCAGTCCTCACTTGTTTGTGCCTACTGCTCGCGCTTTCTCAGTACGCTGCACGCACGGTCGAGTTATTCTCGAAAAGCGGGATTGAACCGGTCCCGCGCGGGACATTAAATTTTGATTTAAAAACAGTGCGTCCCGCGAAAATCGGCATGTCTGGCAACGCTGACTAATGTTACTCTTAATAAAAAAATACTTATATCTTGCCTCACCCCTAAAGCTATTTTTATTTTGCAGGCCCATATGAAATATCGACGCAAAGGAGCAAAGCTTTCCATTCTAGATTTTAAGTGAGTTTTTTGTGAAGTTTCAATTTTGCTTTAATAAATATTTTGATTTTATGAATAATAATTACGCACCTACTTTTTTATATTTATTCAAAATAGCCCCCATTTTACAAGACATCTGGCTACACTCAGTTAAATCAATTCAATTTCAAGTTTGACTGAAGTTGACACAGTCACTTAGAAGTAGCAAATCAATAATCATGTATCTCAATGTGGGTGTCCACTTCCATGGAGTGATGAAAAGAGGTAAACCGAACAGTACTCGGGACCTAAGTCTTAGGGGTTAAAGGGGACCCTTTAAAATATATAGCGGAAGTTCCGCACGAATTGGAGCGTCGAATTGGGAGAGTAAACTCCACCTTACAGAAGACTTCAGTAAGTTAGACCACTTTCCAGGGCCTGATTTACCCATAGGCTAATAAGGCTGGAGCCTAGGGCGCAAGGATGTGGGTGGCTGGCTGGCGTGGCGCTGAACTGAGAATTACATTAAGGGCGTTGCTAACGGACGGTAGACAGATATTATCGCACTATATTATAAAGGCGAAAGTTTGTGGAGTGTGTATGTAAATAGGGGTGACGATGGGTGCACGAAATTGTATTTAGTCCGTCAGTTAAATAATCAAAAAATAATGGATACGTATTTTTTCTATGGTCAATCAACCAAAAAAATACATCGATATAGCTCGTCAAAATTTGGGAGAGGAGTCTCGTGACTTAGTAAAAATTTTACCAATACGTGACGTCATGCGACTTATTTATATAGCGACAGAGTAGTAATGTTTTATGGTTATGATTATGTGAATAAAGAAAAAATCGTGTCCAATAGGTACTTTTCGATAATCCACCTGATAGACGAAAAAAATAAAAGTCGTCATCCTTTGCTTAACTTTTATTTGAGCTTCAGGCTTGCACTAGATGTGGACAGGCACATCTAATCGTCGTCAACGTTGAACGGTGCGGTTTCGCGGCACGGTGCGTAGCCGCGTTGTGCTCTAGCATGGTATGGCAACGTCGCCGTATGACGGAACGTCTGATGGTGCCGTAAACCGACGTGGCTACGATACGGTCGCTCATTTAAGGTCATAGTTTATTAGACCCATCCGACCAGCGCCGCCTCAACTCGTGCTGTTGATATTGTGCCACGACAGGTTCCTAATCAATGTTTGTTAATTTAACGCATTTGAAGCAAATTTTGTTCTAATACATACTATAAACTGTTTTAATAGAAAATATTTGTGATATTCAAATGCATGGTCGGTAATATAGCCGTCTCTTTTCTTCGCGATCCGTACCTGCTATTTTGCTAACAGCGTATTCAGACTCTTCCACAGATAGCAATAAGTCGTACAATTTTACGAGCTTGCATATCGAACTTGCATGACGAGCTTGCATGTCGAAAAAACGACACGTTTCGTACTCTAAGTATTATTTTCGCATTTTTTCACGGAGCTTTGTGGCATCAACGGTCCGCACGTGACTGTGAACCAAGAAGTGCTTGAGTGGAGTTCAAGCACTTCTTGATTGGGACACATTTTGAGCGCTCGTGATGTATCTAAGGTATTTAATATCGTTGCTTGTGACGATATTTTTTGAATCTATTTATTTATTTGTCCATTTGCTGTCACACATAGTATTAGCCCTTTAGGGCGGCTTAATTAATTCCCTTTCCTTTATCCTTATTTAAAAATCTAAGAGAAAAAAAAATATTTGAGACTGAAGACTGTCTTTATTGGTATTTCAAAATTTTTCCAATACAAAAACAAAGTACATACATAAGAAAATAAAGTTGATCTCAAAATGAGGTGTCACAGATTTTGAAATTGGGTCGTATCATCGTCATACCTGCTAGACGAGATTATTTAAGTTTTACAGCACTACTAAGATGCAAATATAGCGATATTGGACAATGATCACTGCCATAAACTCCATCTCTGATGACACTGTCACAAATTGAAGGCAGCAATCTCTCCGAAACGATGAAATAGTCGAGGCGCCTGGAATAAATAAACAATAATGTAATGTAGAAAAGAAGCTACTGTTCCAATAATCCATCTCCAATCCCAGCCCCCCGGAGTTCAAAGTCAAATTCTTATTTGTACCACCAGGGGGTCAATCGCCTAACGGAATTGCTAGGGCTAGAGACGCTATAGCTTACGATTTTATATATCTGACCGCCGAATGTTTTCAAATACCTTACGCTCATTTTATTTTATATTGTTGTTACTAATACAAAAGAAAAAACAGAGCGCGGTGGATTTGAAAACCTTCGGCAGAAATGACAAAATGAAAACGTAAGTGAAATCAATAGCCATAGCAATACCGTTAGGCGATTGGGCCCAGGTTAGTTATAGCATTAACGTTGCGATCAGAGGTGGTGGCGCTGCTTAGCTACATATAAGTCACTTCCTGAAGGTAAAATAGTTAGGTATGTTTTTTAAACTGAAACTTTTATTAAACCGCCACAAATTATTCGTTCCTCTTTGCCGTCGCATATTTTTTTAAATCTTATCAAATCAATCAGACCTCATCGACAAGCATCGGTGGTACAGTGGTAGAATGCTTGCCTGCGACGCGGGCGGCCGGGGGTTTGATTCCCAGCCGAGGAAGGACTTTTTCTCACTTTCTATTTTCCCACTATATAAACCACTTCCGATGATTATTTTTTCACATTACACGAGTTTGATTCCCCCGGTTTTGGCAGGCGACTTTAAAAATCTGAGAATGCAGTTCTACTTATTATTAAAAATAAAATGATGTTTTCTTTCAGTCAAATATCCTATCTTCAATATTTAATATACTTTCCTGCCCTGTATTTCTAGGTAAACATACTTATGTTTGTATCTGTATATGTATTCTATCCGTTACCCTAGTATCCCATAACACAAGCTTTACAGTACTTTAGGGTATTTGGGTAAGCCTAATTTGGTTTGGGTGTAAGAAATATTGAATAGTAATATTATTAATTTAGAACTCACCATCCAACATTTTTAGCTCGACTGTTCATCATATAAGTCCAGAATGTGTAGGCACCTTTTGTATCGGGATATAGGTGTCGATATGTGTCTACGAAACCATCCCCGAGCAATTCCGTCATGCCAGCACGTTCTTCTTGAGTAAATCCAGCGTTTTTCTTATTTGTCTTAGGATTTGCTAGATCTAAAAAAAAAACGTAATGCATTTCTTGTTATAAATGGCAAGTATATTTTTTTGTATAAAGAATATCTGACTAATAACGTTGGTAGGTATTCCAACTACCTAGCTACACCGATATTAATAGTGAGAAGAGCACTATTAATCTTACTACATAATTAATTTTATCCTTCTGTAAGGTGTAAGTAACTCAAAGGAGGCGCCTTAACTCCATTATACCAGTTAAGCCAAATTACGCGAAGTTATTAAGGTACAAACCAGCAGACGCTCATCCATACTTTCGGTAGGTAGGTATATCTAAATAGTACCATCACTATTTCATAGTTGTACCAAAGCTAACAGCTCAGGACCGATTCACACGGGAATAGCAGCGACAAGGCGTGAGCACTTTCGGTGTGAAATAATTGTAAATTCTATCTACATTTTTGAACGACCAGTACAGCTTCAAAAGCACGAAAATTCGCGTGGGCCGTTAGCGACCTTTTCAAGCGATACTAATAAGTAGATATTATAATTTGAAAACTAATATCGCCGATGTGAAAACGAGTTAGCTGTCGCCATTATTTAAGCTGAACTGACCCTGTGCTATGTGTGGCGCTTAGATGTAACTTAGAATGAGAGGTCTTGTAAGCTGCAGTACAGCAAATCAATTGTAGGCATTATCGCAGTATAGTCATCAATATCTATCCTCGCATTTATAATCGGCAAGAGCAAAACGATTCTTTGTGAATCAGCCTTTACGTTAATGCCATAAATTATCCTATATTCTTTTCCAGGACCCAAACTTTTTCTAAACCAAATTACATATAAATCGGTTCAGCTATTTAGGCGTAAAGAGGTGAACAGACTTCGCATTTATATTATTAGTATGGAATTATTGATTTTGTTTATAAAAATAAGAAGTCAGTGAGACCGTAAAACCCACCTATCTCGTTGTGAGCCACGTTCATGTCGCCGCATATTATCACAGGTTTTTTTGTATCTAAATCCTTAACGTATTTGCGGAACGCCTCGTTCCACTGCAGTCTTTTGGGTAGAGTGACTAGTTTACGTCCTGCATTAGGAACATATGTACTTATCAAGTAGAAATGTTCGTATTCCGCAGTTATAATGCGACCTTCACTGTCCAGGTCCTCATTTTGCAAGCCATACTGAACATTCATTGCTAATTTTGATGTGTAGATCCCTACACCGGCATAGCCATCTTGGTCGCTGCATAACCAGTAAGCATGGTAACCAGGCACATTTACCAATTCTTCAGGGAGTTTGTCTTGTGCACATTTGACTTCTTGCAAACAAAGTATGTCAGGTTTCTCATGTTTTAAATACTCCAAACCCCCTTTTCCTAGCCAGGCTCTTATACCATCCACATTCCAACTGGATATCTTATAGTTCCATTCCTTGCCTTGCGCATTTTTAGATGAGTTAGCAAAGTCTAACTCTTCATAGTTGGTTGCAGCTTTGTTTTTCAGCGCCGCCTTTTTTTTATCTGCAGCAGGAGCTGAAAAACAAATTATTCTAAATAATTAATAGATATATTTACTTTTTCCACCCGGTCAAACTAGTTTGACATATGAATAATTTTCCTTGTGGTCAAAATGTCTTAAACAGTTAGTTTCTGTAAGCAGGAATAATAATACATTTATTTAAACATCAAGATGCATTGCCATAGCGCTAAGAGAGTCGTTTAATAGTGAATGGTAATGGAGACGGTTCATATTTGTATGGAGGGTAGTAGTCAGTCTTCGACAGACTCCAATTTTTAGAGACGTAGGGCACTTAATTATAAATCGACTATAACTTATCCCCGTTTTTTTAATAATTAATATAAAATTATTTATTGGCAAATGGCAAGCTTATTTATCAATTTTTTGTTGCCAATGCATCAAATATATTCTATTCAATAGGTAACTAAAGCAGTGATAATGATTCTGTTCATATTACATTACAATACTGGGTATTTTGTTTCAGGAATAATCAATCATAAATTGGCTTAATAAGTTCACCACGATTTCAGAATATCATGCATGACTGGACTGATTGACATTTGTCATAATGATTGAGCACAGACACAGAACACTGCATAAGTAGCAAACTGATTGAGTAGACGTTATATGCTGCTATACACTAAAAATATGACGGGCCAGCATCCTTAAAAATATATTTTTTTAAACACGACTTAAAATTTAATTTAAAAGTATCTGTTCATCTACTATACGTAAAAATAAATAAAGTTGGAGTGTCTGTTTGTATGTTGAAATAACCGCTTTTTACTATATTCAATGAATATATATATGGTACATACACCAAAATATTTTTTTTTTACAATTTTTGTCTGTCTGTCAGTTTGTTTCGGCTCATCTCTGTAATGGCTGGACCGATTTTGACGGGACTTGTATTGGCAGCTGATGTAATAAGGAGTAACTTAGGCTACTTTTATTTTAGAATAAAAAAAACCTAAAAGTTAACGCGGACGAAGTCGCAGGCGGCCACTAGTGTTATAATATAAAACAAGTTTTCAAATGAAATGTTTTGTTGCTGTCGGAAACCGACTACCACTTTTGAACGATCTCCTTTCGATCTACAATCTACTAGTCAAGTCATATTTGGCTTTTAAAAAAAAACCTTTGGTTTTATTTATTTCATAACTTTATCATAAATTTGTTTCAAATCAAATCGTACTTTTTAGTACCAACAAATTACTATACTGGTCTATGACGTAGATACAAGGTTATACTGACCAACAAATGGCTATAACCAAATGTAACTTATATAAAGTTTTGATTTTGTTACACAACTTTTAGAAGTGAAACTTCTTTACGCACGCTCGACTTGGGAGGTAAGCTGGCGAATGCGGTACGAAAAGTGTGTTCGGGCGAGGCGAACGGGAGTTAAGTGGGGGATATAAGCAAGAGAAAGCAGTGCGCGCGCACATTTTCTTTCTCTTATAGCTAGTCAATGAAAAATGTATATGTACATACAAGTATACATTGTACACACATATATACAGGGTGGTCCAACTAGTGACGTCAACAAATTTGTTTTAGATTCCTCGCACCTGGGGGTATCCGAAATTACCCTATTATTTCCGCGATTTTTCTTATTTTTCGAATTATATTTTTTTTAACCTAAACCTCGTGGTTCTCCTCGTTAAATGAAACCTCGCTGGCAGAAATCATTAAAAATACACAAAAAAAAATAACTCGAAAACAAAGAAAAATCGCGGAACATACATGGGGTATCTTCGGATACCCCCAGGTGCGAGGAATCTAAAAAAATTTGTTGACATCACTAGTTGGACCATCCTGTATACATATCGACAGTGGAAAAGCAGAATTGCCAATACGCCACTTTGGTGCTGCTTAAAAATGAGCTGAATTTCACTTTTTATTTATATATACATACAGATGGAGCGAAAGAAGTTTCACTTCAGTCGTGTGGTCATAAGCACACTCGTTTTTTTTTTATTAAATACACAACATTTCATGATCTGTCGAAGTTTTCGTTTCGTCTAATGCTTTAATAAATTAAGTCTACATTTTATTCCACCATGTAGTATCGAAAGCTCTTTTAAAAATAAATTGTGGTGACCATGAGCAACTACGGAACCCTAAACTGCGCGTGGCACGACACGCACTTTGCCAGTTTTTAAAAAACTTATTTTATTACAAATTATGATAATATTATTATATAGTAAATCCTGCTTACTTGATTTTGTGAAATTCGATCTTATCCCTAAATTCATATGCACATTAGTAAAACAAGGAAAATCATTCCCATTGGACAAACTAGTTGGTTAGTTTGACCACCAGAAAGAATTGATTTCCTCAAGGCAGTTTAATTTTTCAAATACTTTAAAATTTTTGTACAGTTCATTACATCAGTGTAACTCCAATAGAACATTATCATATAACTTAAATAGAATAATTAAAACTCATAAACTTATTTAGTTACAGTTGTAACTAAGCATTCCAGAGAGGCAGGCAACAAAATAAGGTTTTAAAATGTAGACCCAACAATAGTTGTATTAGAATATGAAAAATAAATGGCAAACTACAATTTCCTAATTAGATTAATGAACATTATTCCCATCTTCCTTTAGTAGTTAATAAGCCATGCAGAATGGTTTTACAGTCTTTAATTAAATTACTATGATAGAACAGAAACTATTCACTTATCAGAATATAGACAGCAGATAGTATGATTGAAAATAAAATAGCAAGGTGAGTAAATCAAATAAAAGCATGACCACTATATATTTTGAAACCATTTATTTTCTTAAGAAAAATATTAATGAACATTATTAAGTTATTATGTCAACATAAACATTAAATTAACAAAATTATTTACCCTTCTCTTCAGCTTGTTTACGGCGACGTTTAGTTGGTTGTTCCCCAGTGTCTTGAGGTTCCTCTTCTGCTTCAACAGGACTCTCTAATGCCTTCTTTTGCCGCCTCTTGCCTTTGGCTGGTTTCTCTTCTAAAGGCTCTTCCTCCATAACCTCTTCTTCTTTTGTGTCACCTAAATAAAAATATATCCAAGTTATGTTTTATAAACTAAGTAGTAAATTATCATAGTGGGCAGCTGTGCCATTAAGAAAGGAAGACAAAGAACTAAATTATTTATCTTACAAACCTTTAGCTTTAGTATCTTTCTTTGTGGTCTTCCTTTTCTTTGCAACAGGTTTTTCTGTGATAACCTCTTCCTTCTCATTTGCATCCTCCACTTGCATTTTCTTTGCTTGATTCTTCTTTCCCTTACTCTCTTTCTTTTTTGTGTCTTTCTCGGATTTATTTTCTACATTGTCATTTTCTTCTTTGACCTCCTGTTCCCCATTTTCAAATATTTTTTCTTTTCTAGGTTTATTTTGGGCCTTTCTTTTTCCTTTGGTAGCAACTGGTCCTGCCTTTGCCTCGTCTTCATCAGGTTCAATCTTTTCTTCCATAATAGGTTCACTTTCAACTTTAGCTGGGGTTTTACGTCCTCTTCCTTTGTTTGTGGTCTTTGACTTTTCCTTTCCATTTTCAACATCTTCTGGTCCACCTTCTGTATTCTTCTCTTGTTTAGTCTTTTTCTTGCCTCTCCCAGACTCATTAGTCTTAGCTTCAACATCTTTTTTTTGAGGTTTCTTATGACCTTTTGGTGCAGTTTCTATTTCCTCTGTATCACTATTAGTTGCTAAAGGGTCCCTTTCCTGGTCACTTTCATCTACAGGTGTAGTATCTTTTTCAATATGATTATCACCATTAACTGGATCACTCTCCTTTTTATCCTCCGAATTCTTTTTCTTGCCTTTTTTGGCTGATGAAATAGTATCATCACTTTTGACACTACTACTCTCTTCTCCATTTGTATCACTTACAACCTTCTTTCCGCGCTTTATCTTTTTTTCAGGTACGGATGCTGTCTTTTCAAGTAACTTAGGCTCTATGTTTTCTGATTCCTGTTCTTCTACATTTTTAGCTTTGCCACGACCTTTTTTGGGAGCATCATTTTCAGGCACTTTGACATCTGCAGCTTTCTAAAAATATAGAAATATTACTGAGCATTTAAACATTAAAGATTAATTTATACTGATGTACTCAGCTATGTTCATTAGCTTTAGGTTGATTGGGGTACACAGAAATATGACACTTTCTTTGAGATATCATTAGAAAAAAGTACGTGCCTATAATAGCATTAAATTATTATACGTCTCGGAGTGTCGCCGTTAAGACATTTTGTTAAAATTTTTAAGTATCAAATTATTAAGAAGAAGAAACATGTCTTTGAGCAAATTTTTATAGTAACTATTTACTACCTATATCTTGATGAAAATAGTAGTCTCTTACTCGATCAATCAGTTAGTTGTTGTAACAAACAAAGTAATGAAATTCGCGCAGCCATTGAAAAATCACTTTTGGAGGGAATGGAATCTGCCATGTGTTTACTTACAACCATCAGACAATGAAAAATAAAATAACATCGTATTATATGATATGAAAATCATTATTGAATAAATACTGACAGCGAAAGTGATTCAGGTTCATAACAAAGCGCGCAAACCTGTTTTTGAGTAAAACGGTTATATTTAGTTAGGTACTTATTTACCACTTGTACTTACCTTTACTTTGGTTGATCTCGGTGCCATTGTCACTGGTATTAACAGATATCACAATATTTTAATCGACACCAAACAGTGTCCCTCTACAAATGTTTTAAAAAGGCGGCATAAGCGGTGCGGCTAAAATGAGGCTTGCGAAAAGTTTCCGGCGAAATGAAAGTGACGTTTGGTTTGATTGACCGCGCTGACAGAGAGCAGGAAACACAGATTACAAAGATGTCACGAAACAGGAAACGCCACCATAGTTTATTTTTGTGAGCCCATGGAAAAAAGATTTTGCTGTAATAATATGGTAATGACCATCAGCCTTATAATATTCCCACTGCTGGGGCACATGCTTTCCCTATGGATGGAATTGGGAGATTGGGCCATCAACCACCATGCCCACCTGGTGCGGATTGGTGTGTGATTTTCCATAAAGACGGAAAAGGAGGGACATAATAATATGTTGAAAGTTTGAAAATGATTTAAAGAATCGACACCGTGGGCATACTCAGAGCATGCTCTCAGAGTCACGGGGTCCGCTAGGAACAATTCAGTGGACGTAAGTACTAAGCAAAAAAAACAAGTTACTGTGGAGCGTTAAAAACATTTTTTGATTAATATTAATAGGTCTGAAAATAAGTTCATTTGAACATTTTTCGAAATCTTGAGAGTAAGAGTAATGATTTTCACCTTTTATTAGGGTGCTTACATAAAGAAATAGGTTCTGGCACTGCTTCTCCATAAAATATATTTACAGTAGAAACGATTCTTAATCCAAACTATTTAGAATATACATATTGACCTACAAAATACTAACAATTTTGACGCTGTATACACTTAATATCCTTTGCCGTCCTAGAATCGGAAAATATTACCGAAAAAAGATGGTGTCATTAGTGTCATTGTTAAAGACTTTAGACTGTGCACGAAAAAAATTCGTTAATCTAAAGTAAGTTATCTGTAATAGTAGGATAGCTAATGGTGTCGATTCTGGAGTGATTCTCTAAACTTAAAACTAAATTTAACGTCAGCTTTTCCTTTTCATTCTGTATAGAGAATGACAAGGATGCACTGTTGTCAAATTTAGTTTTAAGTTTAGAGAATCACGCCAGAATCGACACCATTATCTTGATAAGCGGTCGCTAGTAAAAACGGTCCTGAGTGAGAAAGCACCCAACGGGAGTGTGTCCCTTTCTAACGTCTTGCTAGCTCAATCACAGACATATAATACTATAGCAGACGGAATATTCAGTTTTAAACAGCGTGGCAAATACACACACATTGAAACTCACCAAAGCATGGGCCGCATTCAGTATAGTAGAATAATGGATTTCATTATTGTTTCATGAAATACCTATCCGAATAGATAGGTCCTAATGTGATGTCCATGCTAATAATATTATAAATGTAAAAATCTGTCTGTTTAATATCTTCATGGCGAATTTAGTCATGCGAAATCGCTGAACCGATAATGATGAAATTGAGCACGGAGATAGAATTAACCCAGGGAAAGGACATAGGTACAATTAGGAAAATTGAAATAAAAATTTAAGCCATAGTTTTTATCTATTTATTTTAAATAATACAAGTTTTTTTAGAAAATTTTCTCTGAGATACATTTGTTTCTTTACATTGATGTTTACGTCTAAGATCAAAATAAAATTTGACAACAACTTTAATAAGCAAGTGGACATGGTTTATCTCATGATCTGGATTGTTCAAGTCCAATATTGAATAATCGACATAATCACACATGAATTTAATCAAACTATTAAAATCATTACTTTAGTTTATTTTAAAACAAAAAACACTTAAAACACTATAAGTATTTGGTTGCCAATCCTGACGTTTCATATATTTTAACCATGCATTCCGAGTACTTTCATCTTTTGGAAACCTAGAACAAAATTGTTTATGTGGTTATTTGGGTTACATACCTACCAATGCCAATGTTCCAAGAAATATGAATAGCTAGTCTGTAATAGGTACCTATCTTTTTACGATCTTCTTGATTGCATTCACATTAAAATACAATGCAATGCAAACAAAATTAATGCCGAGAAACTTTTTGTCTTTGATACCGAGTCCGTCCTCTGTTATGGCAACAGTACTTCAGTTGTCAGAATTGGAATTTCCTATCGTGATATATCCTGATTACTTCTATTTCTTTACTTTTAGGATATTAGTTTTCACCGGAAGTATCTTAGATAAATAATCCTACGTAAACAATGTTACATGTTACGATAATATTCAAATAAACTTCGAAAAGATTTAAAGACATATCAGTACACAACAAAGACACATAAAAACTTACTGATGAAACGTTAATCCTGGTGTTTTATTGTAGGTAGCACTTTCACATCGATACGCACTGTACTAGACCATAGTAATTGAATAATCTCGTTTTGTAATATAGTTTCATCAAAGCAATATTCTTAAATAAACACCGAAAAGTCGCATGTCCGATAAGTCATGAATAAAATGGCGGCGAGGAATAAAAATGACACGCGTTGACATTTGTTGATGTGTGTGTCAGTATTGCAATAGATGGAAGAATGAGATGCCACTATCGAGTTGTAGCTGAGTACAAAAAAGATAAAAGATCATGTTTTGATTCATAAATATAACTAGGTTTTATATTCCGTCTGCTATAGTATTATATGTCTGTGAGCTCAATTTATTATTGGGTTTGGTAGAAATGGTAGAAAATATCATCCTTTTCTATTTGCGATTTACTGATTAATTACCGATACCAACGATTCGTAAACCAAGAAACGAATTTAAACGTTTCTATGAATAATTAAAATAATCATTGATAGTTATAATTTTAATTATTTTAAAGCATGTAACTACTTGATGTTTAAATCTAAAGAAAATATAACTAGAAAAAAATCCACGCGGACCAGGCAGCAGACGGGACTCGAACCCGCACCCTTCGCAATCCGGGCGAATGCACTGACCAATTATGTATATTATGTTAGGGCCGCGGTAGCAGTAAAATAAATCTAAATACAGAGTAAAAATAGTATTTAAATGGTTGAGCCTGGTAATACTGAATGTAAGATGGTGGCCAAGCAACGCGTGCTAGTTTAAATACCGAATGAAACAGTTCATAGTACCTGTTGCTGGCAACACATTTTTTTTATAATTTAAAAAGTTATGTTGTTTTCCGTTTTCCTTGTTGTTTGTTTTCCCTGCAACCAGAAACTACAATCCACCACTCCAATAGCGCAATAGTAATTATGTATTATTATTTTTAAAACCTACATAACTTCGTTTGGACTGCGTTTAGAGGTATATGTATGTAATAGATGAGGTTTGTCATATTAATTAACACTACCTAGCCTTAAATACGTAAAATAATAAGTTTTTGTCGATGTAACAGCGTAAAATAGGTGCCAAAATTAGACATTAGCATTTATGTTAAATTAGTGGTAATAAGTCTGATGATACATTATTATTACACTAAGTCTTTGTATGATGCACTTAGCAAGTTTAAAAAATACGCCATGTAGTTTTTATTTTAACTTATCATCACAAATAACTTACATGTTTAGACAGTAGCAGATACTTAGCACAATCCTCTTTACAAGCTATATTAAATAACAAATCTTAATAACAAAATTTGTCCCGCGTTATGCTTAAATATGGTCACCTCATTAGAAAGGCACACACCCACTGGAAGCCCTCTCGCCCGGAACCGTTTTTCACGCGATGGTGCACAGTCTAGGTATTATATAAAGTCTTTGTTCATTGTATTTTACTTGACGCCAAGGAACTTGTGGGCGATTTTCCACTGCGTAAACATTGGTCCATGTCGCCATACAGCCGGTGTCTATGGAGATTTCGTAGGCACTGGCACATTAGAAAATAAGTTTTTAATTGTGTTTTTAATTATGTTCTTTTTATTTAATCGCTGTTTGTTTTATAAGTTGTCATTGTAGGATTCTAAAAATAGACTTCAAGAAGAAAATGTCATCCATACATAATGCATCTTTGTTATTGTGAATATTTCCGAATATAGTGTTCCAGGTTGACCAAGCTTTGCCGTTTTATTATTCCGCTAGTGGGGAGCAGCGGTTAATCATTCCCCAAAAACTTATCTTGACTCTGGCTGAACGCACAAATCGTGTTTGCCAGAATAAAGAAAAAAAATGTCATTGTCATGTCAGTATGACAGTTGACTGTCATTCTTGAGTCATTTTTTTTGTGTTTTTTGCTATGCGTGGCGCACAGCCTGCTTGCAACGTGTTCTCCAAAAATATTTTGTTGTAGTGAATTAATTGATAGAATTTTATCAAAGATGGTAAGCCATTATATTTTTGATGGAAATTTTGTTTAAGTAACCATTTGTTCTAACCTTTTCTAAATTCTCTGGTACTACTCTATTTCACGTTTAAATATTTCGTAGAATTTGCATCATCCAATTCAACCCTTTTGTAAATCTTTTGAAGTATTCAGTTTCGTTTCGTAATGTTATGTCTAGGATATTTGTTCTAAACAGATATCCCAAACATAAGAAGAAACTGTCAAGAATTCAAGTTTGGTTATTCATACATGTCTCTTAATATGATTCTATTTAATATTGTAGCTTATGGTGTAATGCTATGTATTAAAGTTAGAGAAGTTATAAATTAATGTGATGATTTTATGTTAAAATGCATTCATGACTGCTCAATATTTTATCATTATGTTAAATATATGGTCAAAACAGTAACCTAACCTAGTGTGAAATATCAAATTCGGGGCCTAGTAAGTATAGTTTAACCCACATGCTACCGATTGTTGATTGAAATTTATTTGCATTAGACCTTCAAAGTAACTAAAATTAATTCAATAAGTTTAGCCCTGCTATTCTGGCAAGTGTATGGTGAATGTAGGGCTGTGGGCATCTAGTTGATGTCTATTAGAGAAATACAATATTCATTTAAGAGAATTAGATATATTTGCTTTCTATTAAAGATTTAAAAAAGTGGCAACTGAAATATTATCTCATTAAAAGAGTGGTTTTTCTTCTTTTTAAAATCAGTTAATTACAAAATTGAAGTCTTTCTATATCCCCTTTTAATTCGTTTGAACTTTTGGGATATAATTTTATTATTGACATGCAGTATGTGGCCAAAACAGTCAGCATATATCACTGCAGGAGGAGGAGGATAATAATGTATTGTAATCTGAGTGACAAAAGATAATATTACAAATTGTTAAAATAAAATAAGGTTATTCTAAAAAAAATACCGTATTTCCATTTACAAGTATTATTTGCTTGCAGATCAGTTCAGACAGAAAGGGAACTTTCAAAGTAGAGTTCCTTCAGGAGATTGAGAAAAAAGTACAAGAGCGATGGGATAAGGAGAAGATCTTTGAAGTGGAGGCTCCTGTTGATGGAAAACATCATGAAAAATTCATGTGTACTTTTCCTTATCCTTACATGAATGGCCGTTTACATTTAGGACATACATTTTCCTTATCAAAATGTGAAGTAAGTCAATTAAAAATAATTATTATTGATAATATGTTATTTTTAAGTGGACTTCACATAAACAATCATTTTATTTTTAGTTTGCTGCAAGGTACTACAGGTTAAAGGGTAGAATGACATTATTTCCCTTTGGATTCCACTGCACAGGGATGCCTATTAAAGCCTGTGCAGACAAACTCAAGAGGGAGATGGAACTGTATGGTTGTCCACCAATTTTCCCTGAGGAGGAAGAAGTATCTGTAATAGAAGATGGTGATATTGTACCAAAAGATAAAAGCAAAGGAAAGAAAAGTAAAGCTGTTAATAAAAATCTAGCTGCTAAGTACCAGTGGCAAATAATGAGAAGCATTGGGATCCCTGAAGATGAAATCAAAGAGTTTGCGAATGAAAGTTATTGGCTAGAATATTTTCCACCAAGAGCTGTTGCTGATTTGAAAAAAATGGGTATTCATGTAAGTACACCCTCAATATGTTTCAGTTTAATATGTGCCTATTTAGCTCTTTATAAGTACCTAATTATTTATATCTCATGTCGCAATTACTTTTATTCGCAGGTTGATTGGCGTCGTAAGTTTATAACAACTGATGCAAACCCATTTTATGATTCTTTTGTTAGGTGGCAATTTAACCACTTAAAAGAACGTAACAAAATTATGTATGGTAAAAGGTATACAATTTTCACACCATTAGATAAGCAACCATGTATGGACCATGACAGAAGTACTGGTGAAGGGGCTGGGCCTCAAGAGTATACACTTATTAAAATGGAAGTACTGAATCCTTTTCCACAGGCACTCAAGTGAGTTATTTGTCCATAAGGTCAGGGCTAAAAATAATTAGATTGCATGTTTCTTAAATACCTAGATCATAATGTTTAATTATTTAAATCCTAAAATGAAGAAGTTATTCATGGATCATATTAAAATAATATGAAATGAAAGAAGAAGAAGAAGCGTAAGATAATCATATAAATAAAATATCATTATTGTCAAATCTTAAATTAAATATTTTAGGATGTTTCATCCAATGTTGCTGTTTGAGACCCCTTACATTATAATATTGATTCATTGTGTTTATAACAGTTCTTTATTACAGATCTTTAAAAGGAAAAAAAGTTAATCTTGTTGCTGCTACTCTAAGGCCTGAGACAATGTATGGTCAAACTAACTGCTGGATACACCCTGATATAAAATATATTGCTTTTGAAACACTTAAAGATGGTATTTTCATTTCCACAAGACGCGCTGCAAGAAACATGGCATGGCAAGATTTCACAGAAAAAGAAGGAGAGTTTAAAATATTATTAGAAATTGTAGGCCAAGACCTTCTCGGGACAGCAGTGAAATCTCCATTTACTTGTTACCAAAAGATTTACTGTTTACCCATGTTAACAATAAAAGAGGACAAAGGTACTGGCATTGTAACAAGTGTGCCATCAGATTCACCTGATGACTATGCAGCACTTGTAGATCTTCAAAAGAAACCTGCTTTTAGAGAGAAATATGGTATTAAGGATGAAATGATTTTACCATTCAATCCAGTTCCTATACTTGAAATCCCAGAATTTGGCAACCTTTCAGCTGTCCATGTGTACAATGAACTTAAAATACAAAGTCAAAATGATAGAGAAAAGTTACTACAAGCAAAAGAAATGGTTTACCTAAAAGGGTTTTATGATGGTGTTTTACTAGTTGGTGAATTTAAAGGCAGCAAGATCCAAGATGTGAAGAAGAACTTGCAGTCTAAACTTATTGAAGAGAAAAGTGCTGTAATTTATTATGAACCTGAGAAGACCATAATAGCACGGTCAGGTGATGAATGTGTCGTAGCACTTTGTAATCAATGGTATCTTGACTATGGAAATGAAGAATGGAAGAGTAAAGTAGAAAAAGCTTTAGGTGCAATCAACACATACCATGATGAAGTCAGAAAAAACTTTCAAGCCACCCTTAAGTGGCTCCACGAATATGCATGTTCTAGAACATATGGTCTTGGTATGTTAAATTTATTTTATTCACTCTTATATGATTCATTCATAATTTTATTCATTTAATGTTACTAATGCCGCTGCATAATTTTAGGAACCAAACTGCCCTGGGATACGCAGTGGGTAATTGAGTCATTATCGGATTCTACAATTTATAATGCCTACTATTCCATATCACATTTTTTACAAGGCAATACCTTCAGAGGGAATAAAGAAAATGCACTTAAGATTAAACCAGAAGAAATGACAGATGAAGTTTGGGATTATATTTTTTTCAAAGATGCAGTTTACCCAAAAAGTACAAAGATAGCAAAGAAATCTTTAGAACTTATGAGAAACTCTTTTCAATTTTGGTAGGTCTTGCATTTGACATCAGTCTCTCCTTTTCATTCTCTATAGAGCAAGATAAGGGAAAACTGCTGTTAAAATAAGATTTAGGTTAAGAGAATCATAGCAGAATCACGCCCACTGTTTAATGAATTGTCCATGCCTTAATATTTATTTAGATTTTTATATTTTAGGTATCCAGTTGATTTGAGGGTTTCAGGCAAAGACTTGATTCAAAATCACCTAACCTTTTATGTGTATAATCATTGTGCTATGTGGCCAAATGAGGAAGATAAATGGCCTAAAGGCATCAGAGCTAACGGTCTGTTGATGCTGAACTCAGCGAAAATGTCAAAATCCGATGGAAACTTCTTGACACTGACCGAATCGATTGAGAAGTTCAGCGCCGACGGTATGCGTCTGACTTTAGCCGACGCTGGAGACTCTGTAGAAGACGCCAATTTCGTAGAGAGCACTGCAGATGCTGCAATCCTGAGACTTTATACTTTCATTGAGTGGGTAAAGGAAATCATCGCTTCCAAGTCCAATTTAAGGCAAGGTAAAATAATAAATTCCAAAAACCTTCATAATAAACGGTGCATAGTTCTCATTAGCAAGTTTAAAAAACACTTGTATTAAAATTTCTTTCACCAGGAGAATTCAATTTCTATGATCGAGTCTTTATCAGTGAAATGAACATGAAGATCCTTGAGACGGACGACAACTACAGCAAGTTGCTATTCAAGGAGGCCTTGAAGACAGGCGTATTCGAACTGCAGGCGGCGCGGGATAAATACCGGGAGCTTTGTTCCGAGGACGGAATGCACGCGGCCCTCGTCACGCGGTACATAGAGACGCAGGCCAAAATTATGTCGCCCATCTGTCCTCATGTAGCCGAGCATGTATGGGAGCTGTTAGGAAATGTATGTTTATTGAACAATTTTTCTAATAATTCTAAGCCAGTATAAAATTTCGGCACGGGATAAATACTGGGAGCTTTGTTCCGAGGACGGAAAGCACGCGGCCCTCGTCACGCGGTACATAGAGACGCAGGCCAAAACCCATCTGTCCTCATGTAGCCGAGCATATATGGGAGCTGTTAGGAAATGAATGTTAACAAAATCCAATTTTTATGAAAAGAAAAATCCTACATTATTTTATAAATACGAAAGTGTGTCTGTCTGTTATCTCTACATGCTTTAACCGCTGAACCTTTCTAAACGAAATTTGGTTAAGAGATAATTTGAGAATGATGTAGGACAGCTTTTATCCTAGAAATCATCCTTAAGTAAAAAGGGGGGTGGAAGTATATATGGGAAACCAATATTTCCATGCAAGGTCCCACTAATACAGTATTTCTATATTGTCTATGTCAAAAGATAAATAAACACGAGTTATCTGTTTTAAACTTCAGCAAAAAAGCATCCTGCATGAAAAATGGCCAGTAGCAGGCGAGATAGACGAGAATGCTGTGAAAGCTAGTAATTATCTGATGGATGCCGCCCATTCCTTCCGAATTCATCTGAAGAACCACTGCGCCGTCAGGAAGTCCAAGAAAGGGGAGGCACCAAAGCCGGAGAGAAAGCCTAACAGAGCTGTCATTTGGGTCGCCAAGGAATACCCCAAGTGGCAACACATCATACTGTCAACATTGAAGGAGCTCAATAGTGTAAGTATTATACTCTGTTCAAGTAAATGAGTTAGTAGTCTTTACCACTTGATCGCTTACAAAAGACAAGGATGAATAATTGTTTCCTAGGAGTGACAGACAAGCAATGATTAAGCCAGCTGCTAATTTAATTAATAGAAGTCCATCAATTTAACATACAAAAGTGGTATTTTAGATGATCAGTCCATGCCAAGTTTCTTGTTAAATTATTTTGAATTTTGATTGTTAGTAACAAAGAAAAAACTGCTTTAAATAAGGCTTTGTTGAAGTGATGATTACAGGGATTATATTGTCTAATATGCACGTCATCATTATCAGCATCATCACCAGCCCATTAATGTTCCCACTGCAGGGGCACACGCTTACCCTATGGATGGAAAAGGGACATTGGGCCATGACCCACCACGCGAGCCCAGAGCGGATTTAATAAATATAAATAAAATCCGACCATTGCGAAATTACATACACGCAATATGCAGTTTTATTAAGTAATCTTTCAAAAATAATTCGGTTTCATGGTGTCGCCTACTCGAGAGGTCCCGGGTTCGAATCCCGGTGGGGGCAGATGTTTGTGTGATGAATACGTGCATTTGTACTCCAATCATGGATGTTTAATATGTATTTCTATATAAATATACTTATATATGTACAATGTATTCTATCCGTTACCCTAGCATCCCATAACACAAGCCTTATAGTGCTTACTTTGAGGCTAGGCTAACTGGTGTGTGTTGGAAATATTTATTTATTTATTATTTATCTCTTCGTTTAGGCATCGGGGCTGCCCGACAACAAGACTATATCCAGTAAACTGGGGGCAATCCCGGAGTTGAAGAAGTACATGAAGAGAGTGATGCCGTTCGTGCAGACGACCAAAGAGAATATGGAACGAATAGGCGCGGAGGCTTTATCTGTGGCCCTGCCCTTTGATGAAGCCGTCATTCTACTCGACAATAAGCAGTACTTACTTAGCACTTTGGATGTAAGTTATTGTCTTTTTATGTACATAAACATCTGTTTGACCACATACTTGGTTTGACCACATAAATGGATCTTTGAGCAAACCTACCAATGTGGTGTTATATCATCATCATTATGAGGAAAATAGGCACGGAGGCTTTATCTGTGGCCCTGCCTTTTGATGATGCCGCCATTAATATCGACAACAAGCAGTATCTACTTCATCACCATCATCACAGCCTATTAATGTCCCCACTACGGGGACACAAGCCTTTACAGATGGAATAGGGAGATTGGGCTGCGTGACCGACAATGCGGGCTCAATGTTGATTGGTGGGTACTTACGAATGCAGATGCAGCCGGCACCAACTTAAAGTGCCTTCCGAAGCACGGAAGAGCCTGATATAATAAGTTTTTGGTCAGCCATCCAATGACCGACCATTGCGAAAGTTGCTTAACTTTCACGAACGCGCTAATCACCTGCGCGATCGAGCTTCTCAAGCAGTACTTACTCAGAACTTGGGATGTGAGTTAATGCCTCATTTTTTTATTCTCACAAACATGTTAGACCATATAAATTTATATCATCTTCATTGTCACCAGCCTATAAATGTCCGGACTGCTGGGGCATAGGCCTTCCATATTAATTACATAGGAAACTTGGGCAATGCATGAGCAGTGGCGGGTCAGTGCGGTTTGGTGGGTGCTAATTATGGTGGAACCAAATTAACATGACTTGCGAAGCACGGAAGAGCTTGAAATATTAAATTTTTGATCACTCAGCCAATGCGAAATTTGTTCTTGCGAATGCGAAAATTCCACGATCGCAGGCCGAACGCCATAACCATCTACGCCATCGTACTCCTCAAATATATGTTTCTCTAAGTAAATACCTACCTACGTAATGTTATGTCATTATTATGAAATAGAGCATAACGCTAAAGTAGGCTAACGTACGCTTAGTATTATTATCAAGAAAATGTTTACTATTATAATCAAAGGTTATTATTTTTCAACATATTTCATTAGCTTAATTGATAATTATAATAACCTACAATAAAAGCAGTAGTTTGACATTGAACTTGAAATAGCAAGATTGTGTGTTATCTGAAGTGACTAATTCGCAATTCATTATTACTGCGCATGATGGAGCGCTAATGTTATGTAAACTAAGAGATATCAACTAACTTGTCAATTTCTACTGTGCCAGTAAGAATGCTCTTATATTAACTAAAGGAGGTCAACTGTTTCTCTTTCATTACAATATTGATAGAAATTAATAAAGAATGCGTGGCTTAATGAAGCATTAATTTTAAAGTGACGTCACAATAAAGCTGTTAATATCACTTCTAATGTCGATTTGATTTGATTTACAAAACAAAGTATAAAATGTGGTTCTGTGTCTTCATTTATATACATGTATCAGTATATGTATTCTATCCGTTACCCTAGCATCTCATAACACAAGCCTTACAGTGCTTACTTTGGGGCTTGGCTAATTGGTGAGTGTGGGAAATAATTATTTTTTACCCTGAAGATGTCAAAATTGACATTGGTTGTCAGACAGCACCACAATTTGCAATATATCACGTTTTTTTATCGCGTGTAACTATCAAATTTCACAGTAATTTGACAATTGAGCGTGATAAAAACGAGCTTAATATCATAACGCGGTGCTCATGCTAGGGGGGTTGGTTTACAAAACTCGGTATTAAATATGGATTTGTGTCTCTATTCGTAACTTATGTCAAAATTGACATCGGTTGCGGGCCGGCAAGGTGGGGATGGTTGGTGTAGCAGTTAATAACTGCTGTACCAGCTATCTTCGCGTTTGGACTTTAACACCACTTAACATCAGGTGGGGTAGAGTCATTTGCCTACCTAGTAATATACCTGGAATGTAGGATCTGAACGCAGCCCAGCTGTTAATATCACAAATGCTAATGTAGATTTGGTTTACATACCTCGGTATAAAATATGGTTTTGTGTCTCTATTCGTGCAGCTGGATACGATTGAAGTGAAATACACCGATGATCCGGAGGCATCGGAGAAGTCTCGCGAGGATTGCGCTCCCGGCGCGCCCCATATCAACTTCTACGCGGATCCGGGGGTGGATGTCACCGTTATAAACCCGACGCCACTCAACGGACTGTTCTCAGTCACCGTAGGCGTCTCCAACGGTGACACCGTGGAGAAGATTAAAACGAAAATCGTTAAGGAAATCAAAGCTATAAAAGGTAAAGTTATGTTTAATATTAATTTTTGCGAATTAGTAAATTTTTTTTACTATGAAATTCAATTGAGGCTATCAGCGCAATAGTGGCCGGTAAGGCCGTATTTTACGGACTCCATAAACATTAGTCAATACCGTGTGATCGTTTTCTAAAACTTGTCAAATACCCTATTATTCATATTCTGATTCATATTTTACAATAAAATAAAAATATGTTAAAATTTAATTCAATATCGGCCTACTTCTTGTTTCACACCAGGTGTTGCAAAAGTTCTTTTTGCATTTATTTTTTTCTTTCAACGTAAACTTCATAAGTGGCCTAAGCCGCTTAATCAGAATATGAATAATTGAGGGTTAGGCCACTTGCGCTGACAGCCTCAATTATCCAGTGAAATATGCATAATGAATTTCTAATCGCTGTTACTTAAAATATTAAAAAAAATATTGATTAATGATAAAATGTTGTCATTATAATTTAATGTGGTCGTTGTTGTAGTCGTTTGGCACTTCTAAGGCCCAAGCACGAATTTTTGGCAGCTCAAAGTTTCTATATCTTTTTCCATACATTTGACGAAAACGATACAATACGGAGATGTCAAAAATTCGTGCTTGGCCTCTGAAGTGTGAGTGAATCTTGTTGCATATTAAATCACTTATTTATCTTAAATGACAACGTGTATAATAAAAGTAAGATATGTAATTTGTTTCGTTTGTTTTAATAGATGTGAGCTGTCTGAAAGTATGGCGATATAGTGATCCAGTGCTAGGTCCAAGGAAGATACCTATTTCTGGTGACCACGAAACCAAATGTATTGTTTTGGAAAATGCAGCAGTATTAAAAGTTGATGTTGACACTAGCAAAGTGGAACTAGTCAGTAACGGAAAAAATATAGATCTGGGAAGACAAATGGTGTATACTTATGAAAAGTAAGACTTTTCATATTTGCTCTATATTTAAAGCTGTTTTCTTTGATGTTTTTGTATGTTCCAGTAACTGCGAACTTCCTTTTGTATGTGTAAGGAAAATAAATTATTTATTTAGACTTTAAATTTTGTTTGATTACTGTTTGGTGGAAAAATACTAAAGAACTCAAGTATGCCTGTGCAGACGAGGGAGTTTTATCCGCGGAATTTTATTTCCGCCAAAAAAGATCACAGAAAACTGCATCGAGTAACGCACATAAGGGATTTAGGCCTGTATGAGAACAGCTGCGAAGTTACACTTTACACACAATAACAATGCAATAGAAGTATGACGAAATATCTCAATAACGTATCCGATAATAACGAGCCTATGGACGGGAGGCTTAAAAGTACTGCGTGCAAAAATTTGCTCGAATAACCGAGGCAGGGGACGCCGTGAGATCAGACTGGACTGGAAAGTACGACAAAGTCCCCGAAAAATTTTAACTCGTGTGACCAAGCGCAGCAACGCAGACAGTCCTCTAGTCTGCGCTGCGCACTTGATTCGATATAAAGGGATGGACCTAGGATTCTCTTTAATTCGATGTTAATCAATCCATTACAACACAACCGAATCTTAGAATAATTGCTTCCATAACGTTTCTCTAAATTTTCGGAGAACAAATGATCGCACGCCGTGTTCGTTGAGTCCGTGGCAAGATTTGTTCACGTGGCATTTTTTTTTCAATTCAGGGATTTTGTCCACTACGGACAAAAGCCCTGTCTGTATGGGACAAAGTATCTCGTCTGCACAAACCGTAATAGGCTAACTAATAGTCACTATGTACGAAATTATTAATTATAACGCATTTTATACAGCCGCGGAATGGAATGGAAGCCAATCTTTGCAACGAAATTGTGCATACCACAATGAAATTTATGGTCAATTAAACTAAGCCAAAAGCTAGGAGAATTCTTTAGAATGCACGAAAGGAGCACTACTTTTTCCGGCATGTAAAACTGCTTGTAAAATTGCATTGTCACTAATACCTCGAGATTACAATTTTAACATGTGATCAAAGGTGTATTGAGCCCCAGAGACTTCATGAAATAGTGGGACCACAAGCATCAAGGCCACTAGGCTTTGCCAGTTAAAACGTGCACAATTATTTGAAGGACTACCTTGCTATATTGAAACTGCGTCGATATTTCTCATTTCTTTTTAAAATGATTTTAAGACTACTAAAACTTTATGAAGAAAAAGTAAGATTTTGTTTGATTTTTTTATTATTACTCGCAAAAATATTAATCGTTCAGAGGGACCCCTTACCGTTTAGCCGTTATGTATATTTTCTCTTTGATGGATTGTGGTTTAGTTACAGAGATTTAGTAGTAAGTTTATAAAGATACTAAATCTCTGTAATCACATTACCTCAATAGATAGCCTGTGAGGATTGAGGAACCATACTTGGTGGCCTGAAGTTTTTAAAATATCATGTTACAAATTCCCAGACTCGTTCTACAATTGTTTAGAGAGCTCTACTAAATCCTGCTAACTTTTTCTTTGAGAAATTCGATCTACTCCCTCAGTTCACATGCACAATGGGACCATAAATTTTAGTGAATTAGTAAGTAGCAGCATGAGTGATGGTACCAGGTCCTATTTGGTGCCTGGAACGCTCTATCCATATTATTGAAGATATGTTACTGTGCAACCATTGTGCGTGACACATTTTCTAACTAGTATATCTATAACAGATAATTAAAGAATGTGAACTGCAAAACCTATTTCCCATAATTTTTCTAATCACAAATGAATGGAATGTCGTGCGTCTACCATAATAGGCATTATGGCAGTGTCAATTAAACGAAAGTCTTTTTAGTCCGTCAGTTAGATAATCAAAAAATAGTGAATACATTTTTTCAATAAACCAAAAGAATACAGAGATAAAGTACGACAAAGTTTGGGAATGGGAGCTCATCATGACATCACTTCTAAAAAAAATGTACCAAATCGTGACGTCATGCGACATTTCAAATCAATGAATCTCTGTTATGTTTTTACTATGTGAAAAAAGAAAAAAAACGTGTCAATCAAAAATAAAAAAGCTTATGCAGTTTTATAATATAATTTAATAACATATAAATGGTTATTCACAAAGAATGTTTAACATCGCGAGTAAGATATGGCTAGCTGATTATTGTGCGGGCTAGGTAGGCCCATTGGCGAACAGTTTCTCTAAACCCGCGCCCTCCGCCGACTCCACTGCGCTGCGCGGTTTCTCTTTAGCTATGTGCATTGTAGGCAAGTCTAGAATGTATACTTCTTTCTTGAACAGCTGACCCACGTTGCGACCAATTAACTGAAAAAGGGGTTATTTTCTGTTAGGAATTTGGGTTAATCTAAATTCATCAAATCGTCAGTGTTTTGAACAGCGTTAAAATTTTACGTCATGAACTTTGGCTTTCTATTTTGAACGTTGGGTATAGGATGTAAAGTTGAAGATACATGTCAAGAGAGATATAAATCTAACGCCGTTAACTAACAAACGCCTTGACTAACGTGCGTAATTCGTGTGATCGGCTCTCCCTACACTTAATAAGCTGACGTGACCGGAGACCTTGTACTGAGAAGAATTGGCAAGAAACTCAGTAGATGCTGTTTTTTCTCCCTGTATTATTATTCACAGAGACGTCAAGTTGAATAATTACTTAAATATGAGATAATTCATAAAGTCAAATACCATTACAAAATAAATTAACGTTGTGTGTTAAAAAAAAATCGAAATATACAGTTAAAATAAGTTATTATAAATCTGGATGGTTTGTTTGTTTGAACGCGCTAATGTCAGGAACTACTGGTCCGATATGAAAAAAATTTTTTTTGTTGGATAGTGCATGTATCTAGGAAGGGTATATGCTATATAATATAACGGTACAACGAATAGGAGCAGAGCACCTATGAAAAATGTTGCAAAAACATATTTCATTTGTGATTTCCGTTACGTGCGCTGCTGCGTAAACGGTAAAAAGTTACACAAAAATCATGTATGATGGAATTGTTCCCCTTTAAAAAAGTCCGCGACTGCATATGTCTATCTTTTAAGGATGACCTAAACCCGCACTTTACGCACGCTTTTCCGTGACCTAAGTTGCCTATTTCTGCACGGTGTGTAAATGAATTGACCAACTTCACTCATGTAGAAAAAATAAAAGGAAACACATTTAAATGTCATTTGGAGCTTAAAAACTCACAGCAAACAAATGACAAATTAGCGATAGGTTAGGAATTCTTGTTTGATATACGAGTACAAAAAATAAAGCTCATTCCCGTTGTTTAATATATTGTTATGCCAATCAAGGAATAAACGTTCATGGATACATTGAAATTCTATTTCGTTGTAATGATATTTGATTTTTTCCTTTTGAAATATACCTTCAAAATGGTAATCTGAACCGGAATTCTTTTGACTTGCAGTCTGTATTGCAATTCTTTGTGATTGCAATACATGAATTTTACTTTCAAAACACTAATCGCATCCCTCTTGCCCGCGTCCGGGGCGGGTTTATGTCACACTTGCTCTTGCCGATCTTCGACGGCTTGGCGGGGTTGGCGGCCAGCTTCTTGTCGAGACGGTACATGTCGTGTGCGTCTACTTCGGGGATGTCACGCAGTACCGCCACTATGTTGCAAATTTTATATATATACCCTAGAAGTGATCTTCTTGAACAACTCCCGCTTGCTCTTGTCGATCTTAGAGGGCTTGGTGTAATTGGCGACCAGCTTCTCGTCGAGGCGGTGCAGGTAGTGTGCGTCCACGTCGGGGATGTCACTCAGTACCGCCACTTATGTTCGCATAACGTATATATTTACCCTAGAAGTGATCTTCTTGAACAACTCTCGCTTGCTCTTGTCGATCTTGGACGGCTTGGCGGGGTTGGCGGCCAGCTTCTCGTCGAGACGGTGCAGGTCGTGCGCGTCCACGTCGGGAATGTCGCGCAGCACCGCAACTATGTTGGGGAAGCGCGGCCGCAGCGCTTCGTACGCCTGGTTAAAATAAAATTATACTATATTCAACTATTCCCCTCGCGAACAAGAAATTTCGTGATTCATTTTTTGTCGCACTATCCGCAAATGGAATGCTTTGCCAGCTCACGTGTTCCCTTCCTCCTATAACCTGGGATCTTTTAAAAGAGGCTTGAAGAAGCAATTATGCAGAGGTAGAGTCATTTTGTCGTGTATACCTGCACGGCCAGTGCGCCGCTCGCGCCCACGGCCGACACCTGGCCCGCGGCCAGTACTGTCCGCAGCGCCAGTGTGCAGTGTATATACCTGCACGGCGAGCGCCAGCAGCGCGGCCTGGTTGGCGTGCTGCCCGTGCGTGCGCAGCGCCTGCAGCACGGCGGCCAGCGCGCCGCTCGCGTCCACGGCCGACACCTGGCCCGCGTCCAGTACTGTCCGCAGCGCTAGTAGTGTATATACCTGCACGGCGAGCGCCAGCAGCGCGGCCTGGTTGGCGTCGTGCTGCCCGTGCGTGCGCAGCGCTTGCAGCACGCCGGCCAGCGCGCCGCTCGCGTCCACGGCCGACACCTGGCCCGCGTCCAGTACTGTCCGCAGCGCTAGTAGTGTATATACCTGCACGGCGAGCGCCAGCAGCGCGGCCTGGTTGGCGTCGTGCTGCCCGTGCGTGCGCAGCGCTTGCAGCACGGCGGCCAGCGCGCCGCTCGCGTCCACGGCCGACACCTGGCCCGCGTCCAGTACTGTCCGCAGCGCTAGTAGTGTATATACCTGCACGGCGAGCGCCAGCAGCGCGGCCTGGTTGGCGTCGTGCTGCCCGTGCGTGCGCAGCGCTTGCAGCACGGCGGCCAGCGCGCCGCTCGCGTCCACGGCCGACACCTGGCCCGCGTCCAGTACTGTCCGCAGCGCTAGTAGTGTATATACCTGCACGGCGAGCGCCAGCAGCGCGGCCTGGTTGGCGTCGTGCTGCCCGTGCGTGCGCAGCGCTTGCAGCACGGCGGCCAGCGCGCCGCTCGCGTCCACGGCCGACACCTGGCCCGCGTCCAGTACTGTCCGCAGCGCTAGTAGTGTATATACCTGCACGGCGAGCGCCAGCAGCGCGGCCTGGTTGGCGTCGTGCTGCCCGTGCGTGCGCAGCGCCTGCAGCACGGCGGCCAGCGCGCCGCTCGCGTCCACGGCCGACACCTGGCCCGCGTCCAGTACTGTCCGCAGCGCTAGTAGTGTATATACCTGCACGGCGAGCGCCAGCAGCGCGGCCTGGTTGGCGTCGTGCTGCCCGTGCGTGCGCAGCGCCTGCAGCACGGCGGCCAGCGCGCCGCTCGCGTCCACGGCCGACACCTGGCCCGCGTCCAGCGCCGCCCGCAGCGCCGGTAACGCTAGCGTGCACGCACGCAGCGACGACGTAGAGTCGTTCCACATTAGTGCCCATAAAACCTGCGCAACAACAAGATTACCGTTTAACTGTTTGTTATTTTTTTGACATTACAATATTTCCGAAAAAGTAGGTTGCTTTTTGATATTAATACCTGCTGTTACTGTCGTTGCGATTTCACTGTAAACGAGAATGATTGATAGAAGATAGGAGCTTACATATTCATTTCTTAACCTGTCTCCATTGGATAAGATTGTGATTTGCGCGCTGAAGGCTCGAGGCTGACAGTTGTCGTCCTCCATGTCACTATACTACACTCACAGTATGTAACACGGCCGGGCCGCACACTGGATGTGCCAGTACCAGCGCACCCAGCTCGGACACTTGCTCGGGGGCGCGCTGAGGGCTCGAGGCGGGGGTGTCTTCCTCCATGTCGCCGGGGGAAACCTCCACGCTAAGCCCGCCGTCGACTAACGAGATCTGATTCAAACACAAAAAATAATATTATAAAAAAAACCTTTTTTAAACGAAAATGTTGTTTAATGTCGAATGATCTAAAAACAAGATAATAGAATGCAAATGTGTTACTTTATTCGTATTCTTCTTCACTAACCCATTCATTTGCCATCTGTTTAATAAATGCACAAAAAAGTGAGTTTGGTTGGTTGTTTCTTATGCTTTCACGCAAAAAATACTGAACAAATTTGGATGAAATTTGGTATGCGTTAAGTTTAAGACATAGGATACGTTTTATCCTGGAAAAATATTAGGTTCTTGTTGGATTCTCAAAAAACTGAAGTATTACGCAGACGAAGTCGCGGGCAGTTGCTAGTACAAAATAAAATCGAGTAAAAAACTTACTTTGAGCACTTCTAAATGCTCCCTAGTGAGATGTCTGACGAGCATATCTTCGAGAACTTCTTGTGATTCGCTTCCACCTTCCTCTTCCAACTTGCCAGATTCGTATAGAGATGTGATGTATTCCCATCGTTTCGACAAATGTCTTAACACTAGAAAAGATAGTTTATTAATTAGATTTAATTAATTCAACAAAAATATTTATATTTTATTTATTTATATTAGATGTAATGCTATGACGTTTGATCTTATAATCCCATTGACAAAAGATTTCTAAAGAAAGTATTACCCAACCAAAAAGTATAAGTGGCAAGTTGGCAGACTGCATTTTGCATTAGATCGCTTTTTGAGTCCCTTTTTATATTAGTCGACTTTATCCGCCTTATTCCAAAACACGGACTAAAGTTTGTCATGGTTTAAACCTAATGCTGTCTTTGTCTTATTTTTAGCAAACAAAAGTGACAGCATCCGTTTTCAACCAGGGGATCTTCCGTTTATCGGGATTGTTATGACTATAGCTTATGATTTTATTTTGTTATTTCTGACCGCCAAAGGGTTTCAAATGCCACGCGTTCTTTTTTCCTTCGGCGGTCAGAAATAACAAAATGAAATCATAAGCTAACGATATAGCCATAGCAATTCCGATAGGCGGTAGGCTCCCAGGTTTAACTTTAGTCTTTAAGTTTTGATGTAAGGCGGTATGTGTTGAATTACACTCTTTCTATGGTTTAGTTCTTGTTCTGACAGTTATTTATTTATTTATTTTTTTGGAAGACCAAAAGCTACTTATATAAATAATAAAAACTTAAATAATAACAAAAAGACAATTACAGGCCTTTACCAATAAAAACACATTACAACCATAATTAAGCACACTTAACATAATAATTACAAAAAAGAACATTATACAATTGCCTATTCGTCAAAAAATCCACTGCTCAATACCCACTGAAGGGCGCGTAGTGCTCGAGCAGTGGCAGCGCCACCTGGTGGTAGTACGCAGGCGGGCAGTGGTGCAGCAGCGGTTTGAGCGCGTTGGCAACGATGGGCCACAGTCAGTTGTCAGGCAGCCGCTCCATGCAAGTGACGTATCTGTGGTAATGTGTAGTTATGCTCACTGAAGGGCGCGTAGTGCTCGAGCAGTGGCAGCGCCACCTGGTGGTAGTACGCAGGCGGGCAGTGGTGCAGCAGCGGTTTGAGCGCGTTGGCAACGATGGGCCCCAGCCAGTGGTCGGGCAGCCGCTCCATGTGAGTGACGTATCTGTGTTAATGTATAGTTATGCTCACTGAAGGGCGCGTAGTGCTCGAGCAGTGGCAGCACCACCTGGTGGTAGTGCGCCGGCGGGCAGTGGTGCAGCAGCGGTTTGAGTGCGTTGGCAACGATGGGCCACAGCCAGTTGTCGGGCAGCCGCTCCATGCGAGTGACGTATCTGTGTTAATGTATAGTTATGCTCACTGAAGGGCGCGTAGTGCTCGAGCAGTGGCAGCACCACCTGGTGGTAGTGTGCAGGCGGGCAGTGGTGCAGCAGTGGTTCGAGCGCGTTGGCAACGATGGGCCACAGCCAGTTGTCGGGCAGCCGCTCCATGCGAGTGACGTATCTGTGTTAATGTGTAGTTATGCTCACTGAAGGGCGCGTAGTGCTCGAGCAGTGGCAGCACCACCTGGTGGTAGTGCGCAGGCGGGCAGTGGTGCAGCAGCGGTTTGAGCGCGTTGGCAACGATGGGCCACAGCCAGTTGTCGGGCAGCCGCTCCATGCGAGTGACGTATCTGTGTTAATGTGTAGTTATGCTCACTGAAGGGCGCGTAGTGCTCGAGCAGTGGCAGCGCCACCTGGTGGTAGTGTGCAGGTGGGCAGTGGTGCAGCAGCGGTTTGAGCGCGTTCCGCACGATGGGCCGAAGCCAGTGGTCGGGCAGCCACTCGACGCCGTGCAGCAGCGAGTCTGTGAGGAACTTGGCCAGCCCCGCGACGCTGTACAGCTCGCGGCCGAGGGTGGTCGCCGCGGCGCCTACCAAATGGCAAACCTGGTAGACAACATAATTTTATCGATTAACTTGCTTTCAAATCAAAAATTAAGGTTTAGGGCATGGGTTCTGGTAGGCAACGGCGCAAGTGATATTTTTGTATCAAAAGCGTCTGTAGGCTATGGTGGCCGCTTACCACCAGGCGAGCCATAAGCTTGTTTGCCACCCTTTTAATATAAAAAAAAAAACATTGCATGATGCGATTGAAATTTCAAATAGTATGAAAACAATAATGTAAAATATACATATATAAAAGAAGAAACTGCGTGGCTGACTGCCAATCAACGCACAGCGCAGACCGCTGGGTCTAGACTTTAGACCCCGCGGTTTTTGGAGGCTTGGTCCTATCGCGGAATTTTGCGCTCTGTCACTTGGCGAACAAAATGCTTTGAACGGTTTTCTACAGTAGTTTTTACTACGCCCCGCCTTCGCGTCGGACGCGCCAATCCGGGCCGCCGCACAAAAGTAAGACAGAGAGCATTTCATTGATTGAATAATGAATTGAATTGCATTTGTTTTAGTTGCAATTTGTCTACCGCATCGTGATCGCGACAGCGCTATACGAAAAAGTAAGACAGAGCGGGTCTTTCCGCGAGTGTACATAGGTTCCTTAGGAAGTTCGGGGTGCACCAAGAACGAATTTTTGTTTTAATTTCTCCCCGAAGGGTTTGAAAAAGGGGATTAAAGTTTGTATTTGGGGTGCTGTAAACTCACGTTGTCGTGCAGCGTGTGCAGGTAGTTCTGCATTCGGTCGGCGGGGGCGGGCGTAGCGATACTAGACGCGGGGTCGTGGTCTCGGGGCGCGGGCAGCCCCAGCAGGTTGCGGCGCTCTGCAGCGGAGGCTTGCAGCGCTCGCGCGTGGAGGCGATGCCGTAGAGGCGTGGCGTTGGGCGCGTGCAGCGAATGCAGCGCTCGACACAAAGCTAGCGCGTGCGGGAATAGAGGCAGCACGTGCGCCGCGCACGGGTTTCGCCATATTGGGTTGCCAGACGCGGTCACGCCCGCGCTGAAACCGCCGCGGGAGGCCCTGTTGAGAACGCAACGTGCATTACAACACTATCTATATACAAAGAAATGACACAGACCCTAACTGCTTTATATTTAAAGTACTTAATGTATTCTGGCAACCAACCGAGCCTTGATTGGCAAATACAAGGTCATCATGTAAGTAAATGAATTATAATGATGGCACTTCATCGCCGCCTGCGGCACTAGGTGGCGCGTCTAGACCGCTGATATATGATGACAGATATAGAGGGCGACACTCACTTGTCGGGGTTGGCGGGCACGCAGGTCTACTTCACCACGCCCAGCAGTAGCGTCAGCACGTGCGGCGCGCGCGGTCCGCTTCGTCGTCCCCCGCGGCACTAGGCGGCGCGTCTAGACCGCTGATATATGATGGCAGATATAGAGGGCGGCACTCACTTGTCGGGGTCGGCGGGAACTCAGGTCCGCTGCACCACGCCCAGCTGTAGCGTCAGCGCGTGTAGCAGCGTGTGGTGCGCGCGGCCCGCTTCGTCGTCGCCGGCGGTACTAGGCGGCGCGTCTAGACCGCTGATATAGGATGACAGACATAGAGGGCGGCACTCACTTGTCGGGGTCGGCGGGCACGCAGGTCCGCTTCACCACGCCCAGCAGTAGAGTCAGCGCGTGCAACAGCGTGCGGCGCGCGCGGCCCGCTTCGTCGTCGCCCGCGGCGCTAGGCGGCGCGTCTAGACCGATGAGACGCGCCAGAGATTCTGCGGTGGACACTTGCGGACCTAATGCGGCCCAGCGCTCGCTGCAGTCGCCGAGCACCTGCATTCACAAAGAACTCCATTAGATCAAACTTACGATCGAAAATCTAGGAACGGAGGACAGCTACATGTTACTGAAGACTTCAACCGACTAGATAAAAATCCTATAGATTTGAAGTTATATGATAATTAGTTATAGATGTCATCAACGTTACATAAACAGTAGTGAGACAGCAGAATAACACTACACCAAGCAGGCTAAGGGTGATAATGGTTGACGTGAATTACCAGTTATCAAATTCGCAGCAGCAGAAGTTGTTGGAAAGCGATGCTCTCGACCGCACTGAAGACAGTGCGAGTCAACACAAGGCGAATTTCAACTCTATATCACACTATTAAGTTGAAAATGGACTTAAATTAATTCGTTACCTGAGCCACAAGCGCCCTTTGCCTAACAGCAACAATAGCTTGAGTAGAAATTTTACTATGACTAATTTTTTACCTGAGCCACCAGTGCGCTTTGCCTCTCGTAACAGCAGAAATGGTTGGAGACTAACAGCAGCGCCTCCTGCAGAGTGACGCTTTCGACGGCGCTGAGATCGGCGCGCGCCATCGCCCCGCGACACATTTCGTGTAAACGCGGAAACACGGGCAGCAGTAGCAATGGATACTGGACAGAGAAAAAAGTACTATTAGGTCAAGTCAACGTGGCAGCTGGCTCGAATAACAGTTCTTGTAAGTACAGTCAGAAATGAAAACTTAACAATAACATCAAACATTACCTAATATCTAATGTAGGTGTACGCCTGCGCATTAACAAATTTCAAAGTTTAATATTAAATAATTACTGCAATCAAAAAGTTTAAAAAATGGTTTTTAGATATTTTTATTTTAATGTTCAGAAAATTTTACTAGAAAAAATTTGAGGGTTAGAGAAAATTTTGGTGAATAAATGAAATTCAATATCTTTAAAAACATAAAAAATGGTCTTAATGCCCATTAATTAAGGAGAAAACATCTAATTGCGGTACCTTTGAGCCCAATTTGACTAGTAATCCGGCGGCGTGCCTTCGTACGTTCTTGACGGCGCGCGACCGCCGGTCGTCAGGCGGAACGCCCTCGTACACTAGCGCCGCGAAGATTTTGTCCAAAACGCGTGGTAATAAGTCTGCGCCTGCCACTCCTACACCGGGGCCTGTACCAATGCAAATCATTCCTTAGCGAATAACGAATTAGAAATGGCATGGAACACGAACTGCGCTAAAAAGTGGTTCCACGTAAACTGCGATAAGTGGGCGGGCGAAAAAACCTTCAATAAACACAGATAGCGACAGACGCTCGCGTCAGTGTTCAGCCATTTAAAAGTACGAGCGGCGTGCCTTATCGTACGTTCTTGACTGCGCGCGACCACCGTACCCTTAGCACGAACCAATATCGAATTAGAATAGTTTGCGAATGTCAATGACATATTTTGTATGAAAACTTAAACAACAGCGCCAAAACGGACGTAACGAGAACTAAAAAGCAGTACGCATCTGGCATATATCTAAATCTAATTCGATAATGGTTCGTACTAAGGGTACCGGTCGTCGAGCGGAATGGCCTCGTACATTAGCGGCGCGAAGATTTTATCTATAACGCGCTGTAATAGGTCTGCGCCTACCACTCCTACACCGGGGACTGTACCAATGCAAAACATTCCTTAGCAATGGAACACAAACTGCGCCAAAATGGTGGTTCCACGCAAACTGTGATCAGACTCAACGCTTGCGTCAAATTAGTCTGCCTTTAAATAGCAATAAGAGATCCGCGTTACCTCTACCAGTATTGATTTGCTGCAATGCTGTGACGCATATAATAACGTCGTTGCAGTTTTGTTTGCTTTAGAATTTATTATTTATTTATTTAATAATCAAACTCTAGTAACAGATAGGCATATTAGAGCTATGTTGCCTAGATATTTTGATTGATTTGATTTAAATCACGTTTAATGTAGCAGCTGCAATAATATTGTTGAAAGCATCAAGATCTCACCGGCTAGCTGGCTGTACGCGCAGCTGAGGAACACGAAAAGGGCGGATATGAGCGACAGCAGCAGCGACAGTATGAGCGGCGCACGTGGTTCGCATATTACGCAGCGCTGCAGCAGCTGTAGACCTTCCACTACGTTGGGCCGCGGATCCGCTTGCAGCAGACGAGACAGCACTACGTCCAAAACCTGGCAAACAATAGTACGATGCGATTCAAATTTTATGGCAGTTGTAGTGCGCAATTTTGCACAGGCTTCTGTTCAGTGAAACCATAGACATAGAGAATAGTCCGAGTGTTCGTTATCTATCCATAGAAAATAATCAACTTTCGCAATGGCCGTAATCAAAGTATTGTAGACCAAAATATTTGCCTGCATAATTGCTTTTAACCTATGACTTGCGAAAGCAGCCCGCCATCTGTAACCTAGGCATGCTAAGAATCGAGCTCGGGCGGACAGCTAACTAAAGCTAACGCGTTGCGTCTTAGAAATCTTGGAAAATCTCCGTAAAATTCTTTGACACATACTAAACTAACAATTGTTTGTTGAAGCTAAATCCAGAGAAACTTGTTATCTATAATTATTTGTTTCATTTCGTATTTATATTTTTTTATAGGCAGTTGATTGCAGCGATCTCCTAAACATTCTCTTTTCTAAAGTTCTATGATTTTTAATAAATTTTAACGAATTTATTTGGTGTTTTTATTTTTTATACCCAAAAGTTTAGACTCTGCGGTATCCATTGATATATTACAATTGTAATTTCAAATATTGATTGACTAATAAAAACTATTTTGAAATGGTAAACAACAAAACTTTACACTCATCTCGTTTTGTAATTATTGAACATGTAAGTTTGAAAATGCATATTTCTCGTAAATAAACTAAGTGTTTTCATTTATAACGCGATAAATATTCATTTTTAATTAATTAACACTACTTTTTCACAAATAAATAAAAATAGCACCTAGCCTTAATTTACTTTCAGGTCAGTTACAGAAAATAAACCCCCATTATTAACCCTATCTTTATTTGGCCTTGTTTTAAAGTTTAATGTTTCAGGAAGTTTCTAAAAGCACTTTGAACTCCAAATCCCCCATTTACATTTTTTTTGATACTTTGAAAGTTTGTGTGTACTGAGCTCAAATCGTAATTTTGAACTTTTGAACAAATTCTAAGTAAATTCTGCAATGCCTAGATAAACCATAAGTTTTAGGGTGCTAGGTTAGACTTTTTTAGTCAGTTATCACAAAAAAACTGAACCAGAAACGTCCAACAGAATGGGAAAAAAATCGAAAAGTGATGTTAGGTGAAAATTACGAAAAAAAATCATTAAAAAAATTATAACTCGTAAACTACGCAAAATCGTAGAACATACATGGGGGTGATTTCGATACTCCTCATCATAAAGTATCTAAATTTTACGCTTGAACGTCAACTCCCCGGCCACCCTGTATAGTTGTCATAGAAAATATTTTAGAACTTTACCATAAATAATAACTTTTACAGCAGCATTTTTTTCATACAAAAAAAACGTTATTTTTTTTTTTGCATATGTGTGTGTGAGTCGTCATTGCTCCATCTGATTAGTCTCAGATCGGTACATGACATATCCCCAAATATCTAATGACAGCCAATGACAGTGCTTGGTCTCGGATATGATCTTTGAGTTTGCGCGGCTATCTGCTTAGTCTCAGATCCGTCTACAGTTTATAGGGTGTACACATTTTGTAGGGACTAGGGAATAAAACCAGTTTTATTGATACTTAGGTTTTTTTATTGGCACATAAATTATATTCATAGTGCATGAAAATAAGAACACTAATTAATTTTCTAAATTCTTATCTTGTGGCAACCGACGAATCCGCGGTTGCTTGCCACGCAACGTATTTTTGCCGTAAATGTAAACATTTTATATTATATTTCAATTATATATAATTACATAGGTATATTTTATAGTATAAAACAAAAGTCGTGTCACCTAACAGAAATTAAACAAATAATATTTTGTTCCCGTTACTGTATTCGACACGTGTGCACCGGACTATGGCATCGCCGGCTGTCTGATGTCCCATGATGTAACAAATTTAAAAAATGATTTTTTTATACAAAGCTAGTTGGTTGTAGCATTGTTATATTTCAGGATCAGACGAAATTAAATAGTGTTGTCCTAGTTTATTATCTATATCATTACATCTATACATATAAATAAAATCGGAGTGTCTGTTTGTATTATTAAAATAACCGTTTTTTACTACATGCATATGAATATATATAATATATACGGTACATACACCAAAATAACATTTTTTACAATTTTTGTCCGTCTGTCTGTTTGTTCCGGCTAATCTCTGTAATGGCTGGACCAATTTTAACGGGACTTTTGGACTGGCAGGTAGCTGATGTAATAAGGAGTAACTTTTATTTTACAAAAAATCTTTTAATTTTAGTATAAAAAAACCTAAAAGTTAACGCGGAAGAAGTCGCGGGCGGTTGCTAGTATTTTTATAAGTTTCAATATTTTCAATGTCTAAATGTGTTTCTTCCTCCCTCTTGCGCACCTCAACCAATGGGAATTTTTGTATGTTCAATATTACTGATTCGATTACGTAGGGAAATTCCATTCCAGACCAAGTCTTCGCACTCTTATTCGCGTTAGTGTGCAAGTTTGCTAGCGGTGTAGTGTTGGTGTTTGTGGTCTGTATGGGAGGAGTCAGGAGCGCGTTGGGGGGTATTCAAGACGTGCTTAAGCCGACGAAATCGGGAGAGACCTACGAGTGGAGGGCGGGCAGACGTGTTATAACTAGAGGCTTTAACTACTAGGGGGTTCGGTTATGCTCTGTATGGGAGGAGTCAGGGGTACGTTGGGGGTATTCTAAGACGTGCTTAAGCCAACGAAATCGGGAGAGACCTACGAGTGGAGGGCGGGCAGACGTGTTATAACTAGAGGCTTTAACTACTAGGGGGTTAGGGTGGTGCGCGGATCAGTAGTAAGCAGATAAATCCAATTTCGAGCATGTCGTGTTCAAGTTAATGGCATTGAGTGATGCTTGGCTAACTAAAAAAAATACATACTAATATCACAGTTTTAAATTCTTATATAAATATATATTATATAAATATACATATCGATGACATTTTAATAATTTAATTAACCGTACTTATATACTTTATTAACGCAATATATATAAAGAAATTTAAACAATAATATATAAATATACTACAAATTCTCTATATTGTGGTATTCTTTCCAACATGAGCCAACACATAGAAACACCTGGCACTGTAAGCATATGATATTCGTGAGTTTTTAACTTTTTTTAACAGTGCATCGAGCACAACGACCCCTCTTGTACCGCTCCTGTTTTGAGGTGCGCTCCTTGGTGACCTCAACGTGGTCTGGACAGTGGTCCAGGCTTTTATCCAGTCTAGCGCACGTAACACCATGGCGCGCCCTCACTTGGACGTCCTGCCCGTATAACTCACAGAGCTCTTCTATTGGTTGATAACGAAAGCCGCGGTGCGTAAGTTTTTTTTTTGTTGGCCCATGTTGGAACAATATATAATGTATGAATTTAAAACAGTGATGTTCAGCAATCTTCGGAAAACTTTAATGTACCACTTAAGGCCCCTTTTCCTTTCCAACAGGTACATGGACAATTTCTGATCTTTTAAATCTACGCCACCCATAAATTTATTGTAATCGTGGACCACTTTGGGCTTGTCCACGTCGTTGCCCGCTCTTCTGTCTGGCGCCATGTCCGCGTTGTGGTAGGTCGAAACCATACTCACAAGTTTGACGTCTTTCCAGGATGTAACCGATATGTCACCAAAGTGTTGGCTTACCACCGATCCTCTAGCCATCGCCCTCTCATTTATATTTTTAATATCCAGAGGGGTGTCAGTCCTTCTATTTAACGTGTCACAACGTCGGTCTTGTGTTTTTTTAAAAATCTCGTTAGGGTCACAGAGTTGTAAAAATTGACCATAAACAAAGCGTACCCTTTACCAAGATAGTCCTTCATTATATTGAGGACTATCTTAGCTTTAAATGAAGTGAACCCGAAAACAGAGTTAGAGGAGGTCGTCCCTTTGCCCGCATATAAAACAATTTTAAGAACAAATCCGCTTACAGCCTTGCAGAGTTCATAACTCGTTATTCCAAATCGCGCTGCTTTGGAACGTATACACTGAATCCAGCTTAAACGCCCTTTCCAAAGCAGCAGCGATTCATCTATGGATATCTCTCTGCGTGGCGTGTAAACGGATTTGTACTTTAAATTTAAATAATCTAAAATGGGGGCTATTTTGGAGAGCCTTCTCTCTGCACCTCTGGCGTTGTCCAGAAAGTGGAGGAATCTCATCAAGATGAGAAATCTGTCCTTTGTCATGATTTTTCTAAAACCAGGCATACCTAACCGCCCTGTGGTCCAGTACTCATCCACACGGCCCCTGACGCACATCCCCATTAGTATCATGACCGCGACCAATCTGTATAATTCGGCCACGGTAGTCTCAACCCCATTGGTTGAGGCGCGAATGAGGCGGTAGACCCGCTTCGGTTTCAAAATATATGCCTATATTTTGAAACGCAAACTCGTTGGTTTCGTGCTGAACCATTTTCATGAGTTGCTCATCCCAAATTTGAGTGAACAAGCCTGACGGACTTGTTCCTTCAATTTTGGGACCAGCATCCTCTGAAAATGGTTCCGGAGCACCACGAAAAGTTTCGTAGTTCGACGACCAGTCGAAACTCTCTCCGACCGACTCTTCGTCCTCCTCCTCAGCCAGGATGTTGTACAGATCCTCTTCTGTTAACATCTGGGGTTCTTCCTTCTCGTCCTCACTCCCAGAGTCAACAGGAAGATTCTCCGCGAGAGGGGCATCCAAGATGGCGTCATCTTCCTATCAATAAAATATGCAAATGTCCAGCAACTCCACGCACCAAAACATACATAAATAATACCCAACATCAAGCAAACTTACTCTTTAAAATGTATATGCACCATATAAACATTAAAGGATCCCGGGTTATAGGAGGATTACAGTGCAACAATGATCTTTATGAATGTGAGTGACAGTTCAGGGAGGGCGCCACTGTCTACGAAAATGAAGGTAAATGACATACAAATTGTGACGTTTACAAAAGACGACGGCGTAAGTTACAATTTCGGCCATATTCATAAAGAACCTTGTCGCACTATAATTAATATTCCAACCAGAGACAGTGCTTCCCACTCGACGTGCAAGTGTCCAATTTGTCTAGCGCCGAGCGCGTCCATTGTTCTACGTACGTCCAAGTAACCAGCGGCGCGGTGGTCATGCAATGGCTGGAAACATTTGTTATTCTCACCAGAGACAGTGCTTCCCACTGGACGTGCAAGTGTCCACCTTGTCTAGCGCCGAGCGCGTCCATTGTTCTACGTACGTCCAAGTAACAAGCGGCGCGGTGGTCATGCAATGCCTGGAAACATTTAACATTCTCACCAGAGACAGTGCTTCCCACTCGACGTGCAAGTGTCCATCTTGTCTAGCGCCGAGCGCGTCCATTGTTCTACGTACGTCCAAGTAACAAGCGGCGCGGTGGTCATGCAATGCCTGGAAACATTTAACATTCTCACCAGAGACAGTGCTTCCCACTCGACGTGCAAGTGTCCACCTTGTCTAGCGCCGAGCGCGTCCATTGTTCTACGTACGCCCAAGTAACCAACGGCGCGGTGGTCATGCAATGCCTGGAAACATTTGTTATTCTCACCAGACAGTGCTTCCCACTCGACGTGCAAGTGTCCACCTTGTCTAGCGCCGAGCGCGTCCATTGTTCTACGTACGCCCAAGTAACCAGCGGCGCGGTGGTCATGCAATGGCTGGAAACATTTGTTATTCTCACCAGAGACAGTGCTTCCCACTGGACGTGCAAGTGTCCACCTTGTCTAGCGCCGAGCGCGTCCATTGTTCTACGTACGTCCAAGTAACAAGCGGCGCGGTGGTCATGCAATGCCTGGAAACATTTAACATTCTCACCAGAGACAGTGCTTCCCACTCGACGTGCAAGTGTCCATCTTGTCTAGCGCCGAGCGCGTCCATTGTTCTACGTACGTCCAAGTAACAAGCGGCGCGGTGGTCATGCAATGCCTGGAAACATTTAACATTCTCACCAGAGACAGTGCTTCCCACTCGACGTGCAAGTGTCCACCTTGTCTAGCGCCGAGCGCGTCCATTGTTCTACGTACGCCCAAGTAACCAACGGCGCGGTGGTCATGCAATGCCTGGAAACATTTGTTATTCTCACCAGACAGTGCTTCCCACTCGACGTGCAAGTGTCCACCTTGTCTAGCGCCGAGCGCGTCCATTGTTCTACGTACGCCCAAGTAACCAGCGGCGCGGTGGTCATGCAATGCCTGGAAACATTTGTTATTCTCACCAGAGACAGTGCTTCCCACTCGACGTGCAAGGGATGCGTGGCGTCCAACTGCGGGGGGCAAGTGTCCACTTTGTCAAGCGCCGAGCGCGTCCATTGTTCTACGTACGCCCAAGTAACCAGCGGCGCAGTAGTCATACAATGCCTGAAAACATATCATTATTTGGCAAAAATCCTACTGATGTCGATTCTGGCATGATTCTTTTAACTTACAACTAAATTTAACATCAGTCTTTCGTTTTCATTCTGTATAGAGAATGACTATTGTCAAATTTAAGTTTAGGTTTAGAGATTCATGCCACAATCGATACCACTATCCTACTTATAATTTTATGAATGAAGAAGTTTGTATGTTTGTGTTTGCTACGCAATCTCACAAAAACTACTGAAAGAATTTGAATGAAATTTGGTACGTATATAGTTTATATGATCTGGATTGACCATAGGATACCTTTTATTCCGGAAAAAAATTAATATCCTGAAGAATTCTCAAAAAATTCAAGTTAACACGGACGAAGTCGCGGGTGGCCGTTAGTGTAAATGCGAAAGTATAAGTATAATGTGTCCTATATCTCAATCCAGGTAATAAACTAATATGTGTGCCAAATTTCATCCAAATCCACTCAGTCGTCAAACAGTCTTACGCCGCAATTCACTTGGCAACAGTCTGTCCTTATCATGATTTATAAGGAACGAAAAGGACAGACTGATCTCAAGTTTACAAATAGCAAAATCGAATAGCCAAATGAAATGCTGTAAAGTTGTACGTGAAAATAGGTCTTAATATCAATAAGTTATAAAATTTAAACTAAATATTCTTAAATTTTTACCGTAAGCTACGTCAAAGGCGAAAATTATTAATCTAAACATTAAATACATAAATAGTGAGGAAATCAAATACATTCCAGCTTCGAATTCCAATCTGCCGCGCGACCCAAAAAATTTATGGGAGTTCCCGCTGGGGCGAGTTTCAAATAATTTTAATGAAAGTTGTAATGATGATCTCTTCTCTAAAAAAAGTTTAACGTAAACATTATCTAACGCCAGTCTGTCCTCCTGTTTAAATTTTGAACTGTTGGCCGTTGGGACCGTCTTGAGAGTCCAGGAGCAACTATTAAGGTGCTGCCCTTTGGGTTCTAGGTGCTAAGGGTAGTGACTCAGTTTCCCTGAGGCTGCCTGAGGATCTTCAGCTGGGAAACAACAACCAATTTCAGTCATTCTCACTATTACCCTCCCCTGCCGGGACGCGACGAGCTACAGAACTTGATTTGGGCAATGTAAGAATTTATTTTCTATCAAGTAAATCTTTTATTTCCGAACCCACTACTTGCGACCTCTACCGGCCGTACTGCTGGACATTAAATGTACAACTATTCTAGTTTGCACCGCTTAAAAAATCGTGATGATAGAAGATTATAAAAGTTATAAAATATATATTACCTAAAACTATCCAATATCTCTGTGCGGCAACGGCTGAAGAAAATCGCAAACTCTTGTTCGCTGTCATAGTCCATACAAGCGTAAGCGTAAGCGTCGTTTGCACCGCTCATTCGAGAAGACGGATATGTGACCTGTGACATAAACGTAATCAAATTAAATAAGTAATTTGTTCAGGCTTATTAAGGCTAAGATTATAGCGGAGCGGTTTATAAGCGATCCGCTGCGAGCGACTGCTCAGCTGTTTTATTTCAAAACTCGAATACACGACTACAGTACACCTAGCACGAACTTTTATCGAATTCTAATTGTTTGTGAGTGCTAAATGTCAATGTCAAATTTTGTATGGAAATTTGAACAGCAGCGACACAAAGTACGTAACGAGAACTAAAAATCAGTACATATTTGACAATGACATTTCGGACTCGCAAACGTTACGAATTCGATATTGGTTCGTACTAAGGGTACAGTTTTGTGCGGTCCCGCAACCGCCACGGCAGCGAGATCGGGCGGAGCCTGCTGCGTCCGCAGGTGTAATATTCGTAATGAAATTTGCAACTGTGTTTTACTTACAATTCACATTTTACGCTAGTTGCATTGCAGAAAAACCGCTCTGTGAGGTCTTAGCCTTAGAGTTCTTATTTGTACAATTTGTTGTTCCAAATATTTGTTTAAAGTACAGTAGAACGCCGATTATCCGAATTAATTGGGACCGGGGTCGATTCGGATAATCGGACAAGACTCGTAATGAAGAAAAACGAGCTGGCACACATAGTATAAATCTTATTAAGTTAAACAAACACAATTATACAATACTAAATACAGTAATAGAGGTACATACTATCAAAAAAAACCGCGCGACGCAAAACATGTAGTGTCTTGCTTCTAGCTTTCAACCATAATCATCATCATCAGCCTATTAATGTCCCCACTGCTGGCGCACAGGCCTTCCCTATGGATGGAATAGGGAGATTGGGCCATGACCCACCACGCCGGCGTAGTGCGGATTGGCGGGTGCTAACGACTGCAGAAGCAGCCAGGACCAACGGCTTAAAGTGCCTTCCGAAGCACGGAGGAGCTCGAGATAGTAAATTTTTGGTCAGCCATCTAATGACCGACCACTGCGAAAGTTGCTTAACTTCAACGATTGCAGCCGAACGCACTAAACACTTAATATATTTCAACTTGAGTTGAAATATATCTAGATTCCAGCGAGTTCCAACTTGTTTTACAACAAAACAAACAAAAATAACTTGGTTTTAATTTTTTATTTTACGCTTAGGACCGATTCGGATAATTGGCGATTCGGTTAGTCAGCGTTCGGATAATCGGCGTTCTACTGTACTTAAGAAATTGAAAATACACTAATTTACTTGAAAATACACTAATGTACTTTGTATGTAGAACACGCTGAGCTCAGTTTAACCACTGACGCACATTAATATTAGTTGAAAAAATAAGACTTATATTAGATATACATACTAATTAGATATGCTATTAGTTATCAAGCGACACACCGGCTGTTTCATTCCTTATCTCCCGTCATTAGAAGCCAAAAATTAGTCACAGTATAGATCCCGTCACGTAAAAAGGCCGCTGAACGATAGTGCAAGGGATGTGTTTACGCATGATAACAGTCGCGGGCGAAAGTATTAGGCTTTGTTTTTTAGTGTGTTAGTAAGTGTAAGGTAGAATTAATTATTATTGTAGAGTAAAAATAGATTTTTGTATGTTGCAGGGACAAATTAATCGCGATAACCGTTAAATCACGCAGTGCGCAGGTATAAAGCCAGCGGTCATTTAACGTGACGGGACCTATACCCACCTTGAGCAGCTTAGGCGCGGCGACTTGCAGCCAGCGCGGCAGGGCGGCGTGCTCGTGCTTCAGTAGGGCCAGCCACACCGCGTTGCCGGCATGCGCCAGCGTCAGCGATGGATGCGCCATCATCAGCAGAACACTTCTACACAGCACCCACCTTGAGTAGCTTAGGCGGGGCGGCATGCAGCCAGCGCTGCAGGGCGGCGTGCACGTGCGCGTTGTGCTCGTGCTTCAGCAGCGCCAGCCACACCGCGTTGCCGGCATGCGCTAGCGTCAGCGATGGATGTGCCACCATCAGCAGTACATTCCTACACAGCACCCACCTTGATGAGCTTAGGCGCGGCGGCGTGCAGCCAGCGCGGCAGGGCGGCGTGCTCGTGCTTCAGCAGCGCCAGCCACACCGCGTTGCCGGCATGCGCTAGCGTCAGCGATGGATGCGCCACCATCAGCAGTACATTCCTACACAGCACCCACCTTGAGTAGCTTAGGCGGGGCGGCATGCAGCCAGCGCTGCAGGGCGGCGTGCACGTGCTTCAGCAGCGCCAGCCACACCGCGTTGCCGGCATGCGCTAGCGTCAGCGATGGATGCGCCACCATCAGCAGTACATTCCTACACAGCACCCACCTTGATGAGCTTAGGCGCGGCGGCGTGCAGCCAGCGCTGCAGGGCGGCGTGCACGTGCGCGTTGTGCTCGTGCTTCAGCAGCGCCAGCCACACCGCGTTGCCGGCATGCGCTAGCGTCAGCGATGGATGTGCCACCATCAGCAGTACATTCCTACACAGCACCCACCTTGATGAGCTTAGGCGCGGCGGCGTGCAGCCAGCGCGGCAGGGCGGCGTGCTCGTGCTTCAGCAGCGCCAGCCACACCGCGTTGCCGGCATGCGCTAGCGTCAGCGATGGATGCGCCACCATCAGCAGTACATTCCTACACAGCACCCACCTTGATTAGCTTAGGCGCGGCGGCGTGCAGCCAGCGCGGCAGGGCGGCGTGCTCGTGCTTCAGCAGCGCCAGCCACACCGCGTTGCCAGCATGCGCTAGCGTCAGCGATGGATGCGCCATCATCAGCAGTACATTCCTACACAGCACCCACCTTGAGCAGCTTAGGCGCGGCGGCGTGCAGCCAGCGTGGCAGGGCGGCGTGTACGTGCGGCACGCGCGCTGCGTGCTCGTGCTTCAGCAGCGCAAGCCACACTGCGTTGCCAGCCTGCGCCAGCGTCAGCGATGGATGCGCCATCATCAGCAGAACGGTTTCCAGGAGGATCGGCATCCACGACTCCACGTTGCTGGCGTTGCTCCACAGCGACGTCAGTTGCTGAGACAGCCCCACCAACACCTGAGCGAGACAGTAACACCGATTAAATTAAACATTTCTAATGCGTCCTCTACACGTCGTTGGCAGATGCATCTGCAGATGGATTTCCACAAGCCGACCGCGAGTCCGAGGACTTCTGTAGGCCATTCAGTCGGTGTTGCAAGAAAAAAATTGCAAGCATGAGTGCACTTTCATTCGCAACTCCGATATTACTGATGCCTGAATCCCTTTGTTGCGTACCACAAAAACCGGTAAATAACGGATTGATGGCAGACGCATCTGCGGACGTCAAATACCTACCACAGACGCGCAAACTACTTCGTCTACTCTTCGGCAGACGCATCCACAGATGGCATAACACACACACCAATTAGCCTAGCCCCAAAGTAAGCACTGTAACGCTTGTGTTGGGGGACAGATACAACACTACAGTGAATAGGCTTGTGTCAACTAACAATAAATCGAATGGGTTACAGTTTCTTAATATGAATTATGATATACAGATAACAAAAAATAAAGCTATTTATCATCATAATTAAAGATTATTATTATTTTTAGAAAATAAATTCGAATAAAATAGGCATTAGATCACGTGACGGCAAACACCAATCAGAAAGACTGACGTCACCACGTGCAAAACATTACTTGTGGTTGCCGTTTCCATACATTTCATTGATATCTCATTCATGTTATTGTTACTTTGATACAATTATCAGTTTGTTTTCAGATAAGTATTGAAAGGAAGCCTAATAAATCCATGGAATTGGGATTTACCGAAGCAAATAATAATATTTTAACCTAAATAAAAAAATAATCGCATAACTACTCGACATAATTAAGCATATCATTTGGCAACTAGAACAAGAACAAGAAGTGTTTATTATTATGAATAAATATACTGAACTCTCAAATAGACTCTAAATCATACCATAAAATTAAATCAGCTTACCTAACCTCAACCTATTGTCATTGTTTTATCAATATAATGCAATAGAATTTATCCGGCTTGTATAACATTTTGATTTCATTGATTATGTTATGCAAAATACTTACATCAAAATGTTCATCACAAAATTATTCTTGTATTTGTTGATAAACAATGAATAGGTACCATCCCTCCTTGCAAGTTCTAACCATTTTTTCCGCATTTGTGGCATATAAATAATTTGTCTGGCGTTTTATGCTTCTCCTTTTATACTAGGACACTATACAGTACTTGTAATACGATGGATTCATTTTTAACTAAATAATTTTAATAGTCGGCGTACAGTGTATTGTTTGCTTTGCACGGCGTGACGTCATTCTAGACGCCATGACAGTCTAGAGCGTTTTCGAGGGAAATTTGAATAAGTTTTTTAAAATACAAAATACATATTGCTAATGTACTTTTTTATTTAAAATAATATTTGTTTGGGGTTAAATAAACATCAAGGTATATTATTAACCACTTTTTAAAACATAGGCAACTAGCCTATTAAGTTATTAACGTCATTGCTATAACGTACCTTTTATTTGTGAGTCCTTTTATAATAGGTGCAAATATGATTGAACGCATAGAAAGCAAGATATTTGCGAAAAACTGATTTTTGGGACCTTTGACCTGAGGTATCTGAAGAAGCCGTCACGAGATTATATGATACCACGTAGACGCTTTAAGCCAAGCATTAGGTCTTCTCATTATTAATGATATTTTTTTATTTATTTCAATAATCATAACTACTGCAATATGATTCTCTTTACCAATTTATCTACCTATATACAATCCATTTTTACAGAGGCCCAAACACGAATTTTGACAGCTCCGTAATCGTATCGTCATCGTCTTATTTTGTAAGGAAGGAGCCAGTTTGTTCTTACTTCGGTAGGGGCGCTGCTTAGTTTTCATAGAAACTTTGACGATGCGATACGATTGCGGAGCTGTCAAAATTCGTGCTTGGACCTTTGTTAGTTGTCGACAGATCACTGTCGTATTGTATTATTGTGGTCATACAATTTGGGCCGCTTATAAGGTTATTGTCAAGCTTACCTGCGAGAGTTTCTTTAGGAACAAGTAATGTTTTTCATCCACTGCATTTATGCTAGCAAGAGCGGCGCGGTGAATACACGAGATTGCATCCTCGCTAAATAATATCATGAGAGGTTTGCGCTCCTTTGTCTGAAATTAATTACATATTTTATTTTATACATGCGTTTACACAGATGTTTCACGCATGACCAAAGTGTGCTTTAAAAGGTCATTGATCTACATTTGGAACAATGAATATTGTTTTTTTTTGTTTACACCAGATCAATAATTTAGTTAAATTTTCAAATAAAGTATTGCCTTTACAGTAGCCATTGCTTGATGACTACTGTGATTAAAATCAGAACCATAAAAAATCGACATGCCTACATATCAATGAATTGGATTTTAAGTAACTGAGTGTATAAAATCGTAAGATTAATGTTTGATACTTGCAAAAAAGGATTTTGGATGATTTTTCGGAGACATACAGCTTTTTAACTGAATTAAAAAATAAAATACCTAGTCAGGTCATAAATTCTGACACATGTTTAATATAAAATAATTGAAAAAGTTTATTTATTATGTAACCATTTATATACCAAAATGAACTTAAGAAAACATAGATTCTTATGACAATAAAGTTTCTTCAAAATGACCTCCGTGATTTTGAATACAGGTCTTCAATCTGCGCGGCCAGTCGTCTATCGCAGCACGAACGAGGTCCACGTCAATATCGGCGGCTGCCTTAATCAAGGATGTCTTGAGTGACTCCAAATTGGGATGAGGCTTTGAGCTCGCCTTTTCCTCCAAGTGTTGCCATATCTTGTAATCTAACGGACTCAAATCTGGACTGGAGGAGGGCCAGTCTTCGTGCCGGATGAAGTCGATTTCACGCGCCGCCAGCCAGTCTTGTGTGCTCTTCGCTCTATGAGCTGGCGCCGAATCTTGTTGGAATACCCAGTGCCTGTTATTGAACATGGTATGAGAAACAGGTTCCACAAGGTTCGTCAGGACTGTATTATGATACACAACTGCATTCGTTTTTATACCTTTCTCACAAAAATGTACCTCTGTTAAGCCCCAATAAGAACCAAGACCATGAGCGGGGATGGAAAATGACCTCGTTGGACACGCGGAATACGGTTGCTCGCTTCTTCACTACAGTGTGTGTACACCTTATCATTTTGTTATTGTAGCTCTCCTCTACGGTAAAAATTTTTTCATCCGAAAAAAGAATCTCCCGATATTTTTTCCCCGCGTACCGCTTCAACAAAGCGCGGCATCTCTTCAGTCTCAGGTCCATTCCTGTTTTTCTTCGATATGCCCGAAGCCCAAAGTCTTCATTTAACACCCTTTTCAACGTGGTTCTGCTTAACCCCATCTGAAGGGCCAACAGTTTCTGATTACGTTTGGGATTTCTTTGAATTCGCGCCTTTTGTAGAGGCACACGTAGACTCTGGCCAGGGGACCCCCAACAACTTGTACCCCCCGCATGGAGAAGGAAGGATCTTCCAAGCAGCGGAGACGGCGACAACATACGGATCCGCCCGAACGTACAGGCATACACCGGCTTCCGCTTTGAAGGATTCTTCAAGCACATAGCCAGGATAGTTAAATTAGCCTGTTTCAGCAGGCGGGAGTATTAATGTTTCCGTCAGAAACAACAATTCTGACCGTGCTGTCTCGAGGTGGTGGTGGACAGCGTGGGGTTGCAGTGAAGTCCGCGCATGTTGCAGAACTCGACATGAAACACCGTTGAGGGCGTGAGGTGTGCACCGCTGTACGTCCAAACTTTGTTTTAGGGGCTTCCATGATGGAGGTGAAAAAGAGACGTGAAACGAGCGTACGTTGTCGTGACAGGACAGGGGAAAATTAAGGTGGTTTGTTTCCTCGAATGACTGTCTGCAGAGGAAGGAATTCCACGTCCCGGTTAATAACCAGCAAGACGGTCCACCCCGAGATTATGCGTGACATGATGGGGCAGCCTTACGAACTGGTTAGGAATGCTCGGGCCCCTGTACTGTGCCATGGGCGGCCAGCGGAACAGCCGTTTCTACGGGTCTCTCTGGCAGTCGATGCAGTACTTCCGACATCGGTTCGACGGATCCCCTGGACCGAATCTGTTGCGATAACGCCCACTCGAGCACTGGTTGTACGCTTGCTGACCCCGAAACGCGCTAGAGTACTTCACGGGTTTGACACCATGCGTACAGTGTTAACTAACCAGGCGGACGTAAAGCGCCCTACCACTAGTGGAGCGGATGAAAGCTCCAATTTCACTTAGTCGCTTCTTGTTTTTGAAACCCACGGGAAGAAGAGAAGTATTCTTTCCCCGTCACTGCCGTATAAAATATATATGTATGTATACATTCATATGAAATTCATTCGCATTTATATGAAAATCTGAATCGAATTTCTAATGAACGTATTTGGCGGATAACCAGGAATAGGAACGTAACGTAACGTAAACGTAACGGAGTCACAATAACATAACGGAAATGGAAATGGGCGGGACATTCGACACTGATAGACCAGAAAAGTGATGGAATGGCGACGTTGGTCAAACACGCGTAGTACTAGGGTTCCAACCCTACTATATAATATAGTATCCTACTTTATCAGGGGATTTACTATACATATTTCTAAAAAAATATATAGTACTATATTTTGCTTAAAACAAAATTTTCACAGTAAAAGCGTCCTTAGAAAGTAGATATTTTAACCACATACTATATTTTTTCCATCTTCTACATATTTTTAGAGGTAACAGCTTCGAAAATACTATATTTGATAGAAAAAAAGTTGGTAACCCTGAGTACAGGTCCCCCTCCAGTACGTTGGGTGGACGACATCAGACATCGCGCTGGCCGCAATTGGATGCATGTGGCAGAAAGAGAAATGGAAAGATATAGAGGAGGCCTTGTTTACAAGTGGACCACGTAAAAGGCTGCTCTGGATAAATTGATGTATGAAACATCTAACTTAAGTTTATTTATGAATTCTGTAATTTAAAATTTCAGCTTAGTGGTGACTTTATAAAACTCTTATACAAATCTGTCCAATGAGGCATACATATTATTCATTAGATTTTTCATAAAAATTCAAGTTTCATAAAAACTATTGTTATTTTAAGATTTCAGAAAATTAATAATTAATTTATAAACTTAATATTATGTAAATTATTTATTTATGTAGGTAAGTAGGTTAAGCTATGTAGTTTTTAAGTTTGTGTTATTTTAATGTATTATCTTCGTATAAATAAATAAATTTTAGTAGTAATAGAGTATATAAGTATTTATAAACAATATATTGAACATGCAATCTAACTGTTTTAGATACCAATTCTGTCTATTTAGTTAGATACACTTTTAGACAATAAATAAGAATGGCAATTTGTAAGTTTAAAGAATAATTTCTCTGATATATGGTATGTAAACAACATTGTATTTATGTTTTTATTTATTTTTAAGCATTTAACTGCTAGATGTTTAAATCTAAAGAAAAGTTTACTAGAAAAAATCCACGCGGACCAGGCAGCGGACGGGACTCGAACGTATGCTACCACGGCCCTATTCGCCGCGTCGAAATTTTCCTAGCCTTAAGCTGCAACATTATATTTAAATAGATTTTTAATAGACAATTTAAAGAATGAACTCATTAGCAGATAATTAATTCCTCATTAATATTGTTAAGATTTGTAAAGTATGTATAAATTACTAAGTCATTATTATTTAGTTACTATCATTTTTAAGGTTATTTCTGATAAATAGTAATTACATGCAATGTATGAGGGCTAACTACCTTGGAGCTTATTTTGTATCCAAGCAGATTTCCACTTGAATTGGAACACCTGTATGAGGAAGTAACCTACATCTTACAGAAACAAGACAGAAACATAAGACTACCATTTAGTGGTGCTGTGATGTGACAAGCCCCACACAGAATCACACAAACCACTAAACAAAAACTTAGAGAACAGCTGAAGAGGTACACTTTACTGCCATTTCAGCTGTATTTACGTTTCAGACTCTATTTACTCAAGTGGGAAGATGTAATTCGCTATGCCTTGTAAAAATAAGCAACTTACAGATCCCTTCCTATTGACTACTTGTAGCAAGCACTCTGCTGCTGGTAGCTGAAAAGAATCATCTTGAAGCAGGATGCACAAGATCTGCAGTAGCCGGCCATTGTTCATTACAACATGATTTGTTGAAACCCACTCCACAAATCCAGTCAGAGTTAAGAGGACAACCTATTTACAACAAAGCAAATAAATATAATTTTTCATTGTGAATGGAAAATGTTTAATATATTTAAAATTCTTTGTGAAACTTTGTTAATAATATGGGAAAAAATAAAAATTTTGATTTTTTCAATAAGTTAAAATGCTTGTGGACATAACAAATTACATTGTTACTATTTACTATATTAAGTATATTTTTAATCAACTATACCTGGACTACTCGACCATTGCTGGCTGCTGCATTAAAGTCTCCAGTGGCTGTCTTCTCTCTGAATTCTTGCACATGAAGCTCAATCAACCTCATAAAGAATGCAAATATTTCTGACATATTACTTGTCAGTGCTTGATATATATCTTTACGACGCTGATGTTGTTCCAAAGTCTTTAAGTGAAATAACAGGTTTTGATAATTTTGATAACCATCTTATTCCAATATTAATATGCTTAGTATGTTATCATAAAAACATAATTCTCTTTTTTTATACCATACCTGTAGTGTTGCAACATCTTCAACAAGTCGAAGAAATACATGTAGGACGATTTGAGTATGTAGGTGACCTCTAGCACAAGCATCACTCAGTTCAGCAAGCAATGTTGGCCATTGCTGTGGCCACTCACGCTTAATCATCTCCACAATAACACGGGCCAAGGCATCATTAAGATGACCTGTTTCCCATCCTCCCATATACAATAACTTCATAGCATTTTCCTGATAAAAAAGGTCTAAATATAAGAAATAGTTTAGCAATCACATAACAAAGAAAGATAATTATAATGACAAAGCAATTAATGATTTAATTAGGTGTTTTATAGACATTACTTTCATTGGTCAAATTACATGTTTACAAAGAGCATGACTAGATTAAATCAAAGATTGAGTAATAATATTGACACAAAATAATGAAATACTTTTTGTTGAAAATTGTTCAAAACATTTCTTATATAATAAAAATATTGCTTACTTTAATAAAAATTTTCTCTGCTTGAGTAATTTGAGTCCATCGATATTTGACTGTGTGTTCCATCAACTGAAGTCCAAAGTGCTTAACTACAGCAGAGTATTGACTTCCACTGGCCAAGAGAAGACCAGCTTGAGCACACCATGGTGAATTTTCTTTGAAACTAAAAATATATTAAATGTGAAACTACAACTAGTTATCAATTGACCATTTCTTTCTTTAAAAAAGTCAATTACCTTTCACATGCATTATATGCTTGACTGCGTGCATCATGTGATACAGCAGGGTTCAAAGTCAGCTCCACAGCGCGACTCAGGTCATCAGCGACAAGAGCCACTTCCCCCGTGACTTCTTCAGTCACACCAATGTTCATTGTGGTTCAATTTTTCTATAAATATAATAGTTTCTTTGATTTTATACTTTTTGTATCAGATTTCTGTAGTTAACTGACATTTTTACCAAACTAACGTCATTTACTGTATTTATTTTAAATCTATCTAAAATTCAAAACAATAACAAAGAGTTTTTACTTACCCACTTTACATAAATGTTATACGTTTTTCCATAGAATATTACTTAAATTTTTTGTACCACTGAAACACATAATAAATCGTTAAGCACACGACTGAATTGACACGATTTTATTGATTGTAAAAATTATAGAAGAATCTTTGTATTACCAAAGACATACCCGGTACACTGTACTGTAAGCATTTAATTTAAACTTAAGAAGACTTTAAACACGAAAGTAACTCGTAGGCCAAATTTTAAATTAAATTATCATTCCATTAAAAAAATATTCATTGCAATGTCTTTCAAAACATCATGCAAGTAGTCATTTGGAACTTGGAACCTCGTGGAAATTAATTTGCAATTGCTTGAATTTTGCTACTTGCACTTGCACCACAGACTACCCAAACCAAATTGCTACAAAAATATTGGACCAAATCGCTTCTCCAAAGTTATGTCATGGACATACAATTCCATAGGACGTATACGTCCGTGGGTGGGGTATGGTTATCTTAATAGACAGGGACAAATTGCCTTTTTACTATATCTCTCACTGAGCCCGCTTAATATATATAATAGTGATCCGTGGACATATGATTTTGCTACAGGTGATCAGAGGCAGCGACTGAAAATAATAAACTGCGTCAGGGAGTGCGACAAGGGTTAACTGTTCACTAATACATTACCGAGGATACGTTAAAGTTGTTAGACTGAAAAAAAAAGAAATGGCAGTTGTAGTTTTCTTTGTACATTTATTTATGCAGCAGCAGTTTAATCTGCTTGATTTTTATATATAAGAAAATCTTTACTAAAAAACAACTGGGCCCAAGTATCAATCTGAACTCCTATCAGTGTCTAATAAATCCCGGCGAATATATCGCTATGATAATTAGGTTCAATACGCATTATAGGTAATTGGGTAACTAACCACGGTCAAATACTATGTCTATGGTGCAAATACAGATTCGCTGTGAAAATGGGTACGTATCTGTGGTTTTTGTTTTGGTTTCCTCTTTACGCTGTCATCTAACTACTAAAATTTGAATTCTGCGATTTATGAACTCGAATTCTTAAAAGTTTGATTTAGATTTTTCAAAAAGGTTTTACTGAAATGGACACAAAAATAACATTTCTTGAACCTTTTCTTGAAAAACAGCTCAAGGGACATCGTAATGCCATTACATCCGCTTATTATAGTCCAAATGAAAAACAGTTAGCAACTAGTTCGTTAGATAACAGTGTTTTGGTAAGTATGTATTTTCTACTTCTAATATTTAAAAAAAGTAACTGTTATCTAGGAAGTAAGTAATATCTTGAATAATTCCAAATGATACTGTTACAGCTGTGGGATCTTCGCGGTACCATGCGAAGCTACAGATTTCAAGGGCACGATGAAGCTGTAATGGATGTGACTTTTTCGCCTTCTGGAAAATATATGGCTTCTGCATCGCGTGATAAGACTGTCAGACTTTGGGTGCCTACTGTTACAGGCAGTACAGGTGTCTTCAAGGCTCATTCACAAACTGTACGTTCTGTACAGTTTAGTCCTGATGGAACAAAGGTACCTGTATTATTCCCAGTTAGAAAAACTCAATGAGTGCTTGGAATAAGTAAATTTAATGGACATTCATTATTACAGATTATAACTGCATCTGATGACAAAATCGTTAAATTATGGTCTAGTGATAAACATAAATTCATAGCCTCTTTTGTGGGTCACACTAACTGGGTGAGATGTGCCCGAATGTCTAATGACGGTTCTGTCATTGCTTCTACATCAGATGACAAAACAGTGAAACTGTGGGACCCTGTCAGTGGAGATTGCATTCATACATATAAGAATGAAAAAGGACATGGTTTATATTTAGCATGGCATCCTTCAGGGTGTTATATTGCGGTTGGTACTGGTCATGGAAATGTTAAACTGTATGATATCAGAACTCATAATTTAGTTCAATATTACAGGTAAATATAAGTCTCTTATCATAATGGATATAAACAAATATGATTTCTCCTTAATTCATATATTTTACTTCTAGTATTCATAATGACGCAGTTACCCAAGTGGCATTTCATCCTAGTGGTAGCTACATTTTAACAGCTAGTAAGGATGGAAAAATGAAGGTAATAGTGGTTTGTTATAATAATGAATGAAAATTATAAGAGGATATTACAAAGTCTGCAATTTTACAGATATTAGATTTGTTAGAAGGACATCCCATATTTACTCTCAGTGGGCATGGTGGAGCAGTTAATGCAATAAATTTTTCACCAAGTGGAGATTCTTTCACATCAGCTGGGGAAGATAAACTGGTTTGTATAGCTTTTAGAAATTCTATGAATTAATAACATGAAGTTAGATGTACATACTATACTTGTGTATTTCATTGTTGTAGGTTTTTATATGGAAAACAAATTTCACCGAGATTTCTAGTGAATATAAGGAAAATGTTGGTCAAAATTCATGTATACCTAAGTCTGCATCACAATTGTCAAAAGCAACCACATCATCAAGATCAAGAAATCAGGTTGTCAAAAAAAGACATTGGCTGTAGTAATTACTGTATTTAAAAAGTAATTTTGTAGATAAGATGTAATTAATAAAAATATTAGTAATATATCAAATATGTAAATTGGTTTTAGTCATAGTTTGGTGAGGTAAAAATAATTTTAAATAGATATATTGCCATATTTTAATTAAAACATTATTGATGTATAATAGTTCAATTAACATTTTCTTGTTCAGGTGTGGTCCTTGAAAACTGTTGCTATGCAATATACAGTTGAAGTACAAAAAATTGATTTTAGAGAGACTTGTTATTTCAATTGCCTCAAACGTTCTGCCTCTTATTAGATTTAGTTGAAGAAACAATATTAACTTTGATTATCCATGCATCAGGGTATAAGGATTTGGTATAAGTGTTACCATAGCACCAAATATCCAGCCACTACGTTCATGCACCTTGATGATATAGATGAATCAGTTGAAGAACCAGGGAAATTATCTAACTTTCAAGATCCCATTGCTAATAGTACTTTGATAGATGCATTAGGAAACAACCAACAAAGAACTCAAGAACAAAGAATTATTGCTGAAAGTTCAGTAACAAATTCTTCAGTACATTTTAATGATTCTCCTACAAATAATTCTCATAGTGTGGGCCATACAAGCCACATTCCTCGTACTCCACCCAGTCCTGCTACCTACTCCATACCATCCATAATAAACAAAGTTATAGAAACTGATCCGGAGAATGAAGATATATTTGGAATGATTAAACTAAAAGAAAATGATGTTTGTTATACCAGTGGTACTATTGAATGGGTTGGAAGAAAAAGAGGCTATCCTATAAACAGTGGGTTTAAAATAATAAATCAAAATTGTAAACAGGTAATTGAGCCAGTTTCAAAGAAAATTAAGAAAATAAATGAAACTTTCACAAGTGGCGAAGTGGAAAAACTAAGAGAATGTTACTGTGCTGATGTTCTTCCTACAGTAAATGCTATTGTTGAACATTTAAATGCTTTACATGAAGCAGTTGATCTTGCAGATTTAAGGCTTAATACATTAGAAGAAGCTATGAGTAAGGATCAGTAAGATCATTAATTTGATAATTGTTAATTTTTGAACATTAAAAATACAATTCACAAAAATATGTAATTTATTAACAATGTAGACTACAGTAAGTGTTTATATTAAAATATCAAGCAAATCTCTAACAAATCAGAAACTTTACAACCTTAAAAATCTTATATATAAAACAAATATTAAATATTTCTTAGAGTAATGGCTGCATTTATAGAGGTCAATTAACTTTTAATTGCTCATAAAGTTTATGCTAAACATTAGAATAAGGGAACACATGACTAATGAAGTATTCAATTTAATTGGTGTGTCTGTGTACAGTGGTTATTCGTATTGAGACAATGACTAAACCTTACTCATATTGGTTTGTTAAAGACATGGAGCACTTATTGTGTACCTATATAGGTAGTATTTTTGCCTGTTTTTTTAATAACTTCTAGAAGCTCCTCAGCACTCAATGTTGATGTCACTGAAACTTTCTGTTCGGGTAAACTTATTGACACATTTTCTACACCTTGCCCTTTTAACCTACCCAATACTCTTTCCACTGCTCCAGAACAACCTTCGCAAGTCATTGCGACATTAAAAATGTGTGTCTGAAACAAATCAAGATTTCATAAGTTCAACCTTGTGGAGACTTCATAGGAAATCATTTCAACAATTTCTCAGAACTTTTTATCATGGTTCAAAAGCAATCAACTATTTGGTCAGAGTTTGACAAATTAATATTCTTTTTTCTGTTAATTTACATAACGTGGCATTATTACAATTTAATTTTCTCGTTCTCAATAAGTACTTACCGAAGACATTTTAAATTTGACACCACTTTCCTGTATTAACAGCAGTGAATTGAAACGAGTATTGTTAAGAGTATTTATAAATTTCACTTTATATCTGTAAGGATAAATTGATAATATAATCTTATCGAACAACAGATTTTGTTGAATGTACAGTCGCACAAACGGTATATAAATCTACCACATATATACAGACAAAGGTCAATGACCTAGCTAATTTTTTTATATAATGGTAGCCATACATACTACGAGAAATCGTTACGATCAGACTACAGTTCGAACGGAACAGTTTATCGTACGTGGCGTACGTATAGGAAACTGTGCAGTTTTATAACATACACGCTACGATTTATCGGTACCGTTCGGACGGTACAGTCTAATCGTAACGATTTCTCGTAGTGTGTATGGCTACCATAAGTTTTACGGCCGTGAACTCCTCCATTTCGGCCATTCATTATTAGTTCATTACATCAGTGTATATGTCTTCGAAAGTCATCATAGGTCTCCCCTAATGCACACCACTGCTCCCGGTTTTCTGCCACTCTCATCCAGCCCACTCCAACCAGCCTACGAATGTCATTATCCCATCTTGTCTCAGGGCATCCCACACTACGTTTAACGAGTCGCGGTCTCCACTCAAGAACTTTACGGCTCCATCGGCCGTCAGTTCTGCGGCTAATGTGATGCCTGCGGCTGCCACTTCAGTTTGCTAATTCGGTGGGCTATGTCGGTGACTCTGGTTATCTATCGGATTATATCATTTCTGATGCGGTCCTTCAGGGATACTCCGAGCATAGCCCTTTCCATAGCTCTCTGAGCGACTTTAAACTGGTGGACCAGTCCAGCCGTGAGTGTCCACGTCTCGGCGCCGTATGTCATAACTGGGACGCACTGGTCGAAGACTTTCGACTTGAGACATTGAGGGATGGACAAAAAGACTTGACGACGCTTATGAAATGCTGCCCAGCCCAACTGAATTCTTCTATTGGCTTCTCTCTCAAAGTTGTTTCTGCCTAATCGGAGCGTTTGTCTTAGATAGACATATTCCTGAACAACTTCGAGAGGTACTCCATTAACAGCAACCAGTCCCGGATCAACGAGCTCGTTGAACATGACCTTGGTTTTATCCAAGTTCATCCGGAGACTGATGCGTTTGGAAGATTCAGCCAGGCTACTCACCATCTCCTGTAGGTCTTGCAGGGTTTCAGCCAAGATGACGATATCGTCCGCGAATCGGAGGTGTGAGATGTATTCGCCATTAATATTTATTCCGCGTCTTTTCCAGTTGAGCGTTCCGAACATGCCCTGCAGCGCAACGGAGAAGAGTTTCGGGGATATTACATCTCCTTGTCTCACACCACGGCGCAACAGGACAGGCTCGGTCTGGCCATTCTGGAGCACGACGGACATATTAGCGGTGTTATACAGACATCTCAGCACCTCGATATATCACCAATCAACTTGGCACCTCTGCAACGCCTCAAGAACAGACAAACGCCATGCACAGGGGCTGGTTATACTCTTTGGTCTTCTGTATAACCTGTCTCACTGTGTGAATGTGGTCTATGGTACCATAACCCCGTCGGAACCCGGCTGGTTATACTCTTTGGTCTTCTGTATAACCTGTCTCACTGTGTGAATGTGGTCTATGGAACCACAACCCCGTCGGAACCCGGCCTGCTCTGCAGGTTGAGCTTCGTCAAGTCTTCGTGCAAGGCGATTCGAGATGACTCTCGAGAACAACTTATAGACATGGCTCAGGAGTGAAATTGGTCGATACTTCTTCAGTAAGGTTTTGTCGCCTTTCTTGAAGAACAATACGACCAAGCTCCGGTGCCACGCCCTTTTAAAGTGATCAGTCTTTAATTTATGATAGACTTTATTATTCATTTATTGGATAATAGAAAGTGATAAATCTAAACACAGGTGGCAGAAAATCTTTAAATAATAGCACTTTTTTCTGTAAATCTGATAAATACTAAAAAATACTTGGATTACTTCAAGCACATATAAAATTTACGGGGCACTTAAAGCGTAAAAAGCTTAAAATACACTGAAAAAACACGACTGCCGTTTACGTCCAATTAGTCGACTCGGAAGTCGAAAAGTCCTACTCCGTACCGCCCACCGCCACCCTTGAGCTGGTCACCGTAGATGTGGTGCATACGTTAATCCGTAAATTTCGCCCGCGTAGCGCCCTCGGGTCAGATGAAATCTCTAGTAAGCTCCTTAAGATCTTACCCACCCAACCCCTTTGCCTTGTCACCGCTATCTTTAACGCGGCTATGACAAACGCGATATTTCCCGCAGAGTGGAAAAAGGCCGTCGTTATCGGGATCCGGAAACCCGGTAAGGACGGCGCCTTATCCTCTAGCTACCGCCCTATAAGTCTCCTCAAAACGCTGGGGAAACTTTAGGAAAGCGCCCTCGCTAGCCACCTTAAAGATTTTCTCTTTGCGAACAATCTCATTATGAACAAACAGTTTTGTTTCCGTCCCAAACACTCGTGTGTCCACCAGGTTCACCGCCTAAGGGTGCGGCCAGAGTGCACTCAGATTCAGATTCAGATTCTGAAAACAAAAGTACTTGGGAGTCACGTTTTATAACCGATTGACGTTTGCACCTAACAATTTACAAAACTTGCATCATGACCTACGCGAATTTTTGCTTCGCCCACGTTCCTCCGCCTTAAACCACTATAAACGCTGCAAAATCGTGTATTACGTGGTGCCACGGGTTGCTCGTGGTACGAGCGCAACATCGATTTGCATCGCGATCTCAAATTAGACTCCAACGTAAAGTATATGAAAGACGCCTCGAGATTTTACTTCGTTAAAGCCACGCATCATCCGAACCCCCTAGTAGTCAAAGCCTACGTCCGCCCTCACGTCCTCCAATCGTAGGTCCCTCCGATTTCGTCGGCCTAGGCACGTCTTAGAGTACCCGACGACGAAATCACCCGCGCCAACGCGCCTCTGACTCCTCCCACACAGGCCACAAGCACCAACACTACACAGCTAGCATACTTGCACACTAGCTCAGCATTAGGCAGACACCGCACCCGTACGATAAGAGTGCGAAGACCCGGTCTACACACGACACGCTATATCCTGATATAGCGTACAGGTACCTGTAAAGGTACGTACCTGGGCGTTTTCCCCCACCCTCTAGTTGAGTCGACCCCCTCAGGTTCGAGTGGTCTAGAAGAAGAAGAGAGAGAAGAGAGTGGAATACCTCTTGAGACACTCGCCAATTCTCGGCTTGAGGTCCCCTTAGGATCTCGCCGTCCCCAAACCCGGTGACGCTGTAAAGGTCAACCGCGTCTAACACACTCAAAAAAAAAGACTGCCGCACCGTTTAAAAAAATGGAACTATAAAATTAAAAAAAATAACTACTCTTTTTTTTATAGGAGCATATTTTTTATTGCCGTTGGGGCAATGTTTTTGATAATGAAACGATGTCCCCCAATGGTTTTGAAAAAGTTTACCAACATTCCTTCCTATTCGAAAATTAAAACTTTATTTTTTAGTTCATTTCATGAACGGCAGGCGTGTTTTTTTATTAGGTTTATTTCACCTGCGTCTAATTTGTTTATAGGAGAAATTTATTTATAGGTGCTCACGTGGTGGGGTAAATAAAAGAGACACCTATTCATTCAAATCCGTTTAGCAGTAGGGCTAACAAGCACACACAAACTTTCGCATTAAAACCCCTTTAGCGGTCATGCGCATGCGCCGCTCACCCCCTCAAGCGGCAGACCATCCACCGAGGCCCCCCGCGGGGTGGGAATGATTGCATTGCTTTGCCGATTTCTGTTATTTTGTAAGAATACCCTAAGATTCTCTATAAAATTTACTATAAAACAGTGTCTAAATAATGCGTCATGTCTATAATCTATTTTAATTACGTTACGGTAAACTCAGGAAAGATAAAAAAAGGCGTTTACATGGGTAAAATGGAGTATATTTTCAAAATTTCATGTCCAGATTTTTTGGTTATTTGCACATTCTATTATAACTTACCAAATAAAACCATAAAATACCATACTCCCACAATTTAATTTTACACTACAGCTCTCACATTCCGCGTGTGCCAATTGTGTAAACAACCGCGCGTAGTATAAACAAAGCTCCAATTTCAAGTGGCTCGATAAGGATTAACCGGGGTCTGAATGGCTCTGATTTATGTTATCCCGTTAGCTCCGAGTGTGAAGATAACATTACAACCAAGATTGTTATGAATAACGTTTGTCCATTTTTTAGGTTTAAGAACTTACGAGGCATTTCAAAATCGCCTACAAATCAGTCATCTTAGTTTTATGTCTATAAAACGAAAAGTATTTTCAATTTTGATAAACAGTTTTTTTTATCAAAATGTACGCGAAATTTGCTTTAGAATAAGCAAAAACTAATCACTGGTTCACATAAAAGAAAATAATATAAAAAAATATTTCGTTCGTGTATTTGAATTTCGAACGACCGTTCCACCGCGCGGATTTTGTTTTTTTTTATTTCTTCAAAAATACGAACTCAAGAGATTCTTTGTATTCAAAGTATTAATCATGAATAATTTATTCAATAATTAAAAATTAAAACATTACAATTATTATCGAAATTATCAAATGAAAACATAAGGTAAGTAGTAGTAACCCCTAAGTTTTCGCTGCAGACGCGGTCGCAAAAAAAATCTAAAAAAAAAAATTCACGGAGACCCGCAAACGAAACATCAAAATAGAGTAACTAAATGTATTTAACTTAACCAGGCATGGTGTTTTTTTCTTTAAAACCACTGAAAAGCACTTAAAATAGTCTGAATACACGGCATATTTTTTTTCATACAAAAAACGGCGAACGACGAACTTTGACAGATAACAGTATAAATATTTCATATGGCAGTTGATTAATCAATGGCTAGATAGCTAGCCCGTTTTTTCCTCTAAAAATTGATATATGAATGAAGGTAGGATAGAAAAACGATGAAAGGCCGAATGTCGGTCGCGTGCCGCATGAGTAAATTGCCGACAGTCGGCCGTTTGCCGCTTGAGGGGTGTGTGATTTGATAATATCCCAACAATATTAGAAAAATGTCAGTCATAAATCACTTTTACAGAATATCGAAATATCGTCACAAAATTACTTGTGTTTATAAAGATATCAATATACAATGGGATAGCCTTGCGGCAGCACCATAGTGCGCCTTTACTTAAAAAGGCGCCATTTTCGTTTTCCAGTCACTTTATGTACTTAAAGAACTTTTCTTCTACACGTTTTTTTCATAGGTATGCCATCTCCATAGGTTTTAGTACTCGGAGTTAGAGGTAAACTTTTCTCTTTGATGTGTCAATTTTGGACTTAACGTATGGACCAAATGCCTGCACTTCATTTGGCTATTCGTGTCGTCATCAGTCTGACCCTTTCATTCCTGTACTAATGGTGGTATACATGTTAACATTTATTTATTTCAAAACCCAAACACAATAGGCTTAAAAACAAGTAAGCATTCCTGTTACTGTTAGATATTTATACATACTAGTGATGTAACGAATGTTGGATTTTTCACATTCGCGAATGCGAATGCGATTGCGAATGAGAATATTTTAAAATTTCAAAAAAAGCGTGCGTAAAATGTTTGACACGTTTGACGTTTCGTGTCGGCCATGTTTAAATTGAACATAGCCGAGCCGATATTGGTTAATTGAATAAATTTAGTAGAATTTAGAGTTATGTAGAAAGTTCATTCTAAAAGTTTTGTTTTGTTTTGAGGTTACTTTTATGTTTTGAGTGTTATGAGGTTATTTAATACATTAGATATTTAAAGTTTAATAATTTTGTTTCAAGTAATTGTTTAGTTTTTTAGTAAATAGAAATTGTAAACTTTATTTAAAAATGGTAGTAAAGTACCTAAAAATATACTACTAAATAAATTCAAACCTTAAATAGTTGTAACAAGGCTGATTAATGTTAGATTTGATCAGATCTCTGAAGTTCTATTTTCATAAATGAGACTTTAATTTAGAATGTAGAAGTATGATTTAATAAAAATATCTAAGTGTTATCTATTGTGTTATTATTTCATATGCATGCATGTAATAATTTCCTTTTTGATTATTATAAAAATTTGCTAAATATTACCATAATTTTCGCGAATGCGAATGCGAACGCGAATATTGAAAATTATGCGAATGCGAATATCCCATTTACATCCGTTCCGTTACATCACTATTACATACATATTTTCCTTGGTCTTCACAGTTTTTTGAAAGAAGTGGAGTTGAAAAACTCACTTGTTCCAGCCGTTCATACTATATATAATGCGATTCAACTAAGAATAGGACCGGCTGGGCGCCATATTTTGACGTCAAAGCTGTCAATTCAAACCAAATAGGTAAAGTGAGCAAAAAAATTTTGCTATTTAATAAAACTTTTACTAAGATTAAGTGAGACAAAACATCAGATTTTTTAATAAAATTAATTTACTAAGGTTGAGAAAGAACACAACCGATTTTTAATAGTATTTCTTTATTAAGACTGTGTGAAAAAAAACTTAATCAGAATCTAGCTCTTCAATTTCGCTCCTCTCTGCATTACCGCCGGAGAAGTTATGAATAATCATGCAGGTCACATACGAACATGCATCCTATAATATATAAACGAAAGTTTTAAATCGAGTTTCTGAACGCAACATAAAGTGACATTTGGTTGACGATTTAGGTTATCAACCATCCAGAGCCAATACTCATTAAGTGAAAAAAACAAAAAATATTAATTATCAACATTTGTTATTGTTTGTTTAAAAATGTTTGGTTTTTATTCTAGAATCAGCTGAGTGCTAAAAAAGTGTTTCGAGATTTTTTTGCAAACCGTACTTTTTAAGCGACATTTGACAGATGGAGGTAATTGGCTTTTCTCTTCTTATTTGAACCGCATTTTACATTGATAAAATGATTATTTTCCACTTAATCATACTGGACTGGGTATTCAGTGGTCCATAATTTATTTCAACCGAATATTTTTTGCAAATCTATATTTTTCCAATACTTATGTCACATGTACTTGGTTATTGTCCCTGTTAACGTTACTTTATTAAAATCACGGTCAACATAAATAGGTACTTTATTAAAAATCTTCTGACGTTCCGAGGTAAATGTTTGATTTACAGAAAAAAAATGTTTATGGTCATATTGCATAAGGGTGCGGCCAGAGTGCACTCAGATTCAGAGTCAGATTCAGATTTCGAAAACAAGCGCGAGAAATAAACAGTGTAGTCTAAGCAGGTTGCTTGCTTTTTCTCGCGCTTTGTTTTCTGAGTCTGAATCTGAATTTGAATCAAGAGTGCAATCTGGCCGTACCCTTCGACTACACTGTTTATTTCTCGCGCTTGTTTTCAGAATCTGAATCTGACTCTGAATCTGAGTGCACTCTGGCCGCACCCTACGGGTGCGGCCAGAGTGCACTCAGATTCAGATTCAGATTTCAAAAACAAGCGCGAGAAATGAACAGTGTAGTCGAACAGTTTCTCGCGCTTGTTTTCAGAATCTGAATCTGACTCTGAATCTGAGTGCACTCTGGCCGCACCCTAACAGAGATAAAAGGTCTATGTTTTTTACATATATATTAGTGGATGATTTTTTATTTTCTTCCACTCGTGCCATTTTATTAGTCAGTTCCAAAGGGTTAACTAGTACATTAAGGGAATTCACGCCTGTTTTAGTATAATGTACGCCCCTCTTTTAATGTTTCTTGGTGTGTTGGCAACACTGCTTCGTTCTGTCATGTCATGTCTGTCATGTCCACTAAATATCGTATCGTATGCCTGCTTGTGAAATAAAATAATTTTACTACAATATTTAGTGAAGTCATGGTCTAGTAATATCTCAACAATATGACACTCCAAGAGAATCTCAAGGAATTAGGCTGGTAAGTATATTTCCATCATGGAAGGTATTATGGTTTTTACTGAATGTTACTCCTTTAAAAATTGAAGTGCAATGCATGCTTCTTACAGGAACTTGAGTGAAGATGGTATCAATATTGTAAGTGAAAACGGTGAAATACAAGATGTAACCATTATTAGTAAGAGAGCCTTGGATGTAAGTACAGAAACAAGAATACTATTCATTGTTTTACTATGTCTGCTTGCATATTATTAATTTTCTTGGGTATGTTTTAGTTCGATTTGCGAGATATTGGAGATGCAGCATTCCCTGAAGAGTTTCCTAAAGATCCAACTACGTTGGAAAGACCTATAATAGTGCAAATTCAGAAGATAAGAAATGTGTCTGCTCCTAAAGCTAATGAGGAATCCAATTCTGCCCCGCGAATGTTAAAACTTACTTTGCATGATGGAAAATCAACATGCACAGCATTGGAGATAAGCTCAATATCTAGTCTCAGTATTAACACTCCACCTGGAACCAAATTGTTGCTCAATAATGAGGGGCTTGAGGTTTGTCATGGGGTTATATGGTTAACACCTAATGTTATAACTATTTTGGGTGGGAAAGTATCTCATATGATTGAGAAATGGGAGTTGAATCGTAGTCTTGCAAAACATACTAGAGGTGAGTTAAGAAATATAATACTACAATATGAATGTTTGTTACTCAAATATTCTGGAAAGATAGCTCAACTTTTTAATCTGCTGGATAGTTATCAGATAATTTTATGTTTAATCAATGACTCCTTTTTTAGACGTGGATGTAGACTTTTTTAATTGTGAAAAATAATTATATTATTTTAGGAGGTATTGGTGCAGATGGAGGTCCCCCGCCTTGGATTCCTTTTGGACAAAGACTAGAAGCCCAATCTGTTGATAAACAATTTAAAAGCCTCCAGGAACAGTCCAAGCAAGATAATGCAGAATTTGAGGCTCAAAGAAAAGGAGCTATTGCAGAGGCCCAGAGGCTATCTGGTGTTAAAAAGGTAAAATTAATAATTTAATTTCTTTTGTAACTGTAAACAGAGCTTGTTGCATTATTCTGTAGAGGAATTACCATAAAATACTTTAGAGCTCAATATTTCACAAATGGGTTTTACCCAAAAGATTGTTTTCACAAACCCTCATTTTTCTACCAATTTTAAGCTAAGTTATAGACAGACAGTCAGTTTAACATTGTAAAAATATAAGGCTTAACTAACTCTGATATTTTTTACGAAACGCAGAGACACACACACTCCTTAAGACCCTGTTCACTGCAAATAAATTATTGATGCATATTGTGTATGCACTTAAACGTGTCTTTTTGTGCATTAAATAATGTTTTATTTTGTATCATTATCCCAAACAGTGCATTCTCCATTATGTCTTGGTATTAACTGTCCGTAATAGTTATTGACTTCAAAACGCCCAATATTTTACTATTTTATACATTATTACAAGATATTCATTTTATTCATATTTTTTTAGGTATTTGGTGGGGGTACTAAGCCATTATTGGATGCTAATGTACAGAAAATTGTTGATGCTGGATTCTCAGAAGAACAAGCTGAAAATGCTTTGAAATATACAAAGAACAATGTTGATAGGGCTCTTAAAATTTTGCAAAAACGGGACAATTCAGAAAACAGAAGTAAAGAGAAACCTCAAAAGGAACCAGACCAACCAAAACGTAAAGGGCGTAACAAGGAGCCTAATGATGAGGATAGTATTTCTGTCAAACCTTCAGGTAAAGTGTCACTGTTTGATTTTCTTGAAGATAAGTTGCCTAATGTGCCAGAAAAGGATAAGAGTAGATATAACAACTCGAGTAATGAAGACAGAGGCGAGAGAACTTATGGGAATCGTGATAAAAACAGTGCCAAGAGTAATCCACGTTCTCAAAGTTCAAGATATGATGGTCCTAATAGACATAGGTCTGAAAGTAAGGGTCATTATTCTAATGATAATAATCATTCTTCTCATAGAGATGATAGAAAATACCAATCACAAAATGAAAAACCACCAAGATTCCAGAAAAAACTGGAAGAAAAAAATAAACAGCACCAGCAGCAACAACAACAACAACAACAACAACAACAACAGCAGCAGCAGCAGCAGCAACAGCAACAACAACAACAGGCAATGAACATAAACATTAATTTACAATACAACAATGCATACCCTAACCCACCTACTTCTCATTATTCAGATAGGAACATGAGAAATGAAAGAAACATGATGGAAACCAAGATGCATCAGCCACAAAATTATAGAGGCAATCACAACATGGAGAGTTTAGTTGAAGCTACGGCTAATTTGAATTTAATGCAAAACCAATCAAGAGTCTCAGATGATCAACAGCGAAATTACCAAGCACATCTCGAACAAAGTTACTCTAAACAATCATATTTGCCTAATCAGAACCTGCAACAAGATGTTCCTCCATTTAGGAGGAACAATGACATGCAGAAGTATCAAGAGCAGACATATCAAAGAAGGCAGCAGCCACCCAATGGATATATTGAGCAACAACAGAATCCAATGTATCCAAATATGAACTATTTAAGTGGTGCCCAAGCTGGATATGGAGGACGGCAGTATGGATATGGTCCGAGGCCTCAAGAGTACAATAATATGCGTGCTGGAGGACCGTTCTTGCCTGGATCTTTGCTGGGCTTCCAGAATGCTGCTGTGAATGAGCAGGCACGAGCTATGCTTGGTGTTGCCGATATAAACTGGAAAGTTGGTGACCGTTGTCTGGCACTTTATTGGGAAGATAACAATGTGAGTAAGAAATTTTGCTAATATATTACTGTGACTGTAATCAATATGACTTAATTTAACAAAAACTTCATATGATGTGATAGATGTGACTGATTTCTTATTCATTTTTCTTATTTCAGTTTTATGAAGCTGAGATAACTGGTATATCTGCAAATACTGTAGTAGTGAAATTTTGTGCATATGGTAACCATGAAGAAGTCCTGAAGTCTAATTGCTTGCCTATTCCTAATCAAGGTAAACAATAATATCTGATGTTGATGTGGTTTGTTATCCAGCGGTCTAAAATAGCGAAATTGCATGTTTACTATAAGGTTCATAATGAAGCATTATGTCAAAATAAAACTCTCGCGCCGAATCGTCCGTATCTAGAATAAATTCAGAAACACCAGAAATTCTAGATATATTGAAATATGCCATAAGGTACAGCGGCGGCGCGGGCGATGTAGTTGAATCGACCGATGCATTAGTAATTTCACATTCTGCTCAGTGACCTATAACGCTATAATAGGGATGATGACTAAATTTTATTTCTTCGTCAATTAGGTACATTATCCAAAAAATACTGAACATGAATTTATTCTTTATTGTCATAATCAAAATATAACAGACCTTGATTTGAAAAGTCGCATAAAGTCGCGACTTGGTACAATTTTTACTTAGAATTGACGTCACGAGCCCCCACTCCCAAACTATGATGCGTTTTATCTTGGTAATTTTTTGGCTGATTGACAAAAAAAGTCATTATTTTTATACAAATGCGCAATGCAAGAGCGCGAAGCGCAGACAGGATATAGCGTTTAACAGTCTACATGTATGTATGTTCCTTTGTGGCACACTAGTTTGATAATCTAACTGACAGACTAAAAACAATTTCGTTTACTTTACCCCGACATCATCCCTATTAAAGTGCAACAGGGTACAAAATGGAATCGATTTTTCCGTTAAGTCGAATATTTTGGTGTAGTCAAATCCTTTAGCCTTGCCACACACTCGTCGAGTGGCAAGGTAATGTAGGGGAGCCCAAGCGGTAATTTTTGGATTTACTTGAGCGCGGCAGATTAACATAAGGGGGGCCAGTAGCTTTTATTCAAAAGGCTGACAATTTGGACGCGACCAAAAGTCATGACCGTTTGTTGAAATTTTATTTTTGTTGCCCTTAACGTTCGGCCCTAATAAGGGCACAGATATGGTGGTAGTACTTCACAAGGTGCAAGGTTGCCCCCTCATGTTAAACTGCCGAGCTCGAGCTAATCCAAAAATCTCCGCTTGGGCTCGCCTACTATAAGTACCGATATCGAGGAATAGATCAAAGGGTCACATTGCACCAGCGTATAACGCGGTCGGCTTGGATAAGTATGCGTGCACCTGTACGTCGATAAATCGGAGTATTGGATCGTGTTGCGGTGGTTTTTCTACTAGGGCTGCTTAGTTTGATTGGTGGCTAAACATGTCGCATGTCGATAAAACGGAATATTGCTGTACTGCATTACAATTTTATCTGGGTGTCGATTCTGCTAAGTTTTTGTTACTAAAATATAAATTAACAAAAATATTTACTTACTCTTTTGTTTTTGTTATCCATTTGCATTTGTTATTTTATGTTTTAATCATAAAACCGTGTTAAAAAACGATACTATTGGAGGCACGTTTTTTACATTAGCTTAGCAGAATCGACACCCTGGGGGCCTACTGCCTATCGGGATTATTTTATATATGCTATAGCTTATGATTTCATTTTGTTATTTCTGACTGGTAAAGGTTTTTAAATACATACTCGTTTATATATTGTTATTACCAATGCAAAAGGAGCTTGAGGCATTTGAAAACAAAATGAAATCATAAGCTACAGCAATAGCCAAACCAATCCCGTTAGGCTGTTGGATTAGATTAGAACACAATTTATTTAGATTTATCTCCTTTATGGGGTATTTTCCAAAATTTTGAAAATGCTTATATTTACAGATTGGGACAAACGATTTATAGTACAGTTATTTGGTAGTTTTACCTGGAAAGTTTTCCGGGAGTTTAGAAAATTGGTCATTTTATAGATTGTGAGGTGCTCTTTCCGAATTTCGACTTTGCTACCCTTAGATTAAAACAAAAAGGGTACGGGTAGGGTAGGGATACGGTACGCTCATACTTGCATCAAAAAAAACCACGGCAGCGCGAACGGGACGGCAAGATCCGCGTCATTGCATTACCGACCCGAACGAAATAGCACGTTAAGTTTCAACGGCAGCGCGAACAAGACGGCGACATCCGCGTCACTGCACTACCGACCAATCACGTGACCAGTACTCGACGTCACTACCGAATAAGATTCAATACAAACAGCAATTTTTATGAAAAAATATATTTTATAGTACTTACGAATGAAAAGTGATGCCGTGGGTTTTATTTTTAGTTCTTGAGCAATTTGAGCACTTTTTAAAAACACACTTAGGCATTGTTTTATCATATAAACACAAAATATTAGCAATATTTCTTTTTGGCGTTCACATGTACGTCGTTTGCATGTCAAGTTGTGACTAAAGCGATTAGGATCGTGGACCACAATTCATGCGGATCTCTTTTGTGAGGCTAGTGCCGTATCTACCCATTTTGTTTTAATCTAAGTTGCCACCTCGTATTTTTACCGCTCACGCCGCCATATTGGCAAAAAGGCGCCTAAAAGCAGTTTTTTGACAATACCTCCTTTCCGACTCATTTTACGATAAAAACAATTATATACAAAATGAAATTAGAGACAATTGCCTACAATTTATGTACCTACCGTTTTTTTCATAAAGATAATAGTTTTGGCGAACGTCCGCCGGCGCCGCAATTTTATTGACTTTATGAAAAAAGGTAGATATATAAATTGTAGGCAATTGTCTCTAGTTTCATTTTGTATTTAACTGTTTTTATCGTAAAATGAGTCGGAAAGGAGATATTTTCAAAATACTGCTTGGATTTTTCCAATATGGCGGCGCAAGCGGCAAAAAGAGATGGCAAAGTCGAAATTAGGAAAGAACATCTCAAAATTTATAATATTACCAATTTTCAAAACTCCCGGAAAACTTTCCAGGTAACCACTATATTTTTCACCAAATGACTGTACTATTAACAGAAAAATAAAAATAAATTAATTAATGTCTTTTTCCTCCATTAGACCAAATAAAGTTGAATTTATTTTTAATGGGTTTGAATTTACCGTTAAAACGCTCAGTTCCATGACTTCTACTATGTGACGTCAACTTTGTGTAAAGAATTTTAACACCTATGTAGTCTGTGGACGATCTGTGATTGCGGATTAATTATTTGACGATTTATTTGTTAGAGTAATTCGATTTAACTTATTTTCCACAATGGAAGCCGAATTTCTGAAAGCCGACTAACCCGATTGTACTTGTTCTTTACACAAAGTTGACGTTACACAATAGATGTCATCGAACCGAGCGTTTTGGCAGTAAATTCAAAACCATTAAAAATGAATTCAACTTTAATTGGTTTAATGGAGAAAAAAAGACATTATTTTATTTATTATTATTTTCCTTATTATTATTTTCCTTTAAATCGTTTGTCCCAAACTTTAAATATAAGCAGTTTTCAAAAATTTGGAAAATACATAGGGTATTTAATTGTATAGTTCAAATAGGGATGACGACTAATTTTTTTTTCTTCGTTCATCAGGCAGTTTGTCAAAAAGTATTGGACGCGTATTTTTTTCTTTTTTCACACAACATAAGAGATATATTGATTTGAAAAGTCGCATTACGTCACGTTTTGGCACATTTTCACTTAAAAGTGACGTTACGAGCCCCTACTCCCAAACTTTGACGCGCTCTATCTTTGTCATTTTGTGGTTGATTGCCCGAAGAAAAAATACGTTTCCATTATTTTTTGATCATCTAACTGACGGACTAAATCGAATTTCGTTTACTTTACCCCGTCGTCACCCCTATTCTAATAATTTTCAGAAGCTTCATAACAATATTTTCTTAGCCAAACTATTGCATCAATTAAGTTTAAGACAGCAAGTCTGTAGCCTATATATTTTTTTCCATATGGCTTCGCACGGTTTGTGCATTTAGCCAATGTCAAGTGTAAAATGTTTACATATTCTATAGCACTCATGGTCAAAATATTAGTCAAGTCAAAGTAAGTGGCTGTCGAGTCAATCCCCCTTTCCCTATGTTTCAGTAAATGTGTGGGGATTTACTGGAACCTCCCCGTGGACTTCTTGAGGGAACGTCGAAAGACACTTTCCGCTATTTTGTTTCACTTGCCAACACTTGTGCATGTTTCCGAACACTTTTTGGTTAATAATCCACCATTATTAGACACTAACAGCTACCACAACACAATTTTTAACAAGAAAAACAAAACTGCTAAAATGACGCTTCCCTTTCCCGCCAAAAAGTGTCATACCCTGTATTGTACATTAAAAATATATCGTGATCGGTGTCAGGGTCGGGCCCCAACAACGGCGGGTACATGTCTCGCGCGGGCGGCGGGGTATTCGCGGCGCGCCGCCCTTAGTGGTGCGCCGGCGCGCCCGCACGCGCCGCGCCCGCCAGCTGACGCCCGCCCGCGTCACTACCACACCCACCGCCACCGGCACCGGCACCGGGACCGGGACCGGGACCGCTCGACACCGACCACTACCCGCACTCGCTCCTCAACTGCGACCCGCGGACTTACCTCTACTACGACTACGAAGCTCTATAGTGATCCTGTCTTGTGAACTAGTGCGACGGTCATGCGGTCTTACCTCCCCTACGACTACGAAGCTCTATAGTGATCCTGTCATGTGAACGTGCAACGGTCCCGCGGACTCGACACCACTAGGAATACGAAGCTCTATAGTGATCCTGTCTTGTGAGTGTGCAACGATTAATCCACACCGGAATGGCAGCGGCCGGCAGTTTTTTTTATTTCCTTCCAGGCAGGGGAGCGGGTGCGAAATTCTCATGGATACCCTCCAGCCGGCTGCAAGGTTATGTCATACTTACTGGATAAAACACACTCGTAGGCCAGAAGGGCCTTACAAGCTTCATCTGAAGCGATCATCCCCTGTAAGGGGGACGCCGGCCGGCCGGGCCGGCAACGACGAGGCGAGCTCACCATAGGGATGTGAAATAATTTTAAACTTTTTCTACATACTTATAAAGATCGGTTTCGCTTGAAAAGATTCTGCGATCTCGCGAGCAGGCAGCCGCGGAGTCTGCGCGGACTAGTCTGTTCTTTTAAGTGCGTAGATAAAGTTTAAAATTATTTCACACCGCTTTGAGTCAGAAAGTGCTCGCCGCGTTGCTGTGGCTGCCATTCCGGTGTGAATTAACCCTAATAGTGGCGGAGGACAGCTTAGGTTTATATCGTTAATTCTCGCAAGAGCAGTAGATCATCATCGTTAAAGCTGAAGTGTCATGTGCAAATTGTGATGGACCTTTTATCAATCGTTTCCCGCTTCGGTCGGTAGGCGGTGCCGTAGCGATTTTTATGGCCTACTCGGGTTCGATCCGTTTGAGTGAAGCTCTCCGGTGGCTTAGCGAATGTGAACTGTCAAAGTGGAATTGCTTTCGATGATAATGTAGATGCTAAAATGTTACATTGCCCTTGAATATTTTTTTAATGTTTTTAGTTATATTTGAAGTGTAGGATTTGATCTGTTTGTTGCAATTATATATTTGTGTTATTTAAAAAAAATATACGGTACGAAGATGGTATGACGGAAGGTATAAAAAGTTGAAATGTAACATTTTAGTAATTTTAAATGTATACATAATATTTTAACTGAGTCTCTTACATCTGCGTGGTTTCTCACTAATTCGACATAAAATTAATATTTACTGATGCTTCTCAATTAGAATGTCATTGTGCATTAGCTGAGCTTTCTGTCCATCGAAAATATGGAATTGGGTAGGAAGGCATATATCTGATAATTATAAATGAAATATATCAGTTAACATAATAAGTGTTTAAAATGGATTCAGTTGCTTTGTTTTGAAGTTCGATTCTCGTGTGTTCTCGGCTTTGTTACTATTGACGCGATAAGTTTACTACAATCTATTTGCTACGATTGCTATGCAACGCAACGGTGAGAAGCTGCGCAGGCACACAGCTGTGGCGGTGAGACGTAGACGAGGCGTTAAATGTTAAATTTTAGGCAATCTAATGTTAAAATGATGTAACTCTCATGCGATAGAAATAATTTATTGACGTTCTGTATGTAACCATAGTAGAAGGTAGCATGTATAAGTGTATTTTGTTGTATTTTTAGCGCAAAACATGTAATATATTAACTATATTTTCAGTTCGATATTGAAATATTGTTTGAAAGTAATTTGTTTTACTTTTTTCATCTGTATAATAATAATTAAATGATCACCATCAAAATACCAATTATAAAATACGGGAAATCACGCACTCGTTATGCTTTATAAAATTTTATTATACATATTAAATGATACCTGTATCATATTAAGTTCTGTACTGAAGCATTCACTTCTTGTTTCTTTTATTCAATATGCACATTGAGTCTTCCTGCCTGTGCTGGCCTAATATTACAGTGGAGTCTCAATTGTGTGTTGACAATAGTCAAGTATTTTAATTGTACATTGTTATTTGATAGAAACGGAAAAAATATTATTTTGCTGAAATCATAAAAATCATTATTACTTATTCACATACAGGGATTGCAAATGCAGTTTATTTGAGTGCATTTAGTGAACAGATGCGTAATTTTGTTAGTGATTGCCTGTCAATATTATTGTGGGCTTGAAATTTATTGTTACAATGATGAGGATTTACCGGTACATTGTTCTCTATATCGTTAAAGTCAATAAGGGACGAGAACACAATATCCCACCCTTCTTGCCAATCGTCATGCAAGGAGATGCAGTCATAATCACAACAAAATGGAGCAATATTTGTTTTCAACAATTTTAGTATTGAAATACACAGAATTTCAATATTGGTAACTGTAGCAGATATGTTCGCTATGTTAGGATGACCAATCAATATTGAGCTGTACTGGGCTCGCGTTAAAGTGCGGTCGCTTCAAGAAAGAAGAACGAATTGACTAAGGGCGGACTCTGATAAAACTTAACTGTTCAATAAATTATTACTCAGTCAAATAGAGAGAGATGTCATCCGTCACATTACACAAATGAACAAAAAGTTACTCTTTATTTTCTCCGTATAATACGATATCAGGCAGATAAATTTAATCCAGTGTTAGAGAAATCATCCCTAAATAGAACATAGCTCAGCACAGTCGAGGAGCATAGCTTGAAAGCTTGATTTTGATTGTCACCCTAATCTTCTATGCGTTCCCTTTGCAGTTAGCTGTGCTGTACATATTTTCTGTAGTAATAATTCTGTGTAGAAATTGAATATATTTTCTGTAGTAAATTGATATCGAGAAGATTGAGACACCAAGCAGGATTCAATCTATTCACAAACTTATACGTTTTTTATATTGATGTATGTAAACATATTTATTTCTGTACTAAGTATGGGTGTGACCACTACCGACTACCGATATATGTGAACAAAATGCTATATGAACTTAACAAAATAATAATAATTAAAATTTGTATTATACTAAGTAATAAAAGTAGATAAATGGTTTCCCTGTAAATTAAGGATTTACTAAAATGAGTATTATTGAATAAAGGGGGTGTTATGTTTAATTTTCTTAATATTAAATGGTAAAAATGTGCAATTGTGCAAACCTCTACCATATGGAACTTTTAAAATTAATGTTTTTTAATGCATCATGCAAAAAAGTGAAAAGGATATAGCTTTTAAAATATTCATGATCTATATGTATATATTTTTGAAAAATAAATAGGATTGTCAAAGAAATAATAGATATAAATGATACCTATGCCAAAATTTTTAAACAAAAATTTAATACAAGTTATTATTATTTAAACAAGTAGTGAATGCATTACAATCATGTCTCCCTTTTCATAACATAGTTTAAGTGCAGCTATTACAGATAATGTTTGTAAACCAAAGCTCAATTCCAATAACACTTAGTACATAATCATACTCAGTAACATTTCGTTGGGATTGGAGCCTAAATCCAGATCAAGTTACGCCACAGCTTAAGCGTCAATAGAGGCCAAGGACTATTACTAAGTAGATAATATAAAATTGATATTTATGCATTATTATTACTTTTTCGATAAGTAGCATAAAAATAAAGAAATTCGCCCTAATTTTGTACCTCATCATTTGACTGACAAGGCCAGCAGATAGTCTCCACTGCATCGTAGATAAAACGGTGTTGATTCTGGCATGATTCTCTAAACCTAAAACTAAATTTAATATGAGTATCTCCTTTTCATGCTGTATAGTCTAAAGAGAATGACAAGGATAAACCGTTATCAAATTTTATTTTCGGTTTAGAGAATCGTGTCAGAATCGAAACCAACAACAACTTAAATACGCAATTTTACGCAATGGATTTAGCATCTATCTAATATACGCGATATAAAAAGAAGTATGTATATAAAATAATTATCGTCGCGAAGGTACTTGCCATTGAAAGTGAAGTGAAGAGAACATAAGAATTTCATTTATTGTTTGTATTATGGTTCACAGTTATTATCAAACTTTTTTCTTAAAACATATTTTCATATGTAGGTAGGATGTTTTAAGTAAATTGTATAGAAAATAGATATATAGGTAAATGTTAAATAAAATATTACTACAAACTCAAAGACCGGCCTCAGACTGTGAGCAAATACTTGCTTGTATTAAATTGCATTAAGTACCTATTGTTTTCAATAGAAAATCTTTCTCGTCTTATGTACGTTGACTTTGATTTTTGTAGAGAGTGATTATTCTACTGAATAATAACGGCTCCAATACCAACGGAAAACACTCAACGTTTGAAACGTATTAATCACGGTAACACGGAAGCAGCATTCAATACATTTATACAGATTTTGTTGATTTGAAGTAACCGTTTATTAACGAAAAGCTAATAAAAGAAAAAATATTTACTTCGTCTTTATTTTGTATTCCTTGGTGATTGTTAGTGTACTTGTCGCAGTTCGAAGACTTTTTTAATAAAGTTAGCCAGTCAATTGGATGCCTAGAACTTTCTTTAACTCCGGCATTAAATGAAATGAACACAACAGCCAACTCATTAAAGGCAACTTTTTAATCCGCAGTGGAAAAAGTTTAACTAAATTTGAACCACGTGGTTAAATCTTGCCCAGTCATCTTTAATGGGTTGACTTTCAATACATCAAGTTGTCCAAAGGTTGAGCGACTCTAGTTCAATTAGCTATCGGCCTGGGCATCCAATCGGCTGGCTAAAAACTAGATAGCTGCACATACACATTGATATGTACACATAATATACAACATTCATCTCTAAAAACTAGCTGGGGTCTAAGTTTTGTCCTGTGGTTGCTTTCAATTCAAATGTAGTTGGAAAGAAAGTACCTATGTATAATTATGTCACCTTAACACTTTTTTAACTTTGAGAGGGATCGCGAAAAGAGTAAAAGTTTTAATTAGTCGAGTGGTAGAAATGCCTGTGGACCGACTAGGTCCGACTTTAACTGAGTTGAAATGAACCACGTAACTCGGGAGTTTTGTAAAAGGTGCAGGAATTAATATTGCTCGCACCTTGTGCTTGCACCTATGGGATGGTTACGTAAAGTTCACTCGTTGCTGGACTACTTGACCTGCATCATTGGCGATGTGGAGGTATCTCACTGCAGCAGATCTGATTTGCCTACCAGGGTAGTAAATAAAATATTTACCTAGAGCCATGAGGGCAATGGCAGGCTGCGAGGGGCGGCTGCAAGAGTTGGGGACAGAAGCCATATATGGTTACTGCCCTATATTTTGATTTACTGATTCTAGGGGGTGCTAAAAACCCGGGTTTCTTCAAAAGAAGCGCGAAGAATCAACTTGCGGGTTAACGAGGTGAGGATATCTGGTGTGGCAGGTGGAAGTTTACTTTAAGGAGGGGTGGAGTCACTTGTTTGGACTTGCATAAATAGAGAATTGAAGACCATCGAGTTGAACGTCAAAAGCGTTAAAAAAAACACCAACCGAATTGAGAACCAAAGATGGAGAAGTGTGTTTGAAAAATTAACAGACTTCTTTTTTCTGCTTTCAAATTACGTTGAAAAATCAACAGACTTCTTTCTTCTTCTTTGGTTCTCAATTCGGTTGGTATGGTTTTTTAATAGTTTCATTCTTTCAACTTCGATCAACAATACATAACAAATAGTCGAAATGTTATAACTTTCTAGCTAGGTCTTGCGAACACAGGTACAGGTAATTCTCTATTGTAGACAAAGATTTTTACTACGACAGAGAAATTTAAAAATACACGATTCTTTCGTTTTCAATCTGTGATTTATTTTCTGCGTTCAAATTACAATGGTAATTGAAGTTTTACATTAAAAAAATGTGGTTAGGTTGACCTATTTGTGGGGGTGCGTGTTTGTTGACTATTTATTAAATTAATTTTGGGTGCCTCGTTTGTGTTGGGTGTTTCCCGTTCCTCAATGCGGTCACATTATTCATGAATACCACGGTGTCGTAGTTTTACGCGTTTGCGTTATCTGCTTTATTAATTTAGAATGATTAGTTGATTGCGAGGAGGAAATAAAGTTACCCGGAACGCCTGAATAAAAAGTATTTGTAGAAAACTTATTAAATATATATTTTTTTATGTTTGAAAGGGTGGTAAACAATCTTTTGGTCCGCCTAATGGTAAGTGGCCACCATAGGCTGTGAGTGAAACGAAATATATAAATATATAGAACGTGTTAGTTGTACGTCCATAGTTCAGACAGAGCCTTTTAAAATATTTGGCAGGGCAATTTCGGCAACAGTTTTGAGGCGATGTCCTGGTCACCTGTCACTGTTTCATGTGGTGTTGTTGAGTTGGGTCTAGGGCACGTCTAGGGAAGTTATTTTTACATCCATGTACCTATATTTTTGTTCCAGCACATTAGATGTCAGTCATCTGACAGTTCAACTTCAAGGGTTATAAAGGTATGCATTAGAACGATTTATTCAGTTGTCCACAATAGCCTTGTTAGCCGTTAACCCGGTTTTCGTTGAAATCTACACTCCCGGACTCTTGAATCGAGCCACCTTACATGACCGGGCCTAAAAGCCCAATACACAAAAAATATACAATATAACAAAAGTTTTTATGCATTTTTAATGCTGGCATATTTCGTCGTCTTCCCGTATGTATTATTCCAAATTTGAATTTTAGAATTTAAAATAAAGAACAAAAGTCGACCTTGGTCACTGATTTGAAAAAAAATAATGACTGTTGTAAGTTGCTTTTGAAGCAATTTAATGTCGATTTGGTTTGAATTTTCGCAATTGTTGTAAACCAAAGTTTAGTTATTTTTCTATAATTTGAACCGTTTTTGGCAAATTATGGATACTTCACCTGAAGTAGCCGCGCAAGCTGTAGCACTTCTTCAATCTGGGCTAAGTCAGCGAGATGTGAGTTCACAACTTCACATAAGTCGTTCCGCTGTTCAAAGAGTGTACCACCGATACCTGGAGACTGGCGACTTCGTTCGGCGAGCAGGGGGACCTCGTTACCGAGTGACAACGGCGAGACAAGATCAATACATTGGTGACAATGATTACTCAATGAACGTGGTTTAAAGCCCCATAAGCCAGCCAATGGACCCAAATTGACACGAGCACACAGAATAGCCCGTCTAGAGTTTGCGCGCGAACATCTAAATTGGACTCGACATCAATGGAGCCAAGTTCTCTTCACAGATGAGTCCAAGATAATGCTATACGGTAATGACGGAAGGAGTAAGGTGTACCGAAGACAGAACGAGCGTTTCGCGCAATGCTGTATTGACGAGATAGTGAGTTATGGTGGAGGATCATGGACAGTCTGGGGAGGAATCTCTATGGAAGGCAAAACTGAGCTAGAGGTAGTGACGGGACCACGACTGCCGCCCCTAGATGGCAATAGATACATTCGCCAATGTTTAGAGAACCACGTGCTGCCATATGCTGGATTTATTGGCCAAGATTTCGTTTTAATGCATGATAATGCAAGGGCCCATACTGCGGGAATCGTCAGGGAGTACTTAAATGACATTGGTATCACTGTTATGAGATGGCCAGCGCGAAGTCCTGATATGAATCCTATAGACCATCTATGGGATGAGCTGAAGAGGCGTGTTCGAGCTCATCATCCTGCCCCGCAAACCATGCAGGAGCTCAAAAATAAAATTTTGGAAGAATGGGAGGACATTCCTCAACATGTCATAACGATATTGATTAATTCTATGCCAAACCGTATGAGAGCTGTCATAAATGCACTGGGAGGCAATACAAGTTACTAAATAAACATTTCTTTTCATGTAAAACATGTATTTATTTAATCGATTAGATTTTTTTCCTTGAAAAAAGCAAATATGGACTTGTTTCAACGTAACTCGACTTTTTTAATAAACTGTAGTTCAAATTTAGAACAGTGGCACTCTAAATGAATGATGAGTATACCAGCTCCAAAACTGCATCAAAACATTTTCCTTCTACATACATCTTTTATAAGTTACAGTACTCCAAACCAAAAAAATCAAGGTGGCTCGATTTAGGTGTCCGGGAGTGTATTACCGCAGTTCTCATAAGTAAAAGGAAATCACGAAAATGGTCCTTATAAGGGTGGTTCTACTCGCAAGGGAATTTCCCGCGGCTCACCTTATTTTACATAGTTTTTGTGAGCAAAATATATTGATTTACGATCGAAACTGTACAACTCAATGGTTTCTAATATGACACCAACAATTAGCTCAGTCCTAAATATATTTCTTACAACAATTGTACTTTAAAGTGCCAAATTCTCAGCCTCCTGTCATTTCTCTCGGCCGAAATGAAAGTTTAAAGGCTGCATCATAACTTTATTTTAAATATGTACGTAATATCCATAAAAAAATAAAATTTAAATAGTTTTAATGTGTTTGTCTCATTTTAACTTTAATCCGAAACTTATTCGAAAAAAAGTGAATTATATTTTATCTCTCGGTTTGTACCTCAGTCTCCTGCTACATCAAAATACGTTAAAATCAGTTTGAATTACCGCGTCTAGGGCATTGCAGTTAGTTCTGAATGAAAGAACAAAGTGAAATTAACTTACAAACACTCGCGTCTGTTGACTTTGTTGCTACGGCGACTTGTGTGAGTGAGGTTCTGCTGCGGTGACCTTAACAGTATCCTGGTATGTATTTATTTGAAAACCATTGTTTTCTAAATATTATTTTGCATTCATCAGTCGTAAATTCGTTATATTAGTGTACAGTATTGCATAATTGAAATGTGAAGTGTTACATTGACGTAGTTATTGGCTAAAAGTAAAGATAATCTCAGTATCCTGTCCAGTGCCGTCTTTGACTTCTTTGACTTGGAGGCCCTGGGCAAATTAGGATAATGATCCTATGACCCCCGCACTGGGAAAGACGGGTCTGATCCTGTCCTCAGTCTCCTGGAAACATAATTGCCAGAAGTTGATTTTCTCGGAATCTACTAGACCGACAAAGTTAAAATTTGGTACACACCTGTATGTTTGTGACCCAAACAAGGACAAATAAAGTAAATAAATAAATTCCGATTTAATATGTTTCGATTTTGTATCGATAATCAGTCTCCTGGGCCCATAGTTTATTAAATGGTCATAAATTTGACATATTTTATTTTTTTGACTGACTGATATCAGTATAAGAACGCCCTAAGGTAGACGTCAAGATACTTTTCTGACCTTAAATGCCAAAAAAAAGTGCCGGAAATCACTTCTTTTTGTCCCTCTTGAGCGGAACTACCCATATTCATAGTGGGTACCTCTATATGACCTAACTAATTACACCCCAACTATTGAGTAAGTACAAAAGTGACCCAGTTGGAGTGGTGAACACGCTAGCAAGCCTTCGTGCTGTCTTAGGCTCGGGCGGGTGAATGGTGGGGCGTTCGCGTGCTCAATCAACACTACAAACAAACCAGTTGAGCCTGCCCCGCGCCACGGCCCGCTACGTGATCGCCGCTCCTCGTATCACTTCGTAAACAACCACTCAATGAACTGGTGCACTCGGCGTCCGCTAAGCAGTTGCGTCGTGAAAGTAATAGTGATGTAAAGTGAAACCGTTTCGCGCCAAACTTATCAACGTGATATAAGGTGACGTTCAATTTGTTTGTTATTTAAAAGTAACATTGCAATATCCATTGATATTTCTTGCTCCGGTAATGCGAGACTTACAAAGACGGCGGCCGACGAGCGACGACGCCTCTATCGTGTTATTGTGACAACAAAACGCTTACGTTTGTATTTACATTCATAGTACAACGAAGTATCTACATCAAGCTCAACAGGACTTTCACTTATTGTTAATCAGTTAATCAAAGGAGAACGTATTAGATTCACCTTGTGTTATCCACAATATTACCTTGAGTTGAGTTGCGTCCGAGCCGCCGTCACTCTCGTAATTCATCGTTCAACTTGTTAATGTCCTCTCGTTACTCATTGCGAGCAATATTTACTGCAAGTATGTACGTACCTGCATGACACACATACGGACATTCCTAACTACCATTGTAGTACCTGCAAGTGTGCAGAACGATATGACCGTGAGATCAAAATAGTGCTGTGTGGGCAGAACTCAATCAAAAATACGTAAATGACTTATTTGTACTTTTAGAGATAATAATTAATAAGCTATGCTTCAATTCATGTTTGAGTGATTTTTTATAACAAATCTTAGGATGAATGACTTTTCTTTATCTGGTGATTCCAAATATACATAGAATAGATAATGACGTTATGTAGGGTAACTCATGTTATGATATTCACACAAAATGATCACAGTCTGCCGTTTAATGTTATAAGAACAAAACAACCTACCTACGTGCCACCAAAATAAATGATATGATGACAAAAAAGACAGGATCTTGTAGTGGTTAATAGTAGCATTCATGTTAATTAAATGTGTAATTAAAATTCTACTAGCTTCCTTGTTTAGTATTCAACAGGATGCTTCTCTTGTTAATTTCAAGCAATTGATGTGTTGTCCCTGACTCGGCTTACCTCTTCTCACGGTCTATTAACATTTAGTAAGTATCGATCTAACTTTAAGTACAAAAGAAACGGCCCTAATGTTCCGAGATCAAGTTGATCATTTATTTTTGGTTAAAAAAATTGTTTCGCATAATTCCATCTGAAATAAAAAACTAACTTTTAAAGGACATTGAATCTTATCTAGTTCTTGATAAAAATAAAAGATTGTTATTTTTGATTGTTGGTATATTTGAAAAGCTTGTAATGTTAGGTCTTTTAAGTAGGTGTATCTTGGTCTTAGTAATTGCTTTTTTTATAAAGTAGGTATATTTAGATTAAGAGTGGAGTACTTACCCATCCACAAAAAATGCACACTAAAAAAAGATCCTTCAAATTCTGCCTTTGATGAAAGCAGTGTTCATTCTTTACATCTTTTGATAAATCACAAATATTATTTTTTGAGTGATGTAAATAAGTATGTGAATAAAGTAATGTACCAGCGATATATCGGCACTAACTGTCAGACTACTATGGAGTTTGACAGTAGTCTGACAGTTAATGTCGATATATCGCTTTATCATATCCCGTTTCGGTGGTCATGCTAGAGGGGCAGGCTTATACTTCGTTTATATCATCATCAGCATATTGATATCCTTTTTGCTGTCCTATGAATGGATAACGTAGAACGAGCAATGACCACCACGCGGCCCCGGTGCGGATTGGTGGTTGTTAAAGATTGCAGATACAGCCGGGACTTATGGTTTTGAAAAATTTTAAACAAATTACTTGTATAAGAAAGCGCTAGTAAAAACAGACAGGGTCGTAGGCAGAGTTGTATTTTAGATAGGGCAGCGGCAATTATAGGCAGGGCCCCACTTAACGCACACTAGTAACCTACATATAATTATTATATTTATCAAAAAATATATAAAAAACAGCAATGACTTAGGTATAAATGCTCGTATTATTTATCTTACAATTAATCGCCCCACCGGGATTCGAAACCAGGACCTCGGAATAGACAACACCTTGAAATCCGACGCACATACCACGTTGTTAATGTTTAAAGAAAATCATTATTATGGCCTGCATAGACGAGAGACTTTTGTCTGCGGACTTTTATGTCCGCCAAATTGGATCGCTTACAACTACATTGAGACGGATTAAAAGTACCACGTACAAAAAGATCCCCGACTTACTGCGAGGACGTTGAGAGACTAGACAGGGCAAAAGTACGCGGGAGTCCCTAAAAAAAAAACTCATGTTAATAGGACACACAGCGAACTTTATAAAGTCTGCGTTGCTCGCTCAATCCAATTTAAAGAGATGCACCCAGTATTCTATTATAAACAAATTTTCCTTTCTTTAAATTTTATGTTAATTACAACACCATGTAATCTGAGAATAAGTATATAATTTACTTCCATAGCGTGTGCTTCTCTAAATTTTCGGGCAGTAAATGTTCGCACACCGTCTGCGTTAAGTCCGTGACAAGTCCTCGGCAGCCTTGTTTGACCTTTTTTTGTCCTCTGCGGACAAAAATTGCTCGTCTGCGAAGGCCATTATAGTTAATATAAATAACACAAATTCCAAATTTTATAAAATAAGTAAGTTTAAGATTAAGCACTGAAATTTTTATTTTTACTAAGACATAGAACTTTGGAAATTCATAGAAAGAAAAGACATCAACGAGCTTTGTTTGTTATTGATATTAAATAAATTTATTGATGGTAAAAAATACAAAAATATTATTAACACGTAGTTTGGAAATTCTTAGTTTGCCGATATTTATTTATACTACGCTTTAAAAGTTTTCAAATATCTAGTATTGCATGAAAAGCAAAGCCATATAGATTATTTTTTTCAATGTCACTCCGTAACATTTTTGGAATGCCTGTCTGTGAAAATTTTGTAACTTCTATCAATATCTGTACCAATGTTCATTATGCTTTGATATGGTAAGTAATTTACATAATTATTTTCTATATACTTTCCATTTCTCTTTGTTTCCTTGACATTATCTTTATAGGTAAGTATCTATATCTCTTTGCTACTTCCACTCCACACATTTTAATTATATCTTCAGTCTTCCACCGATCCTACGTACTATTGTCAAATGTTGAATTTATAATGCAAATCTGACGTGCTCACTTATGTGGTAGCGACGATCTATGCTGTCTTTATATTTGCCAGTCTGTTTTCTATAGCATCATTTTAGCTTGATCGAATTGTACTATTCGATAATACGACGATTTGTTTCTTGCACAAAATCTACCTGAATGAATAAGTAGGTACACCGTGGATTATTTATTCTTATATAAAAAAAATAAACAGCTCGCTTAATTACTTACTATAATATTCGTTACTGTTTACTGTGTATAGTATGCTTTAAAGCTGTAATTTTTTGGAAGTGGGTTAATGTTTTTCTAGAAAAGCTCTGAAACCGCTATGAGCACCTGTTTTAACTTTTGAGCGGCTGTATGAAGAAGTAGAAATCGCAGGCTTAGATAAAAATTAAATATTTAATCCAATTAATTTATTGTTAAAACTGAGTATTAAAACTAAATATTCAAACGAGATGATTAAATATTTCTATATATTTGTTACAGATTGGCAATGGGTATGGGAGGAGCCATGGATAGCTGCGGGCGGTGTATGAAATTTTCATTAATATGTATCAACGTTATTACACTCGTGAGTATCCTGCGTTTTACTACTTATGTTATTTAAAAAATAGTTATTGTTTGCCATGGTTCGACAGGAAAGCTTAAAACGCCAGCAAAAAATTATGAATCCATACTATGCAAGTAAAGGTTGACAGCCGCTGACAGGGCGTTTCATGGCTTGTTATGATGGTGCAGAATATGTTTTAAAGTCAATCAATCTCTTGGTCCAATTAAATTCATTGCAAAGAACTATAAATGGCTCTTTTTGCACTCTTATATGCACTTAGTGTTTCACAGACAGATGCGGCCTGCAGACGCGGCCGGGAGAAGTTGTATTCGCTTGCAATGTTAGCGAGTGGTCAAACACGATCGACCAATGCTGTCGCAACCCACTGCCTGTGAGAACCTTAAAGTTTCTCACAGGCAGACGATTTAATCCCTGATCTAGGATTATTTAAACTGACGTGTGTCAGAAAACCTAGTAAAGAATGGGGTCATAAATTAAGAAAATAACAAACATTTATTAAATCGGATGTAGGTACCAGGGCACCATAAATAATTCCAAAGAGGGTACTGCTTTCCACTTTTTGCTTGTGATAATCAAGAACTCACGAAAATATTGATATCTAATTATATATCTTATTTGGAGTTATGCTGCCCTCCTGGTACCTAAGTACATCCGCTATCATTTATTTTAGTTATTTATAATTCAACCAGGGAAGTTTGCATGTGTCACCCATTCTTTAATGGATTTTTAGACACACGTCAGTTCTAAAAAATCCACTTTGCAAATATCCTGGATCAAGGATTAAATTGAAATTGCAATATAAGTGGATCGAGAGCAATCAATTTTAATGGAACAGTTTTTGTTTCATTAACTAATACCTATTAAATGTAGTCCCCGTTGGTTAAGAGTTCTTTATCTTACACCACAACAACGCCACATTTGGCATCGTTTGCAAACAAATTTGATTTGCAAAGTCGTTGGCAGTTACTTAGGGGTTTAGTTTGCAGCTTTTTATTTAATTTAATTCAATTCATTTATTCCATTAAACAATATAATTGTGTTGGAAATAATATTGTTTTTCTTTCGCTTCTTGACTTCGCATTGGAAACATGAAAAATAGTGACTTATTTTTTAGTAATGTAAAATGAACGTCCTGGGGTGACTTTCCTAAGCAATATGGCAATTCACATACAACAACTATGAAGTGGCGATGAAATCTCTAATTAACATTTATTTATACTTCGGCGAACACCCAAAAATTTGGTTTATTGTTCAAAAGTGGAGCGGGTCATTTAGATCGTATCGCACCATGCCGGTCACATTATCGCGAGGGTAGGTAGGGAACCAGGAAGTGGCTATATGTCAATGTATTCAAAACTTGACCTTCTTTGTTTATATGTATAGGTAGCTATGTTTATGAAGATTGCTTAGCAACGTTCATGCCGACATGGAATAGCTAATCACACTATGGAAAGAATCATTTAATAAATTTTATGACGCTATGGAAAGAATATGCAGTGTTTCACAATAATATATTACATTATTTAAAAGAAAACTACCTTACTAAAATAATCTTACCTAACTAAAGTAGGTAATAAAAACTCATTTAAACATTTCTAGATTTGTGGGAAATTAGTTAGTCAGATGGTTCAGTAGCTTTCATACTATTATTAATATACGAAGAATAAGTCGAATTAGTACCTGATCCATGTTTTGTCTCTGTTCATTGAATAAAAAATGGAATTTTTAATGGTATGATTAGAACACGGCGTAACGAGTCTAACGCCTCCTCTTCACATCGGCAGATGCATCAGCAGATGGATTACCACGAGCCGACCACACGGCTGTTGACTTCTATAGGTTATTCAGTCTGTGTTAATTTTCGACAGATGCAAGTCGCATGCACGCGACATCATATTTTACATCATGAGTGCACACCCTCATTCGCAACTCTGATACTACTGACAGACGCATCTGTCGACGCTAAATACATACCACAGACGTGCAAACTACCCCATGAGACTACACTCACGCAACTCCAGATGCATCTCCTCCTCCTCCTCCTCCGTGGCGGAGTGGTTTGTACGCCGAGTTTCAAGGTGTCGCTGACTCGAGAGGTCCCGGGTTCGAGTCCCGGTGGGGGCAGATGTTTTTGTGATGAATACGAACATTTGTACTCCAGTCATGGATGTTTAATATGTATTTCTATATAAATATACTTATATATGTATATGTATTCTATCCGTTACCCTAGTATCCCATAACACAAGCCTTACAGTGCTTACTTTGGGGCTAGGTTAATTGGTATGAGTGTTGGTCATATTTATTTATTTATCTGTCGACCTGTAGAGGAGGCATAACCTTATTCCTCGTTTATTAATAAGGGGGTTTAAGATTATTTAATCAGATATGTGGGTGAGGGAGAAGTTATAAGATCTGCTGTTTTTTACAAAGTCATTGGTTTTTAAATGACTCGAAGGACCAAAACTGCTATATGGTACCTATAACTTACAAGAAAGTTCACAAAGGATCTCTCTGGCTCTGGAGATAGTGTAACTGACTTGTGTTTAATGATGTTTCATGACAAATGACAGTAACAAAACCATTTCAGGTGGGTGGAGCCCTTGCGCTGGGCGTAGGACTATGGGTGTGGACATCACGCTCATTCTCAAGCACTTTAATGAGCAATAACATGTTCATAGCGTCTGTGGGCGTTATAGTAGCGATGGGTGCTGCCATGATGCTGCTGTCGTTCCTCGGCTGCTGCGGCGCTGCCAAGGAGGTCAAGTGCATGCTGCTCACGGTAAGGACTATATCAACCTCATCATCATCATCATCAGCCTATTAAAGTCCCCACTGCTGGGGCCTTCCCTATGGATGGAATAGGGAGATTGGGCCATGACCCACCACGCGGGCCCAGTGTGAATTAGTGGGTGTTAACGACTGCAGATGCAGCCGGGACAAACGGCTTAACGTGCCTTCCGAAGCACGGAGGGGCTCGAGATAGTAAATGTTTGGTCACCCATCCAATGACCGACCACTGCGAAAGTTGCTTAAGTTCAACGATCGCAGCCGAACGCGCTAACCACTTGCGCCATCGAGCTCCTCAATCAACCTCATTTGGCTTAAATGCAGATTACTTTGTCAATTTCTTAACCAGAGGCAGTGATAAATTGAGGACATGAAATTTGGACTGATCAATTGCAAAAGTATCTAATATTACTCGGCATTGTTGTGTTATACTAATAACACACTGCTTTGAAACTCTAGGTATTTTGTTCGCCATCGTAGACATCATCCCAACACAGACATTGCTCATATTATTATTGCCACAACTCTACAGGCTCGTGAAAATATAAGTAGAAAAGTTTGGTCTCGACTGCGAGCGAATAGAACTCTACACCTAGAATTCACAACGGGATATTATTTTTTGATGGGCACGGTCGTCTTCAACTGCCGAAGTCGTCAAATCATTCTTGGAAATGTTGATTTTGAGTATCGTGAGATACGTGTTCTGCTGTAATTATTTATTACTAATTATTGTGTCACGAATAAGGTTTAGGCACAGCCATCTTCATAGAAATAGTATAAATAGCTTCATAAAAATATATTGTGTAAATAGTTTATTTACACATTATACAAATAGTTAGCTTAACACATTACTAATAAATAGCAGATTTGTGTTGTTTTGATAATATCGACCATTCTGAACTTTTACAACAATAAGATAATTAAACTTACGAAGTTTGATAAAATTGAATTTGTGTACCTACCTTAGATAATTTTGATCTGTCTTCGCTTCGCACTACGATCTCTAAAAAGCTGACTGTACAGGGTCAGGGCCGGATTTAGAGGTGGAGGCCTCCGGATTTAGAGGCCCTGGGGTAACAGCTCCCCATGCTGGCCCTGCCGCAGGTACTTAAGATTACGAGGATGTTAAAGTGTTTATATTAGTGAGGTATTTATCCTTACTATGTAATCTTGATGGACGCGAATCAATCGCGTCAAATGTGAAATTTACAATTCGCAATTGAATAATAATACAATAACAAAATATTTTTGGTCACGCTACAACTGAACAAATAATCATAAATTTTACCTAAGTTTCGTTCTAGAAGATATTTTTTATATTTGTTATTCCTCTAAATTTAAGAGTGTTATTGTTTATTATATAACACATCAGTTCAGCACAACATTTTTAATTTTTTTCAATCGATTATGAATCTTATTTAGTTAAATAAGTTTGACATTTTTGGATAACCTTTTTTTTTGACCTTTTGCTGACTAGATAGTGCGAAGTTTAGTGTTTTCGATAGGTATTTTTTTGTCTTGGCTCAGTGTCATGATTGATAATGCCAGGATGTAGTTTAATAATTAGATTATTAATTTGATTATGTCGAAGCATTTATATTTAAAAGTAATTTTGTGTGAACATAGTGAATACCTACCAGTCTCGTATGATAATTTTACATTTTTGGTTTTTTAATGAGAATAAGTTTAATGGCCAGTCTAATGATGCTTAAAATTTTATTTTTTAAAGCATTCAACCGCTAGATGTTGAAATGTAAAGAAAATTTTACTAGAAAAAATCCACGCGGCACAGGCAGCAAACGGGACTCGAACCGGCGCCCTCCACCATCCGGGATGATGCACTGACCGTTATGCTACCGTGGCGGAGGATAGCGGAGGGTGCGGGTTCGAGTATTGTCTGCTGCCTGGTCCGCGTGGATTTTTTTAGTATTTTTTTCAAAATTTAATCATCTAATGATGATTGCCCAATAACTTAGGCCCGTATTATAGAATGACAACTAAGTGTTGATCTTTACTTGAGTACAGTTACAAAGGGATATCGCTATTTGCTATATATATAGCGACATCCCTTTCTAACTATGCTCAAGACTTGATCAATCACTGAGAATCTTTCTATAATACGGGCATTAGAGTATTTACTCTAAGACCTAATAGTAGGCTACCATAGCATGTCTAGCGTTTTACTAAGTACACAGTTTAAGCGACCAATAACTCGGTTGCCATTCTATTACATGTACCTTTTTGTTTGCAGTACTACATTTTGGTGTTCATAATCTTCGTGGTGATGTTGGTGGGAGGTATTCTGCAGTTCGTGTTCCGGGAAAAGGTGTTGACCACACTGGATCGGGAGATGTACGCGTCGATCCCCTACTACGGGGTTAAGCACGAGTACACAAAGGCCTGGGATGACACGCAGTCGTACTTGCAGTGCTGCGGCGTCAAAAGCTACCGTGACTGGAACGGAAACATACCGACCAGTTGCTGCCGCGAGATCTACCCTGGACAGGTAACGACTTATAGGAGATGTACGCGTCCATCCCCTACTGCAGGGTGAAGCACGAGTACACAAATGCCTGGGATGACACGCAATCGTGCTTGCAGTGCTGCGGCGTCAAAAGCTACCGGGACTGGAACGGAAACATACCGACCAGTTGCAGCCGCGAGATCTACCCTGGACAAGTAACGACTTATAGGAGATGTACGCGTCCATCCCCTACTGCAGGGTGAAGCACGAGTACACAAATGCCTGGGATGACACGCAATCGTGCTTGTAGTGCTGCGGCGTCAAAAGCTACCGGGACTGGAACGGAAACATACCGACCAGCTGCTGCCGCGAGATCTACTCTGGACAGGTAACGACTTATAGGAGATGTACGCGTCCATCCCCTACTACGGGGTGAAGCACGAGTACAAAAAGGCCTGGGATGACAAGCAGTCGTACTTGCAGTGCTGCGGCGTCAAAAGCTACCGGGACTGGAACGGAAACATATCGACCAGCTGCTGACGCGAGATCTACCCTGGACAGATAACGACTTATAGGAGATGTACGCGTCCATCCCCTACTACGGGGTAAAACACGAGTACAAAAAGGCCTGGGATGACAAGCAGTCGTACTTGCAGTGCTGCGGCGTCAAAAGCTACCGTGACTGGAACGGAAACATACCGACTAGTTGCTGCCGCGAGATCTACCCTGGATAGGTACCCAGCTATAGATGTCCGCGTTCATCCTATACCATGGGGTGAAGCACGATATACGCGCGCGTGGTACACCACGCAGTCATACCTGCAGTGCTGTTTTATAAATATATTTTTGTGATAGATAGTGCATTTATAGAGAAAGGCTTAAGAGCCCTTTTAAAAAATTGTGCCGCTGCCGTACTGATCGGCGCGTAGGTAGATTTGCACTAGTAATATTGCATTTTACGGGTGTTGTTTCGAGTCTTATAAAATAATTATTAATAAACTAATATAATAATTATAAAAATATATAAATATTTTAGTAGTTCAATAATGGTAGATTAGTTTTATGAAAGATTTTGAAAGTAAATCTATTTAATTCAATATCAAAATACCGGTAAACCTGCACTGTTTTTTGGGAAACTCACGGAGGTTAGATGTTTTTTTTTGATAATTAATGAGATAGAAAATCAAAATTCTAATACATTATGTTACAACAAAAACATATTTCTGATGTCGTAGTAATTAATTTGATCTAATTTATTGAACATTATTGAGATTCAGGCGTTTGAAGTTGTGCATATTATCGTTTTTTCTTCTTCGTTGTAAATCCTTCGGATTAGTACACTATAGATTTCGATAAAAAATAATAAGGTTGTAAGTGCTTACTTTGATTTGGGGCTAGGTTAATTGGTGTGTGAAAATCTTAAAATAAAAATAAATAATATTATTGTTATTTAATCATCAGCGCCAGGAATGCCAGTCGACCCCGAACCCAACGAATATGTACATGGACGGGTGCCTCCACAAAGCCATAGAGTTCCTGAGGGAAGACGCCGTGTACGTCGGTGCCGCCGCCATAGTCGTAGCTGTTATTATGGTGAGATGATCTAAAAGTCGAATTGCATTAAAATATATATCGAACATTTTAGACGTGATCCGGATACATTTTCACGGATTTTTCTATAGGTATTCGAGTGCTTGGTCATTAGCAAATTACCTTACCAATCTGATTTTTATGTAATAATAAGGCTGGAAAAATACACATGTCCATAGATATAGAGACTGGATCTGAACCTCTCCTAACCAACTGTAAAGTAAAAGTGGGCAGATAAATATGAAAGAGACGAAGCGATTGGGTGATTATTCTCTCCTTTTCCAGAGTTGATAATTTAATACGAGTGTCGCTTAATCTATTCTCTGTCTATGTATATGACCTGCCCATGGCCTACCTGATAGTAAGTTGCTACAATAGACATATATAAAACTAGCTGACCCAGCGAACTTCGTACCGCCCTAAAAAAATAGGGGTTGTCCAGCGGACAAAATTGTGAATCTAAACCATTCTCAGATCCCCTTGTACACACACAGAAGAATTATATATATAAAGATTCTCGTGTCACAATGTTAGTTACCATACTCCTCCGAAACAGCTTGACCGATTTTTATGAAACTTTATATGCATATTCACTAGGTCTGAGAATCGGCTACTATCTATTTTTCATACCCCTAAGTAATAAGGGTTGTCCACCCCTAACATTTTTTTTAGATTTTGGTTTATTTTTTTATAATGTGGCATTAAAAAAAATACAGCTCTTTTCACCCTTCTACCACCCATATTTTTATCGCTGGGTCAGCTAGTATCATTATACCATCGTATCACTCTCGCGTTACCTACCCTACTGATCCCACGGGCTATCTTTTGGAGCTTTGGAAATTTCATCAGACACAACACCACTAAAACATTTTGTTATTTTGCTGGGGTCTTTAATACGTAACGAGCTTTCTAATAAAGGTGCTCCAATTTGCAGGAAGCGGGAAATCCGCTGTGAGCTGCTTATTTTGTTGGTTATCTTGCTAGTTAACTGAAGTATTAAAATTTTGTACATCGTCTACATTAACTTAGGAACCATGATCTAAGATTCTACGACAACACACATTCGTCTTGTTGGATGCAATATCTACTACGATTAACTATTAGTTAATATTTTGCAAAATGAGGATCTAATGATTCACCTACAACAGATGAATAAAATTTATAACGTATGCAAATGCACTAAGTGTGCATTCTCTGTAAACATTTAAAACGACAAAATGTTATTTACAATTGTATTACATACTTTAGTTATTTTATGTTTTTTTTTATTTCACAGTTATTGGCTCTCATATTCTCCTGTGGGTTGTTTGTGAAGATAGAATGATGCTGACAGTACAAGAAGATAAATAATGTGACGAAACATTTGTGTTAAAATGACTGTGTATTGATTATGAATGTTTGTGATAGATTCTCGCTTCGTAATACATATCCTGTGCATTCCAATTTTTCTAATTTATTTGGTAAAGTTATTATAAAGTGATAAAAAATCTGAAACTGTTTTTTTGTTCTACTGTATATTTTATAGATTATCTGGTCAAATTTAAGAGGTGTATGTAAACATTATAAAATATAAAGTTATAAAAAACATAGATTACAAAAAGAGACTTCCTAAAATTGATTACTGAGTAATTTGTTTTCAACTTATCACTCGTGAAATTTCATTATTGATGACGGCTCATTCACTTGATTCATATGGAAACGATCTCGTTTTCTAAAACAAGGTAAAAATGAATATCAGTAATTATTTAGCTCGCTATCGGCGGATAGCGCGTTCGGCCAGCGATCGTGAAAGTAAAGCAACTTTAGAAACGGTCATTGGACGGAAGATCAATAACTTATAATCTCGAGCACCTCCGTGCTTCGGAAGGGAGAGAACTTGATAATGGCTTGGTGGATCATACAGTCGTAGGTATAGTGCCCAGGGCGGGATCATACAGTCGCAGGTATAGTACCCAGAGCGCTAGGATTGTTTCCAACCTGACTTTATCTCCCCGTAACACGGTAATAAGCAAATGGTGTGAAATATGCATAGGATTTATACAATTAGTACTACGACTTATGTTCCCTCCTGGGAGAGAACTTAATAGTGCTGGGTTATCCTTCACATTAGGCACCCGTGCGAGCGAACCAACCGCAGTAGCGGCTATGCAGTCAAAGGTAATCGTGGGCAGCGAAAGCCCCAGCAAGTTGGGATATTTTCCAATTTGACTTTACGACGTATTCCTTACAAGTCAAATAGATGAAATATGACTTATGACCGATATGGACTATCCTCCTGGGCAGGAACTTGATAGTAGAGATGGGTGTTTTTAGATATTTGTGAAATCGATGCGCATCGTTATCAGATAAATCGCATCCGATGCCCGCAGCAATGCTGGCATCGATAACTAGTGAATATCAATTTAAGAATATGGTTAGAATATACCATCAAGACTTATGCTTCCTCCTGGGTGGGAACTTGATAGTGTTAGGTTGTCCCTCGCGGTAGGCGCCCCCGCGCGTGAACCAGCCACAGTAGCGGATCATGCAGTCGGAGGTAGTCGTGCCCAGCGGCAGTCCCAGCGCGCTGATCCGCTCCAGAGCTTGCGTCGGACCAGCTACTATCTTTTCACATGTAAAAAAGAAAACCTTTTGATATATTACGTTTCCAATACAGAAAATTAAAAAAAAATTGAATTATCAAAATATTATTTTTTCAAACATTATATTCTCCGATGGCTGTCTATGGCAAGTGGTTAGCTTGCTTGTTTTGCTATAGGAAAGTTAGTAACTTTCGGGTCATCGTATACTCAACCTACCAAAAAAACATTATCCCGAGTTTCTCCATGCTTCGGAAGTTACGTTGAACCATTTTTGTTCCTACTGCATCAGGACCTTTGGAGCAGAAGGATTGTGTGACTGGTGCACTGGCTTTGAACCATGTTTTAACTATTACAATCATTTATCTAGAAAATATTTATTTAATGGATAGGTACTTACCCGACCAAAGACTACGTGTTTTCCGTCGAATTGTGGTAGTGGTTTAAATATGATGTTGAACTGACCACTCACTTCCCCGTCTGGTGTCACCGCCATAGACAATACCCCTAAAATATTGTTTACATATCTTTTAAATAAATTTGCAATTTATATTAATTTTTGGACTACTATATGCTAGCATGAAAAATACGAATAAGTCCACTATCTTTTACTATGCCGTCTATCCTTTATTATGAAAAAAAAATACACCTTGCTGAGTTTTTTGCCAGCTCTTTTCAGTACAAGGTCTCCCACCGTTGATTTTCGAACCCATGTCATAAAGATGACGTTCCAAAGAGCTTGTAACAGCCTAGACTGAATAAATTATTTTGAATTTAATTAGAATTATGATCTTTAACATTTTTAACAGACCATTTGTATTGCAAATGTACGGTCGGACAGGCGTAACGAGTAGGTGCTTAGTTACCAGTAGGTCTAAGTTTTAGTAATTTTGGGCACTCGTTGTCTTAATGATGAATGTATTTTTTTTATACCGACTGTTTTGTGCCAAAATAAAAGATTTTTTTTTTCCCAACATTGGCTCCCAGAATTTTTGGTTGGCTTCATTACCAAAAACTTGCTTTAGTAAATAATACTAGGAATTATATATGTATTTATACATATATAATTCTTCTCAGATGGGTATTGTGATTCTAGCGTTAAATGATTATGACGGAAACAGTAAAACACTGGCTTCTACCCGGTACACTGTGTTTCAGATCTGTGCTCTCGGCGGTGATCGGCTCCTCGCAGCCCTCAGATACGAACATGCCGAACCCGTTGTCCTTGTTGACGTCGCCGCCCCGGCAGTACAGATTAGGCACTATCCTGAAACACATTCTGCACAGGTAGAAGATATCAATTTAAGATTAACAAATACAAAATACAAATACAAAATTAGTTTATTTCAGTAACTTAGCCTACTACATACAATGTATGAGTTTAGTACATTCTTTTAAGCAGTAAAATTGCGTGTGTTAGGATGCACTGATCTTCCATAGCTTGGTTACAACAGGCCAATTGACATTTCGCCTTAGATGTATTTATAATTATGGATTTCAGCAATATACAGTAACAATATTGAACAATGACAAACATGAACTGCATTTCTCGGAATTATATACATACATTACTGAATTAAAATAAGGAGGGATTTATTATAGAAATTTTTCATCATAAATTCTTTGATCTTCGATAAGATTGTATTAATTAAAAATCCTATAAAGGGAGTGTACTAACAGATCGTATGATTATAATTTTTATTATTTTAAAGCATGTAACTGCTTGATGTTTAAATCTAAAGAAAAAATTCCACGCGGACCAGGCAGCAGACGGGACTCGAACCCGCATCCTTCGCAATCCGGGCGAATGCACTGACCAATTATGCTACCGCGGCCCTTTTTCTAGTTATATTTTCTTTAGATTTAAACATCAAGCAGTTACATGCTTTAAAATAATAAAAATTATAACTATAATTGCTATTTCATCTTTCAAATGTTTAATACTTGTAAAAGTATTCATTTGACATTGTGGGTTACCGACGGGACTCGAACCCGCACCCTTCGCAATCCTGGCGAATGCACTGACCAATTATGCTACCTTATATTTCTTCTTTAAAATGTTTAATACTTGTAAAAGTATTCATTTGGCATTGTGGGTTACCTATAATGCGAAGAGATGGCGCTGCCTTGCAGCTTAAGAATGGCTAGAAGAATTTCGACGCGGTCCGTGAGGGCCGCGGTAGCATAATTGGTCAGTGCATTCGCCCGGATTGCGAAGGGTGCGGGTTCGAGTCCCGTCTGCTGCCTGGTCCGCGTGGAATTTTTTCTAGTTATATTTTCTTTAGATCGTATGATATTAAAGATTATAGGTAAGTTTTTAGACAGACTTAAAATGCAAGGAGGAAAAAATCATTCATAAAACAAAGAGACGGGTACTTCCGTAGATACCTTTGGATAATGTTAAACCTAGTACCGCAAAATTACGATAAAATACCTGAAAAACCTAGTTCCAGTATAAGCGTGTCCTGATGCGTCTCCTTTGACTAGGCTCAGGAACAGCTGACATGTACTGGGCACCAAGTCATTGAACAATTCAATTATCACTTTACCGATTTTGGACCCACCAAGAACCCAAATTTCCATGGATACTCTGTAATCAACAGCATTTGATTCGAGTAATACAATATTACCACATTACCCTGCATTTAAACCAAAAGCCCCTTATTTATAAACGAGGAATATGCTTAGACTATTTACGCCGTGTTTTGTTCATATCACTCAAATTATATTTCACCTTTAATGAACAAAGACAAAATATGGTGTAACTAATTCAAGCTTATTCTTTGTCTATTAATAAAGGGGAAAGGGTTTTTTTATTGTTGATTTAATATCAGTATTCCGCGCATTTACGTTAAAACAACATACAGACATAGAATCATAAAATATATTATTTAAGGAAAACTAACTTATTTCTACAAACACCTGGAGGTTTGTCGAATGCAGGATCCTTTATATCACGGTCAATCTTTTCAGTTTTGAATAAAATAAATGGTAACCTTGAAAAAAAGGACTTTAGTAACAGACGTTTTTATAGCGGGTTAAATTATTGGCAATTTTTAACTCTTTGATTTCCTTATGTACATATATTTACAACCACTTTTATTAATGCTATATAATTAATGATTTGACGACCTCCGTGGCCGAGTGGTTTATACGCAGCAGGGTTTCATGGTGTCGTCCACTCGAGAGGTCCCGGGTTCGAATCCCGGTGAGGGCAGATGTTGGTGAGATGAATACGAGCATATGTGCTCCAGTCATGGATGTTTAATATGTATTTCTATATAAATATACTTATATATGTACAATATATGTATTCTATCCGTTACCTTAGTATCCCATAACACAAGCCTTACAGTGCTTACTTTGGGGCTAGGCTAATTGGTGTGAGTGTTGGAAATATTTATTTAATATTTTAATGATGTACACAAATATTTTAAATCAGCAAAGGAAAATTAATAAGTAAGAGATTCATAATTACGATGCTCCTAATATTAGTTTGTGTTTGGTGTCTTTCCACAATTTATCTAACTCCTTCGTTAGTAATTGTTCAGATCTCTGTAAAAAAAAATATGACTTATAAGTTTGACAAGATATGTATATACGGATGGCTATTAAAAAAATATGAAATTAATGCAGTATTGGCTATACATATTGCATTATTATAAATGTTAGCTATAATTACCTATGTGTTGCAATGTTTTGAGCAAGCAAGATGAGAAGGACCCGAAAAATTCTACAATATAAATAATAGGTTGCGGCAAACTTCTTGAGCTAAACCTCGCACAGACAGACAAATAAACGTTTGCCGGGGTGAACACGTGAAAGCATAGCGAGTCCAAATACAATCCACTTACTGCGATGAGAAGTCTGGAATAGAAATAGAGATTGTTCCGTCTTATTTCGTTTAGGTGTCGTTGTCGCTGCTTGCAAAGCAACTTGTTGTACGTGTTGGTGGGTTCTGGGTGAATCCAGCAGTCCACGAAACCCTGAAGAGTACAGAAAAACCATTGAAAATGTTTTCAATAAAAATAGAATAGCCGTTAATCATTAGCGTACAAAACAGAATAAGGGTAAATTATATCCGATACTTGGAAGGAAAAGGAAAAAGTGAAATCAACCTTATGACCCACAAAATAAAATATATAAACTAGTCATTGGCCAGCGAGTTACTTCGTTTTATATTATTCGAATAAACTAAAATAAGATCTCACGCCTCAAGTGAACTATATATTAACAAGACGAATTATACGCGTGACCCGTTATCAATAGAATTGTTGATCGAAGGTTTAATTAAAAAGTTAGCTAGACAACCTGTCGATTATTTCTCATGCAGAACATTATTTGAATAAACTAAAAAAATGTGTCAAAACAGATAAGTATGGCAACGTGGACAAAAGTTGCAGTTTGTTTTTTTAGACGTAACAATGTCTTATAAAGCGATGAACACCGGCTGCACGCACGTGTGACATGACGTCACATAATGTGACTTATGACATGATGTCAGACTTTTACGTGCGTGCAGCCGGTGTTCATCGCCTTCGACTACGAGACATTGATAATAATGAAAGGTGGAGTAACCCCGGTCCTCTGTATGAGATTGATCCTCTTGAGCAGCTCCTTGTTGACGTTCATGTTCTCCTCCAGCTGACGCGCGTAGTAGTCCAGGCGCCGCGGTTTTAGGTACAACTCCGGGAACAGCTCCGGAGGGCTGTCGTCGACCCGGTACGTCGTCATTTGGAGCTGACCACGAAATATTAATAACAAAATATATTATTGCTCCGGAAGGCACGTTAAGCCATTGGTAGCGACTGCATCTAAGTGAAGTCGTTAGAGCTTACCATTTTTTGTGAAATAATAGCCGCATAAGTGGTTAAAATACATAATATTGAAATACATATGTGAGCTTTAGTAGATTTCGGGTAAAACAAATACATAAATATAGATTTGAAATGGTAAAAAATTAGCGAATACTGTACGTGTTGTACAGTAACAGACGTTAACTATAGCAGTTGGAAACATTTAGGGTGTTACTGTGGTCATTTGGTTTTCTAGATATAAATAAAGAATAATTTATTTATAGGCGTTTAACCTCTTTTTGATGATTACACCATTTTGCGTAGAATTCCTTCGAGAGCAACGGAAATCTTGGTGGCTGCAATAGAAAGAAAATTAGTGTAGTATTTGATAATACGATGTTTTTCTACTTAACTTCAAGTTGTTCTGAAGTTCATTATACTAAAATTAAACTATCGTCAAATTCATAATTTAGTTTCGTCAAGTTCTGTGTGATCGCCTAGACACTACGGAAGACGGAAACTATGCTTAACTAATTTGACATTCGCCGATGAAACTTATATTTTGCCATTAAAAAATAGATAAGGCAGACAGAAATTTACAAAATGTAAAGTAGCTAGATCCACAGGAACTACTATAGAAATAATAAAAACGATGATTGGGCCGAAGCTTGGCTTTAGATTACAATGACAAGAGAAATTGAGCATTTATAGCTATGACAAACTTCGCCTTATTATACTTACTCTGACTGATGACTCTGTGATATTTTATAGAAGTGAGGAATACCATTTAATGTATTATGAATACAGACTAGCTTAAAAACGCGGGGCTTGAGCACGCGTGGTGGTCGCGGTCGCTCCTGCTCGGACGGGGTCAGCGGCGTGCACAGCAGCGGATGTTTTGCAGCTCGTTACATGCGCGCTCGCCCAGCTGCTGTACTATATTACACTATATTACAATATTATATGAATACGGACCAGCTTGAAGACGCGGGGCCTGAGCACGCGCGGCGGTCGCGGTCGCTCCTGCTCGGACGGGGTCCGCGGCGTGCACAGCAGCGGATGTTTTGCAGCTCGTTACATGCGCGCTCGCCCAGCTGCTGTACTATATTACAATATTATATGAATACGGACCAGCTTGAAGACGCGGGGCCTGAGCACGCGCGGCGGTCGCGGTCGCTCCTACTCGGACGGGGTCCGCGGCGTGCACAGCAGCGGATGTTTTGCAGCTCGTTACATGCGCGCTCGCGCAGCTGCTGTACTATATTACACTATATTACAATATTATATGAATACGGACCAGCTTGAAGACGCGGGGCCTGAGCACGCGCGGCGGTCGCGGTCGCTCCTGCTCGGACGGGGTCCGCGGCGTGCACTGCAGCGGATGTTTTGCAGCTCATTACATGCGCGCTCGCGCAGCTGCTGTACTATATTACAATATTATATGAATACGGACCAGCTTGAAGACGCGGGGCCTGCGCACGCGCGGCGGCCGCGGTCGCTCCTGCTCGGACGGGGTCCGCGGCGTGCACAGCAGCTGATGTTTTGCAGCTCATTACATGCGCGCTCGCGCAGCTGCTGTACTATATTACACTATATTACAATATTATATGAATACGGACCAGCTTGAAGACGCGGGGCCTGCGCACGCGCGGTGGGCGCGGTCGCTCCGGTTCGGGCGGCGGCGTGCGCAGTAGCGGGTGCTCCAGGAGCTCGTCGCATGCGCGCTCGCGCAGCGGATGCATCTTGTACCGTACACGCTTGTAATCTCTGTATATTATTTAAAAACTAGGATTTAGGAGATTATGAACTTCAGTGTAATTTTGAAAGATATTTTTCTTCTGCAAGTTAAATGCTTATAACAGAATAATATAATATGTAAACAGATAATTTATTATTTGGGATATAGGAGAAAGTGCGGACAAAAATTGTACATATTATATTCATCTCATTTGCATTTGCAGAATACCCACCGATACATACTAGACTTTTAAAACGCTATGCTGTTTATATGGCTGGTCTCGTGCCCCTGTCCCCATTGCTGAATGGCATAAACAGGGAATGTTGCTCGTATTTTAAACTGTAAGTATCAATTGGCAAGGCCCTGAAGAGTCGTAAAATATCATTTGTGCGAGCGACATAAGTGGACAATAATAATTACGCCAACACTTTTTTAACCAAATAAATTGCATGTCGGCGCCAACAGGTACCGCAACTGAAAGTTATGCCTTATTTTTAATATAAAGGTGCTACTAACAGAAATGCTTTTTCAAGTTGTTTCTGTTATTGGAATCGCAGTCGTATTTTTTTTTAATTTTTATCCGTTTTTAACATTGATTATGCAGCAAAAGATGAAATATTTATTTGCGTGGACGCCTTGACTAAACTTGCCTGCGGGATTCGAACCCAAGAGTCGCCTCCGGTGAACATGCCACTCCCCAAGGAGGTAGTCGTCCTTATTTTATAAAAGTATAAAACTCATAAATGATAATTTCTTTACATACATACCTTTTGTATAACGCGTCCTTTTGCACATTTAAATTTAATCGTAGGTTTAAATTCTTATCTAAGATCTGGTTGCATTTACTCTAAAGATTATAAAATAAAATCTAAAAAATCTAATGACATTAGTTATGGAATAAAGAAAATTTTTATTTTACTGATAGGAAAATGACAATATTTTGACATTATTCTTTCTCGAGAACAAGGATTAAGCCTTCGAACCATGGGGGCGTTGTAATTAATCTATAAGATCGGGTACGTAAGTGCTTTGATATAATATTCGAATTCAGGAAAATAATATTTTTTGTACGTAGCTAACCCTGACCCCTCCCCGCCTCGAGACAGACGAGAGATGAAAAATAATATATTTCCACAGCTTAATCACGTGGAGTCTCGTCTCTGAAGAGCCTCTGAAAACGCGGAGTATGCGACCAACTTGGATCTTTCTTAATAATTCGATAATCCTAACACTGATATTACAATTTATTTCCTGCATTATTTTTGTAACACCGCGGATTTACCTTACAGATCACAGTAAAATAATACTACCTTTTGGTGGTGTTGTGTTTCTGTCGGTGCGTCGTGCGTAGGTGATATTGTCAGCAGCGTAGGCAACGGTGCGAATGATGTTATTGGTTTGTATAGCAAGCTTTTTTATAGGCTAAGATGGCCGCTTACTATCCGGCGCTATACGCTTGTTTGCCATCCTTTAAAAATAAAAAAAACCGACGGGTTGCACTCCGGGAGTGCCGGCAGAAGAGAAACCTTGAATATTAACGTTGTGCATTTTTGATATTTTGGAATGGTTAGGGAATAATTTTGCACGAATAGCTTTAATATCAGTATAAAATTACTATCATTAATGTGGTAGAATACAATATTTATTTATTGCGCTATCGTACACAAACATGACAATTTATATTCTATTAAAAAGTTTAGGTCTCAGAAAAATCAACTTACATGAATCACATTTAAGCGCACCTAGCGACATCTATTGTAAAAAATGCATTTTCTTCGCAATAAAGCTGCCACCTAGTTCTAAATATTTTAGAACACTTTTTAAGTACACGATATAGGCGGTAAAATTGAAAAAATAAAGACAGCGAAACGGATGTCTATAGGGCCCATAGTGAATTACATGATCAGGTTCACGCACGGATTAAATGGTAAATTATTGTTACATTTTATGTTCGTATCAAATACATGGATTTAATAAAAGAGACATTGAACTTATATAGCTTAAAGAAAAAAAAAACTGTTTGGTAAATGATATATTTTTTATAAAGGTAGATGTTTAGCTATTATAATTAGTATTTAAAAAATAAAGCTCGGCAGAATTTTGTGTTTTTTTCATATATATAAATTACAAAATATTAACGTACACAAAAGACAAAGTTGCCAGTTTTAACACAATTTGTTGTGTATCTATCATAGTATAGTTTTCAATATCCATAGTAATCCAGAGATATTCTTGAAACGCTAGTGAAGTCGCTCGGTGTGTTGTTTACAGCGCACTCAGGGGAGCGACGGCTCTTCACCTGAATGTGGTATGTTGATTGGCTATTCTGTTGCGGCGCGTACGCAATGATCACCATGCGCGTTGACCTTTCATACGCAACGCGCGGTATGGCGTACGGGTTCTTCACCTCTATTCGCGCGTACACCACTTCTCTGCACGGAGGTAGCTAAAACGTGATGTAGTAATCAATTGCTGATCAATCAACCTTGGATTATTAGGGGGTCCCGTCTGCTAGAGGGTATTCGCAGGGTTTTTTTAGGGGGTCCCGTCTGCTGTCTGGTCCAAGTAGAATTTTATTTAAATTTGAACATCCAGCAGTTAAATGCTTAATAATAAATATATGAATATAATTGCTATTTCTTCTTTCAAATGTTTAATACTTGTAAAGGTATTCGTTTGTCATTGTGGGTTATATACAATACGAAGAGATGACGCTGCCTTGCAGCCTAAGAAATACTAGAGAAAATTTGACACTGACAATTACGGCCGCTGTAGCATATAGTATGGTCAGTGCATCCACCCGGATAGCGGAAGGTACGAGTTCGAGTCCCGTCTGCTGCCTGGTCCACGTGGATTTTTTCTAGTAAAATTTTCTTTAGATTAAGCATCTAGCAGTTAAATGTTTAAAAAATTAAAAAAGAACTAGTGTCCCTATATTTAAAAAGTTAAGAGATTGTTTTTGATGAGTACATTTTGGTACGGTCGAGTCCATAATAACTACTTTATAATATATTATTAATTAAAAACTAGCTTTATTTCGGTTGAAAGGTGATAAAGCTTTATAGTGATTATTTTTGTCAATTATCATCTCCGTAACATTGATACAATTTAAAGGGGAGACGGGCAATGTTTTTTCCATACAAAATATGCTCTCGACTTGTTTAAATTCATTTCTTTCCGTCGTATCAAAAAATACGTGACCGTCATCTTACAAAGCCTTTTTTTAGCCAACCCTTTCTTTATTTTGTATTTTGATGGGCTTGTTATAATATTTTGTTTTATTCAAGCTTTTGCCGATCAGGTTTTTTTAATGATTTCCGTAGCTTAATTAAATTATTAATAGATGCACATTTACTATAATATATTGTAACAGTGTTCTTATTATTTAAATGGTGAAACGAAATGTTTATGTGATACAAATGGATAATTTATTCTATTTACATTTTAAATGAAGTCTGTAAATTTTCCTCCACATTAATGTATGATAATACTTGAGGTATAAGACTGGGCAAAGTTGTATGGAGAAAATAATGGAATTCTAGGGCGAAACTCAAACATTAACTGCTCTCACTGAGGTCAGTATTTGGGGAACTATTTATCCTAACCTCTTCCTCTTAGATGGCATCCCTACTTGTGGGTGAAGCCCGTGTAGGCCTTTTTTTTTTTTTTTTTTTTAATACGCAGGTAAAAAATCTATTTACAGACGACGGCGCCTTTAAGAGGCACACCGCCGAACGGACCTCACACCTGGCTCCCGCAAGTCTTACGAACCCCACAGTGGCTGCCCACCGAGGACCCCGCAACTCTTACTGGCGCTTTACGGTATAATATCCGCTAAAAAAGTCCTGCGAATACCCTCTAAGCTGCTTAGTGCGAAACCGCGGGATCCCCGTTTAGGGATTCTTCCGCGTCTCCGCACCCAGCAGCCTCCCGGCCTAGCCGGGGCTCCACGGCAGGGGTCTCCCGAGGTATTGCGGGGACCCCGCAGACGTGCGCAGGATAAGCCCGTGTAGGCCTGCCCTAAGTACCATTAGAATGACCTTGATGGCGTCAATGTTTTGTCCGAGCTGCGGCGACTCATCAACATACAAGAAGATGTACAAAACAGGTAGCAGTGTAGTAAGAAAGTAGATCCTATCCTATTAGTAATTTATATGTGAAAGTTGTATATTTTTGTGTTTGAATATTTGTATGTTTGTAATGTCGGCACTTTACTTTGCTATTTGTAAACTTGATATCAGTTTCTCCTTTTCATCCCTTATAAACCATGAGGACAAACAGTTGTCTAGTTTACAAATAGCCAATACGAAATGAAGTGCCGGCATTATTCAATCACGCAAAAACTAGGTACTGAATGGATTCGGATGAAATTTAGTATGGATGTAGTTAAGGACTGGATTGAGTTATAGGATACTTTTTATCCTGGAAAAGTGTTAGGTTGCTGAGGTATTAAAAGACAATTGAAGTTAACGCGTCGATGTCGCGGGTGGCCGCTGTAATTAAATATATGGAACAAAACTGGATTTGTAATAGGATCGAGAGAAACAAATTAAAAATTTAAGGAAGATTCAAAGGAGCTTTTATTTAGTCCACATGAAGTGAATTTAATTTTCATTGCATTTAGTTTCATTTAATTTCTAATTGCGTAAGTATTTAATTCCCATAGCTTTCTTAAATCATTCGTTCATATCCAAAGTTAGTTATATCAGGCTTCTGGTATAATTTTGGATATGGGACATTTTACAACTCGATGAAAGTGACTAAGCCTGATGATCCATGCAAACAGAACTAGCATGTTCCCAGCCAGGTCAGCAAACCAGGACAGTTTAGTAGAGCTAGCTTGAAAAACTATCCGCGTGTAGCCAGGGCAAAAAGGATCAGCCAAATAGATTTATGATTAGTTGTCTTTCTTTTTTTGTCATTGTCATTGTAAAAACATCTATAGATATTAAGATTTCAGCTACCTAGGTACTTATAAAAATTTGATATTATTGTTATATTTGCTTTTTTTTATTAAAAGAGTTAATAATATACAAAGATTTAAACTTACATCCAACATAACCTTTTTTACTTTTTCGTTTGGAAGAACGGTGCCACTGAAATGATTGACAAAGTAGTGCTTTTTCTCATCATCAATTCCGTATTGAAATAGTATATTATTAATAGCACCATATACACTAGCGTAAAACGAGAAAATCACACAAAAGATAATAATTTCTTTATTTTGCATCTTTCGATTAAAATATAAATACAGTTACTTCAATAAATTTTGAAAGGAAAATGGATAGTTAAAATGGTTTGTTACAACTATATAACTTTTTCTGTAATAAATAATGTCAATTGCTATTAGTGCAGTAACCCGCATAATAAAAAAGCTAGAATGTAAGTTGAGAATTTCAATTACAAAATTGAATTGAATTACTTGCTTCGCAGATTGCAAAATTGTTGAGGAAATGTTCAAATTAAAATTTTATTGTTGGTACTATGTTTGTGTACCTACTTAATTGGTTTTGAACTAAAACACTTACATTTTCAGATTTCATTTACGGCTGTTTATGTTTTTGTGATGATTACCTTTTCAATACCGTTTTGTGGGATTTACAAAATTTTATGAATACAGCTGAAATTCCTATAGATTATGCAATTATTATTTTTGACCGATTTTGTAGAGTGAGGAGGTGTTGTTCGAAATCTTTCACCATCCCAAGCGACAGTGGCTATGATTTTGATAAATATTAAAAATTATGCAAATAAAACAAAAATTTTAGCTGTTGGCTGCAAAGTTTTGATATTTGGCATCAGAAGGCATACAATAAAAAAAAATAACACTCGACTTGTAACTTCACTGCTGAAAACATAAAGGAACTTTTTAATAAAAATATTTTTAAGAAAAGAAATACTAGAAAAATTCCTTGCCAAACCAGGCAGCAGAGGGGACTCGAACCCGCACCCTTCGCTATCTGAGTAGATGCACTAACCAATTATGCTACCGCGATTTTAATGCTGCAAGGCTGCAAGTATATTTGTTCAGTGCATCCGCCCGGATAGTGGAGGGTGCGGTTCGAGTCTCGTCTGCTGCTTGAACCGAATGGAATTTTATCTAGTAAAAATTTACTTTAAAATATTTACTAGTTGAAGAAGAGAGTATCTAAGGTCCACACTCAGTTGCCAGGTTTCCCGATTTTACAGGAGATCTCCTGATTTTCTGAAATGCCTCCAGTTCTTCTGTTTTTCTACATTGAATCTACAGTTTTTGTTTTTCTTAGAATACGATTTTCATAAAAATCGCTTCTTTTTAAATTGGATGTTGAGTTATGTTTTCCAGAAGCCATAGAAACGGATTGGTTTCTGGGGGGGGGGGGGCTGTTTTTTCTACATCTACTACTTGTAACTGCCGCCCGATTTCTAAAAATCGGACCTGGCAATCACCCATAAAAATTAAAGCTACAATAGCAGTTAATGCGGGTTGGACAAGAGACTTTTAGACTACATTTTATTTTCTGTACACAACTGTAAGTAGTGCTGCATTTCATGTTCGTTTTTTGTTTGCCACCCTTTCATAAAGAAAGAAATCTAAGACCTTTTTTTTGCAAACGCATAAAAAAAGAAGCGGTGAAGTTCATTTAGTAGTGATGTTCATTATGTGGATATTGTTGATTTTATAATTTAAGGTGGAACCTCTTTTTTAAAAAAAGTGCAGAAGACTCGAATGCATAGAACTTTTTTAAATCTTTTAATTTTTTTTTCAAATTTGTCAAGTGACGTAAAGTGCCAGAATTGTAAAAGTTAAATTATTTCTTAATTTTCTAAATAATTAACAAAAAAATATATTGTTACAAGTTCACTGTTCAAAATGAGAAGTAGCGGTTTGGTTTTGTTCACATGTGCTGGATTGTTGCTTGTAAGTTTGACTCAAGGTTTTCAATAAGGTGTTTTACGGATGCTTTATATTGAGCACCTGCTTGGGATAAATAAAACAATTCTTTAGTTGTTGTGATGTAGACTATTTACATTAAAATTATAATGTACCTTTTATCGACAACGGTAAGAAAAAATATACAGTATGTCTTTGAGAATATTACGCACTGTAGGCAATTTGTTTGAAAATGCAATGCGCTATTTATTAGAGGGCTGAGACTGTACCTGCAGATTATGGTTCTTTATATGTTCTAGTAACAGTGCCGAAATATCGGAGACTCATAAAAAACAAGTTACATTGTAGCAATCCCGCTAATAACTATGTCAGTGACCATGAAAGTTCTAAACAATATAAGGTACTAAGGTTTTAAACCGGCAAATTTTCCCATCCCATAGCTTGACTACCTAACCAAACTTAACTAGCAGTCTCCCGCAACCATGTTATTTTTTTGAGAATCTCACTGGCATTTAACATTTTTCTAGGATAAAAAATATCATCATCAGCCTATTAATGTCCCCACTGCTGGGGCACAGGCCTTCCCTATGGATGGAATAGGGAGATTGGGCCATGAAAAGTATCCTTTGTCTCAATTCAGGTCATAAACTACATGCGTAGCAAATATCCAAATTCGTTCAGTAGTTTTTGCGTGATTAAGTACTTAATAAATATAAACTTACAAACTTTCACTTTTAAAATATTAGGTTAGAAGTAGGATAAGATAGGATTTCGTTGTCTCTAACGCTTAACATGCGGTGAGGGGCAAGGGTAATTCTATTTTATATATCGACTAGTTCACAATCTGCTCATAAAAGTACACGATTTTTTGTGAAAGAAAAAAGTATATTAAAAAATAGCTTGAAATAAGGGTAAATTTTCACAGAGCGGCGGCGCTATTCTCGGTGGCTCAACAGCATGGACGTTGCTCCGTATCTCGTATTACTTCTGGACGTCCGACCTGGGCGTGGAGCTGGGCTGCAGCGTGCTCTTCATCACTGGTGCGGTGCTGTGTCTGCCCGCCTGCTGGCTCTGCACCGTCGTGCCTTACCACACTAAGTCGCAATCGCTTGTTGTGACTGTAGGTAGCCATATTTATTTAATGATCATGTGAATAAATTATATATCATAGATATATCGGAAACGGGTTGACATCGTATGGGTCTTTCCCATCTCTTTTATTGTTTGTTCTGCCAATCACTACATAGTATAAAACAAAGTCGCTTTCTCTGTCCCTATGTCCCTTTGTATGCTTAAATCTTTGAAACTACGCAACGGATTTTGATGCGGTTTTTTTTAATAGATAGAGTGATTCAAGAGGAAGGTTTATATGTATAATAACATCCATTAAATAGTGGAGAAGTACTGTTATTTTTGAGGTTTCTAATATGATGTCGTAAATAATTACATTTTTTTCCGCTTACATTGCAAACGCAGGCTGAACCCTACGAGTTTTATCAAAATAATGTACTAAGTATTGTACACATTGAAAAGGTCTACAGAAAAGTCCGTGATGGTATATGTCTATCTCTTATGGATAACCCACAATAACTTTTTTTTGTCATTTACTTTTTACGACAAATAATGGCTAATTTTCGAAGCGATTTTAACTAATACAGCATTAATCCTTAACCAATTAAATACCTTGAATTCATTGTTCATTTAATATAGATCTATATGGCCCCTTACACCGTATGATTTAAGTGAATATTTTCGAAGATATTACAGATTTAAAATGAAGGGACATAGCGGTTCCGACGCTATCGGGCGGGGGGCTTGGCGGCACGTGCCTATTGTAATTAGGTATTAGAAGAATGTCATTGTGTATAATACAAGCCTGACAACAAAAACTATAGTCTACACTACAGCTCTACACCGAAGCGAAGCGAGGGCGGGCCACTAGTTGAACATAATTAATAATTATTTTTAACAAATGTCATTTTTTTGTATAAGTATAATTATAATTTTCTAGTGGATGTCTGTGACTTTGTCTGCGTTGAAAAATTGGTTTCCCATTCAAACTCCCTCCCTCTATTCACCCCCTTAAAGGTTGATTTCTGGGATGAAAACTATACTATGTCATTTCCCGGGACTCGCACTATATCTGTACCAAATATCATCTAAATCGGTTTAGTGGTGTAAGCGAGGAGAGACAGACAGACAGACTTCTCTCACGGATATACAAAAAGATCACATTTTTTCTATTTCGCAAACAACGTTTGACAGTATAACAAGTAGAAAAAATTGTAGAACGGCAGAGTTGGTTCTTCACTATATGCATTTCTTGGCTTTACTTGAATCCAAATGAATAACTTCAATTTATTAATACTGATGTATGTAACAGGACAACATAACGCCAAGGATAAAACTACTTTCCTCTTATTTCTCGTGATAACCAAGAATTGTTGAAAATATTTTATTCTTATTAGTAGGGTAACCTAATACATTCTTTCATTATTTTTTATCTTTACTCTTTATTACCTAATCTCTTATATCATGTATTGGTCCTGGTATTTTTGCCGGAATATTGATTTTTTATATGGAATATTATAACGAGAAAATTAAAGTTCAAACAATCCATAAGCGTATCAATGATAATTTTCTATGCTTAACTACTTTCTATATCTGCTTTATTACGCAATAGTAAATAGTTTTAAAACGGGACAGGCGTAGACTTAAAACCAGTACATCTTTTCTGAAGCCCAAGCACGCAAGTACGTAACGTATCGCATCGTCAAAGTTTCTATGAAAACGAAGCAGCCCTATCGGAAGTAAGAACAAACAAGCTTTATCCATAAAAAAATTTGACGATGACTTTTGTTACGGATTTCTTACAAAAAGGGAGGTTACGAAAAATCCAAATTGTTTTACCAAAACTTCAAGCAAAAAAAAGCATGAACGGTTTCGGCGCATGACCTTAACATAATGTGGGCAAGGAAGAAGGGATAAACCCTAAAACTAAAAATAAACAGTTTAATAAAAATCCGGCCAAGTGCCGGATCCGGACTCACTCACGAAGGGTTTCGTACAATTATTTATAAATAACAGTACACACTTTACATAACAGCGACCAAATAACGGCTGTTTTTAGTATTTGTTGTTATAGCGATAACAGAAATACATCATCTGTGAAAATTTCAGGTGTCTATAACTATCACGGTTTATGGGGTACAGCCTGGTGACATACAGGCGGACAGTGGAGTCTTAGTAATAGGGTCCCGTTCTTTCCCTTTGTCTTCTTTACAATCCAATAAAAATATAACAAAAACCCTTGCAGCGTGTACTGTTGGATTTTCCATATTTTTTAAATTTATTTTCGGCTGTGAGGCGCGGTGGCCCACACCGCCCACACCTTACGCCGCCTCTGAGCAAGAACAAAGTTTGAGTAATATTTCAGGTATCCAGCATGAATGGCCCATAGACCAATTGAGAGAAAAAATATCCGCAGCTTTCAATCAGGATCTAATGAGAAAATAAAATCTCACTAGATCCATCATGGATCTGACTAACAGGTTGTCTGAAAATGATCATTTTTTTAAATACAGTTGATGGCGTTGGTGACGGTGTCGATGCTTTTGCTGTCGCTGGGTCTGTCGTCGGCGGCGGGGCTGTCGCGGGCGGTGCGCGAGCCGGCAGCTCTCAACGCCAGCATGCTACGCGCCATATCACGAGATGCTGTCGATCCAGCAATCAGGAGCTCGTTCGCTGCCATGCAGCTTGAGGTTTTACTTTATAATATAATTTAGATAAACAACTGAAGCGTCGGTGACGGTGCCGCTGCTGCTGTCGCTGGATCTGTTGTCCGCGGTGAGGCTATCGCGGGCGGTGAGCGAGCCGACAATATCGCAAGTATTATATATTTGCAATATTATGTACCCAAGCGTTGTTAAGATAGCGTTGTGTACTCCCATATTGTCAGATTTTGAGATTGTTAGTTAAGAATTAAATTTTAAAAATTTGTTTAAATTATATCATTCGATTGAAACGTTTGGCTTGAAAACTGTACTTTTCTATATTTATTACAGCTACATTGCTGTGGCGTCCAATCTTACTCAGATTGGTATCAACACCGACAAATACTTCCACCTGCATGTTGTGGCCGAGTATGGAACGGAAAGGTTTGTGTTTATGACCGTATCTTAGCACAAATTCAAAAATTCTCGATAATAATTAAAAATAACTAAACTCACCGCTATTGATTTTGACAATATGCGATGATTCGCGACCAGCGAATAAATCTGCTTGAAATTGGTGGTGATGCTTGTAAACACATTGATGTTACCATCAATGTGCGCATGACAGAAATGACCTTATGTTCGGAGCTGATTTGCTTGGGCGCAATTGGTAGGTGGATACAGAAGTTGTAGTAGGTATGTATAATTTTATCGTTTAGATATTTATCATAGCATATTGCATTGCGTTCGAATTGAATATTTACAGCGATCATTCAATTGATATTTGATGATTTTATTTTTCGTGTTTCTACAAAGTGTTTCTGCTACGTACTGTAGAATTCATACATATACAATACTAGCGGCGACTTTGACTGCGTTAAATTTTGAACCTAGATACAAAGTATACACTGACGCTACACCCGTTTTACCTCTTTAGGGGAATGAGTTTTGGAAAATACTTTCTTAGAGCACGCCTACATCGTAATAGCTATATGTGTGTAAATTTCAGCGCAATCCGTTCAGTGGTTTGTGCGTTGCGTTGATAGATCAGTCAGTAACGGTTGCCTTTTATATATACAATTTTTTGTAGCTTGGATTCTTTCCCTATTCTTGTTTATTGCTTATTCCTAATTTTCTAGCTGGGTAGGTTCTGAACGACGACTGACCCTGAGCACCGTTTGTTTCCTCCTAGGCGGGGGAGCACGTGTGAAATCCTCTCATGGATACCCTACACAATTTGGACAATATTCCTGATGCTTGATCTGCATCGCTCATTTTTATTTCTTTAGCGATTTCTTCAGTGCTATCACTTTCTTCTATACGATCTTAAAAATGTTCTTAAAGCTTACAAACATGTTCCCCAACATATCTCCTACCCTTATCTTTATTGATTTATATAATATTTACAAAAATACATGATTTTCCCATATTCTGCTTCCTTTATTGACGACCTCCGTGGCCGAGTGGTTTGTACGCCGTGTTTCATGGTGTCACCGACTCGAGAGGTTCAAATCCCGGTGGCGGCAGATGTTTGTGTGATGAATACGAGCATGTGTACTCCAGACATGGATGTTTAATATCTATTACTATAAAAATATACTTATATATATACAGTATATGTATTCTATTCGTTATCCTAGTATCCCATAACACAAGTCTTATAGTGCTTACTTTGGGGCTAGGCTAATTGGTGTGTGTTGGAAATATTTATTTATCGTATTGCCGGTACATTTTTCGGTAGTACTAATAATCTCTATAAAACATTACCCTAATATTATTCATTAACCTATTTCTAGGGGAAATAATTAAGACTTTAATAGTGTGCATAATTTTCATACATAGTTATCATACTTACTCTTTATGACCTATTTGACCTATTTTCTTAGCCTAGATATAAATAATTGTTCCTCAGGGAAAATCATCTAACAGACAAAATTGTAATGTACATAGTAATTACACAATTTATCATTTTTATAAAAATCTTCAAACGCTGACATCCACAATTTATTTATTTGAACAGCGTGGAGATCTGTGTGAAGTTCCTTTGTATAAAGTGGGGTGCCTGCGGCCGGCTCTGCTAGAGCTGCGCAGCTTCGTCAATGCCATCTGCGCACTCACGTCTGCTATTATTTTGGTCTTGGTAAGCGATATGCGAAAAACATTGGACTACATTAAAAGCCTGCCTTCCTAAGGCTTAGAACTCACGTCGCAATTTTCTCCCGCGTCCGCCGTGGCTGCGGGACCACATCTTATGTACAATATGAAATTGTAGGTAACACACAAAAGCAAAACTCACAGCAGAGCGCGCGGGTGTTTGCGGTACCCGCTGCTCAAACGGATGGTCGGCCTCACGTGGATTTCCCGCTCGAATTGGAGTTACTGTCAGAGGAAGGATACTCAACTTTATTCCCGTGTACGGGTGTATACTATACTTATTATAATATTTCTGCTAAGAATAATTTATTTCCCATACAAACTAACTAAACAAAACAGGTGAATTTGGGGATCTATTTCACCTTTTTTAAATGTGATTTTTGTGACAAAATGAAGCGTGTCCTTTTCCAAGATCCTCTCATCTCTGTACTAATCAAATTAAGTTCCGTGGCTTAGATATACCAGTGTTCGAGACAGAAAAAGTGGTTTTTACATCTAGAATATTAGTAAATTATTATAAACCCTCTCTCTTTCATATTCACCTAACCGTTTTTCATATGCAGGGTGTGACATTAATTACTGCGGCGTACGTGGTGGCGTCCGGCGTGGTGGAAAGCGGCGAGGGGCGCACCAAGCCGCAGCCGCTGCGCATCGCTTGCATCGCTCAACCGCACCAGCTGCTGTCTTTTACGCCGCCTCTCCACACCGCGCACTTTATGCCGCAGCCACCGCCGCAGCCGCAACTTCAGCCGCAAACCACTCCGCCCGCACTCATGTGATTACGATTACCAAACAAAATACGGGTACTTTGCACCGTTGTAAAATTTGAATAGAGCTATATTAGAAGAAATTGTTATGGATTACGCCACATAGGTGTGTACGCGTTTGTAGAGAAGGTTTACGTGTATAATTGTTTGTTTTGTGGTTGAGGTGTGATTTCATTTCCGTGCCCAAGCGAACTTTCACAGCACTCGCGAGTCGCGCCGGACTAATCGACTAGATACTTAACGATAGAAAATTAAGATGTAGCATTGGTCACAATCCTTGGACTGTATTGTACTGCACCTCCGATGACGCCCTCATTTTTGTTAAAGTGGCAACGTTGTAAATTGGTTATTGTTTTGAAAATTATAGTGTTAGTCATTTCTAAAATCATGAAACTTTTGTGATTATAGTTATTGCAAAATTTATGTGCGGTGAATCGTGATTTTAATTTAAAAAAAAATGATCGGTACCTGTTCTTTGTTTTATAAAATTTATGAATAATATATGTAATGATTAAAATGTATGCTGCGTTTATTTATACGAAATTGCACCTTTTAAGTAAATCATAAGCCTTGGCCTACAAAAATAATTAGTAATGACCTCCTAAATCGTAATTATGTACTAATGTGTATTACTGGTTCGATATAATAGGATAGAGCCTTTAGAGGTAGGGCAGTGGCTTTTCCATTTAAATTAGACCGCATGGTCGCCTGGGGATGTAACATCTTAGTGAGGCCGCACACCGGAGCCACAGGGCACATGTACGCAACATTTACCTCGCTACATGCACGCTACATTTTTAATATGAGAATGCACCAAACGCACAAGAAGGACACATTTGTAGCGGGTGCTTTTAGTAGCGAGACGAAAGCAAAAATGTAGCGTACATATTGTAGCAAGGTAAATGTTGCGTGCATACGTACCTTGTGGCTCCGGTGTGCGGCCTCTCTTACTGAGGTGACACATTTATGTTGAGTTGGATGAGTAAGATCCTAACAGGCAGTCTATGTTCTGTAATGATCCCAGAGCACCACGGGGTAGGGTCAGGGGCCAGCAAGGTATGAATAGCTGGAGCGACACATTTTCTGTCGCATGGAGCACCACGGATTACGGTTAGGGGCCAGCAAAGTATGGAAGGCTGGAGCGACACATTTTCTGTCGCATGGAGCACCACGGATTACGGTTAGGGGCCAGCAAAGTATGGAAGGCTGGAGCGACACATTTTCTGTCGCATGGAGCACCACGGATTACGGTTAGGGGCCAGCAAAGTATGGAAGGCTGGAGCGACACATTTGCTGTCGCATGGAGCACCACGGATTACGGTTAGGGGCCAGCAAGGTATGGAAGGCTGGAGCGACACATTTTTCGGCCGCATAGAGCACTACGGGGTAGGGTTAGGGCCAACATGATTTGGAAGGCTGGAGTGACACATTATCTGCCGCATGGAGCAGTAAGTGGTAAGGTTAGAGGCCAGCAAGGTTTGGATGGCGGGAGTGACATACTTTTCACCACATGGAGCACCTTGGATGCCATGGGTTAAGGGCCAGCAAGGTATGGGTGGCTGGAGCGACACATTTTTCTGCCGCCTCAGATATCTTTCCGACATAGCTCTGGTAGAGTGGAGGGAGGTAATTTTCTACGCTTTGAATAAAAAAAATCGGGCAAATGCTAGTCGGACTTGAAACTTAAACCATAAATCAGTGAAATTTTAACTTGGACCATTCATGCGTTCCGACATAGTCTTCACAGACAGACAAACAGACAGATGGACAACAAAGTGATCTAATAAGGGTTCCTTCCTTTTTTCCTTTTGATTTACGGAACCCTAAAAATAGCCTATGGATTAAAAACTGAATCCTTGTGCTTACTGATTCAAAAATCCAATTATGTGTATATCCAGTAATGAAATGAGACCATGAGAACCATAGTGGCCAAACTCATTATTTTACAAAACTGCGTTTGTTTTCCAGTTCAAATTGAACATTTTGATAGAACCACAGTGGTCTAAATGTGATACAACGAATTTTCACTAGATGGCAGCATAATCACTGTTACGGTTTTTAGTCTGTGATCTAAATTTGAGGTGCCGTACTGGCCTAAGTAAGATAGGCCACTATGGTTAAAAAATGAGTTTGGCCACTATGGTTCTCATGGCCTCAAATATCCTGCGTGTTAGTGGGGAACCCAGTGCTTTTTTCAGCTATAAATATATTCAGTACTGTCTCTCTACGCCGAGCATACTTACAAAACTAGGTGTATAGGTAGTTTTTTTCACTATAAGAACACTACCATTTGGTTATAAGTCACTATTATCCGATACTAGTTAAAAATATCCGATTTCTATTCAACAACAGCACAGTCATGTAAAAGTATACTCACTTTATATAGGTACTTATTAAGAAAATCGGTATAAGATATATACAACAAGTAAAGGTCCTCAAAGGTTTTCATTGGGAAAGGGATATGAAAAAAAAATTTCTTCAGAATATCTTTTTTTAATTGTAATTTTTTGAACACAATACAACATGCAAGCATTAAAATGCTTTATGAAAATTAAGAAACAATCATATCTCTTCTATATTTGGTACCTATTTTTGGTTATTTTCAAATTATACAAGAAAACGATTTCTCTATATATAGACAAACAAAAACTATATTATTATGAAAAATTTCGTACAACAGGGTGTGAGCGCACGGGCGGAGCGCGGCGGCCGCACTACGCTACTCGTGTACAGCTATCGCTAGTTAAAAACATCAGGGAACATTATACAAGACGCCGGCGCCGCCGCCGCCGCGCCCGCTCGCGTCGCCGCACCGCCGCGCGTCCGAGCGGCCCGCCGCCCGCCCGCGCCGCGACTCGACGCTACAAATATTGCGACATGTCCCCGTCCGACGCGACCGCGTCGCCCCGCGGAGTATGTACTATAATTATATTCACAACAATAGCTAAATAGTTCCAATACGAGTCTAATATTATAAATTTTAAGCGATCGACGTACTGATAAATTTAGAATTCGTAGACGATAATGTCGGGGGCGACGAAGAGGTGCCGGCGGTCGGGGACGCGGCGGATCAAAATCCGCACAGCGATTTCGGGCCCGACACATCGTTAGGCCGTTCACACATTACGATATACTTAAGGTTTCAATTGCAAAAATGTGCTCGTTATCGATGTCGATATGTCGGGACAGAAGCGCACGGGTTCCGATATCACACGGCGTTTGTGTGCGCTTTTCAATCTATCTACTTTACAAATAATTCGTTACGGCAGACGTGATCCGTCGACCCTAGGCTATTAGGAAACTACACATCGTCATCTCGTAATACGAACGCCGGGCGAAGTCGGAACGCAGTAATTGATAATAGCGCTCGGCGCCGGGACCGCTTACCGTCGACGCCACGACGCGTCGCGCCGGACCGGAGTCGGCCCGGGCCCGCGGCGCCGGCGCGGACCTAGCTACGCATAATCACTATAAACCGTTACGACGAAGCGTTTCGAGAGCAACGCGACCCTCCTCCAGTATAATACAGTATCACATGCGGTCCCGGCGGAGCGCGGCGGGCGCGGGCCGGGCGCGACCAGGTGCGGCCGACGCGCGCCCGTCGCAATTGGTTAACATTAGGTCTATCTAGAATAAATAGGAGCGTCGGTGGTTGCTCAGGGCGGCTCTAGCGCCGCGCGCCGCGGTGCTTGCGGTGCGCGCGCCCGCGGCCCCACCACACCGCCGCCAGCGCCAGGAGCGCCGTCACCGAGCGCCGCGCTCTGAGGCAACACCCACCCATATAATCCACTACTCTCATCCACGCATGCCTTGCCTATCCTACTCTACCCTAACCTACCACCACACGCTACCTACGCGACGTCAATCTTCGATTTTATTGCATCGCTTTGTGAATTCGATGAATATTTGTACGATTACTCCGTTAGTACTATGCAAGGTGACATAATTACATGCAAGCACCGCATGGGTTTCGGTAACGAACATGATGCAAACATTTTCGTAGATGCTAAAAATTTTTTTACGGTTTCATTACCAACTTTTATGAGCGAGTCTTTTGACGATTTTTGAAACGCACAGAAAAAATAAACAATTGAACAGAAGTAGTTTCGTTCAGTAGATACCAGCTGAAACTATTCTATTTATTACAACTATTTATAGCACCATGATCATGAAGCACCGTTCAGGCAATCATTTCTGTAAAAAATACTCAATACTTAACCCAACCTCCCCCACACAGTCCTGCTACATAATTTTTGTCCCACTTAATTTGTTTGCATGTAATTTTCTTCTTTTAATATCTTAGGCGATGTTTTAAAAACGAACATTGGTCGCTATTCACTAAAAATAATATTGGCATATTTAACTATAGGCGGTGACGTAAAGTTTAATTGGAAAAACGTTTACTTTGTAAATATTGTTTATAGCTCATGTTACAAAAAAATTATAAACTTTTAAAATGGATAACATATGAGCGTTCTAAACGCTCAAAAGGAAAATCCCTCGCTTTAAAACTATCTTAAAAAAATTTACGTACTACCTATTATTTCTACGTAAGTACTTTTGTAGTTATTCTAAAATATATGTATCTATATAAAGCAAATAAACAAAAATATTTATTAATATTAAAGTTTGTGAGAAATAAAACAAAAATATTAAGGTAACTAAGTATTTCTATAAATTAAGATAAAATACCTAAGTAATGTGTAAGTGATATAGTTACGATTTTAAATAATAATGAATACACACGTACAAATCAATTATTAGAGACTGAATGAGAATTCTATTGATCTAAACATTCAACAAGTATAATATTCAAATGTAAGTATTCCAATCAATAAATAATTTGATTATATACCTGTCATGATTATATTGGAAGCATGCCAATTTTCATAATTTGCATAGAAAATATCGTACTTCTTAATGGTAAGAAAGCCCGTAAATATTGTTTGAACATTTGAACATTAACCAGAGCTAGGGGACGTGTATATATCGTAGGATATGATATATCGAATTTTCTCGAAAATCGCAGGGATTTTGAGAGAACGCGGAAAATTAGACAATGGCGATGGTATTTCTCAATTTTGCTGAAACGAGATAGGATTTTTGGGTACACACTTTCTTGTGTACACACTAGGTTGGGTTAAAGATTAGTGTTGTGACCATGATACGTGATACGAGCGAGCGCACGGGGAAGCGATCGGCGAAGCACCAGAAAAAAAATCGTTAACAGTAAGATTGAGCAATATAATCGCCATTGTCTAATTATCCTTGTTTATGTAAAATCCCATCCGCGCTCGGTGACGGCGCTCCAATCCCAGGATTTTCGAGAAAACTCAATTTATTAAATCATACTTGGACAAGTATAAATTATAATAATCAAAAACATATACACGTTCCAAATCATTGGTAAAGGTTTTAGAATAGGGTATCTGACAAGTTTTAGGCAATGATCTCACGTTATTGACTAATGTTTATGGAGTCCGTAAAAAGTGGATATTCATCATTCTGTTGTGTATTTCAGTAATAAGAACAAAATCAAAAACTCCATTTTCAAGTTTCCGCGAAAACGTTTCTCTGGACAATATGGCCTTACTAGTGTGTGACGTTACACGACTGTTATTAAAACGTCAAACAATACAATGTAATGTCACTTTTACCGGAAGTTTACTTGCGTGTTACGTCATTTTAGGCTCGGCCAATCCCAAGCGTTTTGGGTCACGTGACAACAGATAAGAAACTTATCTTTTTCGTGGGTTTTTAGTAAGTTAATATTTTTTTGGAAAAACAGTAAAAACCCCTGCCAATATTCATTCTAAACACAGATGCTAACAATTGGCACTTTATTTTTAGTACTGTCAAATACCCTATTGTAAATTACTGACCAACCAACACCCACTGGCACCTTAATTTTTGCGTAATGATTTCCTTTCCTTAAAATTTTTACAGTTGCATTATATTAAGATTTTATTCAATAAATAATATATAAAATGCGTACGTACTTACTCACAGACAAGGTATATAACTAAAATATTACATAGTGGAGTACCAGGGACAAAAAAATCAGATAAGATTATGGCTACAGTGAATGAAATTTAAAATTTTGTTGTTGTGATTATGAGGTTGTTGGTATGAGGACGGTCTGTACAAAATTATTTAAAACCATTTCATTTTGAACTAAAAAATGTAACTCTTTACTAATGAAATTCAACATTAAATAGAGTTATGATTTATAACTATAATTGCTATTTCTTCTTTCAAATGTTTAATACTTGAAAAAGTATTCATTTGACATTGTGGGTTGCCTACAATGCGAAGAGATGGCGCTGCCTTGCAGCCTAAGGCTAGGAAAATTTCGACGCGGCGAAGAGGGCCGTGGTAGCATAATGGTCAGTGCATTCGCCCGGATTGCGAAGGAGAGTCCAGTCCGCTGCCTGGTCCGCGTGGATTTTTTTCTAGTAAACTTTTCTTTAGAATTAAATAGAGTTGATCAGTTATAATGATGGTTTTAAAATCAATTTTGTCAAATTGATTTACGAGAAGATTTTTTTATAACCTTTCAAAATTTGATATAGTCAAATTATTCCATTTAGAACTTTTTAATTTCTTTCACTGTCTCCTCATCTGACCTTCAAATACTTTACTTATATTGATACCATTATTTCATTAATTATATTATATACTTCATAACAATAACATGCATGATAAATGGATAAAAAAGAAAACATGCAACTTAAAGAGATATTAAAAATGAAATTGAATTCGATTCAAATACAGCTGATGTGAAAAAAACTAACTTCGTGTAAGTCCAACGATGCCGAAAAGCTTGATTTAAAACTCTAACTTCAATTTTTGGAAAGCTGCCTTTAACCAAAAAGAGATAATTACGATCATATAAAATAACATATTATAGTTGTTTAGACTATACTCGATTACACGCGCGCTCCATGATGCTATTCGAAAAACGGACTCTCATACACAGGCATATTACTTCGAGTTCGCTCGAACCGTTAGTGGTGTCTCTCGCGGCTCGCGCTAATACGAACTTACAAGCGCGACAACGCTCCTACGAGTTGCGCGTGCGGCAAAAGGTGCGCCTATACGCGCCTACATGCGCTCTGAGCTTATATGCGCGTATAAACCGCTAGTCTGAAACTGAAGCCCTACTTCTTGAATGTGACAAGTTGGGTGCCAATTCAAATTATTGGCGCTCCACTTGTAGCACAGGACAAAAAAAATCTTAGAAAGTTGTCCTGAAATTGCCAGTAGATGCACAATGAAAAATCTGTTTTATATCCCAGCCGCGACACGGCGTGAAGATTGATAGATAGATTTAAAATAACTTTGTTAGGTTTTTCAGCAGAAATGAATCGAAAACAGCACATGTATAAGCATCAAAAATAAAGTGTTATTAGAGCATAATGTATGTATGAGTTAGAAGAGTGGGGATGGTTACCGATGCACACAACACGCGAGATTGCTCACCAAAGTAGCACACTGCCCGCCCTGCAACAAGCGAAACGATGCTTCACACGGACCCATTCATAAGCGACTCCGATTAGACTGCTCTGCTCAAGCTTTGTAGCGAAACGAATCACTTTCATTCGGTTACCCTTTTAAGATTATAATATAGTAGTGTAAGAATGTATTATTCTTAAAAAGGTAGCCACACACAAAGCACAAATTTGTAACGTTAATAAAAGAGTAAGTGGCTATCGACCATTACGAACAATAAGCTTCCAGAGTTCAAAAAGAAGCTCCTTGGATTCATAGTAGACATTACTATCAGTGAATAAGTATAATTTCAGATTCAGATCGGCGATGATGTAATTGAAGTTTATTGAGTTTTATATCGACTGCTGCTTCAAGTAGTCTGCTAAAGCTAAAGCAAAAGTTCGTCATACGATGCGTTTCTGTCGCTGTTCGCTTAAGAGACACAGCTAGTGCAACATCAATCATCCAAGACTTGGATTGGACGCGGCGATTCTACGGCTGGAATCAGTCATTGGGTACCGCCTGCCACCTGGAGGAGCACCATTTGCCAAGATCACAAGCTGTATGGGATGCAGTGCAGCAATTCTATAGATCGGGATACATCTGCTACCTAGAAGAGCACCGTTTCGTAAAGTCTTGGACCTTAAAAGCTGTATGGCATTCGGTGCAGTGATTCTGTGACTGGAATCTATCATTGGGTATACGTCTGCTCCTAGAGGAATACCATTTGCCAAGATCTCATCTGTTGGATAGTACAAGCTGTATGGGATGTAGTGCGGCGATTCTGTGGCTGCACCATTTGGCAGGGTCATTTCTATTGGATCTTAGAAGGTGTATGTGATACAGTGCGTCTGAAATCAGTCGTTCGGCGTACGCCACCGATGCGTCCTGGCGCGCGGAGAGTGGTGCGCGCGCACGGGCCGCGTGGTGGTGCGCACCTGGCAGGAGGCGCAGTGCGGCGGCGCGCAGCCCGCCAGCTGCAGGCGGTGCGCGCCCTCCCCTCCACCCGCACCGCCGCCCCCACTCCCGACCGCCGCGCAGCACCCGCCCGCCTCCTCGCACTCCGGCTCCCAGCAGTCCACCTCGCCCAACTGGAAACCAGACGCGCGAATGTTAGCGTGCTTAGAACTCTATGCAGGCAATTATGAAGAGCAATAAGCACAACTCCGAGCAGTTTCAATCAATAAAACCCCGCGTACGACTAAATTTTGTTTTCTGAGCTGCCCCTACTACTCTAGACGTGATAACAAACTCATAAAAAATTCTCACTTAAAGAATGTATTGTCTGCTTTCACAGTGTTTTTATAATGAAGTACTTAAGCGGCACTCGCAGGTCTGGCACTCATACAATACAATTAGCACTCGCAGCTGCGGAAGGTCACGTGGTCCATCTCCCAGTGGCGGGAGTGGTACGCCGAGTCGCACTTATCTGGCTCAATTTATCTGGCAGTGTTTCTATAGCACTTACAAGGTACTCGCAGATTTGGTACTAGTACAGTTAGCGCTCGCTGCTGCGGAAGGTCACGTGGTGCATCTCTTGATGGTAGCAGTGGTACGCGGGGTCACAGTGCTCCATACTAGCGCAACTTATCTGGCGGTGTTTCTATAATAAAGCACTTACGAGGCACTCGCAGATCTGGCACTGGTACAGCCAGCGCTCGCCGCTGCGGAAGGTGACGTGGTGCATCTCTTGATGGCGGCAGTGGTACGCGGGGTCGCAGTGCGGGCAGCACGCCGCTGGCGCCACCAGGTCTGTAAAACTGCTCACCACCTGCAAATAGACCGTAATGTCTCTTAAGTAATTTCCTTTAAGACTTTATTTCCGCAAAATGTTACCCCGTCTGATGCTTGGTATTGGTGAAGTCCTGTGCCGAAGATAACAGATGTAGCAGAGGAATATGCAGCTTCAGCCATATTCACTGTTACCTTGCTAGCGATAACTTCACCCGTCGCATTACATAATCAACGTTATGTGTAGTACGATCCAAACTTTGTAGCGGTAGCGCTGGCACGCGGCCACGCCTGGACGCTGCCCGCCTCCACCCACTGCGGCTCGTCCGCCATTATCTTACCGTGGAGGACAGGTTGTGGTGCAGGTCGGAGGCGCCTTGCAGCCGCCCGCCTCCACCCACTGCAGCCCGTTCGCCATTATCTTACCGTGGAGGACAGGTTGTGGTGCAGGTCGCAGGCGCCTGGCAGCCGCCCGCCTCCACCCACTGCAGCCCGTTCGCCATTATCTTACCGTGGAGGACAGGTTGTGGTGCAGGTCGCAGGCGCCTGGCAGCCGCCCGCCTCCACCCACTGCAGCCCGTTCGCCATTATCTTACCGTGGAGGACAGGTTGTGGTGCAGGTCGCAGGCGCCTGGCAGCCGCCCGCCTCCACCCACTGCAGCCCGTTCGCCATTATCTTACCGTGGAGGACAGGTTGTGGTGCAGATCGCAGGCGCCTGGCAGCCGCCCGCCTCCACCCACTGCAGCCCGTTCGCCATTATCTTACCGTGGAGGACAGGTTGTGGTGCAGATCGCAGGCGCAGGGCGCGCGCTGGCACGCGGCCACACCCGCCGCGCACGTGCACGCCTGGCAACCACCCGCCTCCGCCCACTGCGACCCGTCTGTCATTATCTTGCCTTGCCACGAGCAATCTGCGATACACAAACAATACTTATAGTTTACGGATTTAAACTTGACCGCGACCACTGAGACTGTAAGCGCGAAACGTCAAAAATAAATAATTTATTTATTAAAGATCTGCCAACATTTTTACATCTTTACTTACACAATCTATAACTTTTATGTAATAATTCTCAGTATAGTTCAAAAACAATTACTAGTACACTCAACATGGATATACATATATATAAAAAGTATTACACTGCTACTATAACTAAAGATTTTAATAGTTGCTTTAATTATATTTTCAACACATTTGCTCAAAAAATGCATCTAAATCTATGGAGACTGTATAAATTGTTCGAGAAAAACATTAAAACACTAGGTTGAATGGAATATATATTAAATTTGGATCATAGTTGAGGTTCCAGATACAATAATTTTCGAAAACGTAATAAAGAAAGAGCATACAAGTCAATCGATCTACAAAACCTATTATGTTCGTCATGCAGTCTATTAAGTACACTATGTGCGGGCAGTTTAAAAATAGGCAGGAAAAAGGTTTAAAATTTACTATTCTGGTGTTTGGTCGAGGTATTTTGAATTTTATCTTATTTAGTTATTTAGGGCACTCCACTGTTACACTATTTACAATTTTATACAACAAGACCTGGAGGTCTACTCTATTCAACGAAAAACTAAATTTCGATCGAAACTTCGCAAGTTTCTTACTAATTTTGTTTTCGTTTCTAATTATAATAATATTTGTTTGCCTGAAAATAGTTTGCCGTTCAAATCAAGTATAACCTTAAGTTGACGAAATTAAATTTCGTTTGAACTTCGTTGCCGAAAGTTCGTTTCGGAGAAAGAGAGTAGACTCCCTGGTCGGCTACACATCTACGATCCTCTAGCGAAGCAAACTTGAAATAGTCCAGTCTATCCCTATAAGATAAGCTATTCTATTGAGATTCTGTTGCAGTAAAATGGATTTATAAAAAAAAAATTGTAAACTTTTAATGTTCCGAATGTTGAACAACATTGACAAGATCATTAATAAATATCTATATATATATATACATGAGAGCCCTGGGGGACGCCTGACAGGACGAGTCCTAGAGCTAGAGCAAGTGGCTACATGCAACAACTTTTTGACACCTCCGAACAAGATACGATTGGCACCAATTCAAGAGGGAACCATTAACACCGACTGAATGAAGCTTCTTTAATAGTATTGTATTGTATGGTTAACCTTATCAAATGCTTTACTTATATTAGTATTTATAGCGTCCACCTATCGGCCCTGGCTTAGCTTCTCTGACAAATCCGTTATGAAGTAGGAAAGATTAGTGACGGTAGACATTTTATGACGAAAGCCATGTTGTTATGAAGAAAGAAAAGTTTTAAAGTATTAGCAAAATACTGACAAACAAGTGCTTCGAAAAGCTTAGAGAAACCAGACAATAATGAGATAGGGCGGTAGTTTAACAATTTTTAAGTTTAAAAATATAGTAAACAATTCTTGCACAAAATGTTTCAATAACAATGAAGTAGTAAAAAGACTTTTCTTCTTTCTAGTCGTGCATTAACAGAATGATCGTGGTCATGTCCAGGTCGATGCTTGTGTCAGTTGTGCTCTCGTATGCGTCGCTATTACCAGAAAAGCTTATTGCAATATAAGTGAATCAAAAGGGCCCAGCAATGTCAGCCATGAGACAATATAGATAGTTCTGAGACATTCTGGGTTTTCAAGAGTTAAAAGAAAATATGAAACCAGTTAATTTTGGTTCAAACCATTGATTAAGGTTCTCAAGTTATTTGAAGTTCAGTCTGAATTTAGAGAGACCAGCATAAAACAAATAATAAGCTATGAAATCTGGCAGCTTTCTGAGTTTTCCTGAAAAGTTCATGTTCTCCACTGTACTCAGAGAACTGATCACCGAACCTAAAACTATAGAAAACTTAACTTTACTTACTCAATTCACACGGTTGAGTTTCACATTCACATCTAAATCCTCCGTCTGTATTTATACACCGTGCACTTGGATGGCACGTGTGGAATCCTTCCACGCATTCGTCTATATCTGAAAATAATTAAATAGTAGCATTTTTAATCATATCATGACTTAAGGCAACGTCATTTGCGCAGTTTAACGTGTGACCGAATAAAGATTTAATACGATAGGTAGAACGTAAATATAAAAAAACGAGCGAGCCTTACAGTAGTAGCGTATGATGTGTAACATTTGAAACCTCACCTTTTAATAGTAAAAAAAGAAATAAAACCTACTACAAAAGGAATTAGCCATTTGAACATTATGTTTTAAAATCAAATCAAATAGCGCGCGCTTTCGCAACTTCCTGTTACACACTTCCGTCCCATTTCAAGAAAGCGAGGCTTTCTTGCAATTTGTGGGAGTGATTTCGTAAAGAAAGTTGGAAGATGTTACACATCAAAAATGTTCTGAAGACTGGTTCGGTTTTATTAGGAAGAGCCATGTTCGATTTTGTTTTTAGCGTGTGTCATCGGTATCCGGTGCGGCACATGCAGTAGTATGAACCGGGCGTGTTGAGGTACAGCGCCCGCTCGCCGCACGCGGGTTAGTCCGCGGGGTGCGCGGCTGCGGGAGAACATTCGTCCACGTCCCGCTTACCTTCACAATAGTCGAGGTGCGTGTGTCGTCGGTACCCGGTGCGGCACACGCAGTAGTATGAGCCGGGCGTGTTGAGGCACAGCGCCCTTTCGCCGCACGCGGGTTGGTCCGCGGGGTGCGCAGCTGCGGGGGAACATTCGTCCACGTCCCGCTCGCAGCGTGCGCCCGTGAACCCACGTCCGCACGCGCACTGTTCCGGCGCCTCACACACTCCTCCATTCAAGCACCCGCCCGTACATATAGCTGCAACGACCAACCAACAATATACATGGCAATCCAAACTTTATGGTGGCTGTGAAGTCAGCGCAAGTCCCGACGCAGTAAACGAAATGTAGAATGATGAAGGTCCGTGCGGTATTTTAAATGTAATAAGACCTGCGCATAGTTGCGCTCGGTGCTAACCCCACAACCGCCATAATGTTTGGATGGCATAATACAATCCGAAAGCCTAAACCCACAGACTTAGAGAGAATGGACTCAGCATTCCTTAGTCAACTAAGATAAATTCGACGGCCAGCTACTGTCCACTCGAATCGCTTCGTCTCTTACACATTTTGCTACACATTGTCGCACGATATTGCATTCTCTTGTTCTAAAGAGTCAACATCATTCAAAGCGGGCATTACCATGGTATTACTAAGTCTATGACTAAACTGCTCCCTGCTCCTGTGGGCTAAGACAAGTGGTCGAACGTTATCGTCAGCGAACACTTTTCAAAGCCTACCCCTTTGATATTCTATCCCATGTGAAACAATTCTCATGGTGACACTTCACATGACTATTCGTATTTGCCCAACAAATAACAGTTAAATGATCCTTACAGAAATTTCATACTAAGTAATGACCATGACACGGTAATATTATATTACCGTGACCATGATATGGCTGAATTAACAGACTGAGTGAGAAGAAGAAAATATGAGTTCGGCTAAGGTCCTTCCTTAGTCGAACTCATATTTTGGTATGGCAAAAAGTTGAAAATATGGCGATGTTGATTGATCGTTAAACTCTGAATGTTTTTTTTTCACACCAATGATTCAATTCAATTTTCACTCAAGGTAAGCACTGTACGACGCTGGACACACATACAAGAAAAAGACGCAGAAGGGGCGCAGGCATATCCTTCTTGCGCGTCCTTTTAATACAAAACGTATGAAAGCGTCGCGTCGCAAAATATATAATAAACACTATACCCGACGCGCTGACTGCGCGCTCTTGCATTGCGCAGTCGGGTAAAAAAGACAGGGCGCGAACACGACACTTCTTTTGTTTTTTACATTTTGTATGAAACTGACAATGTTCGCGAGACTTGTGTTATGGGATACTAGGGAACGGATAAATAAATAAATAAATAAATAAATATTTCCAACACTCACACCAATAGGCTAGTTGACCCTTTTTGGAAAAAGGTTTTAAATGGTTAATAAATGTTCTATTAGACCGAAAAAAAAATGTATTGTATTTTTTTTAAACCTAGAAAGCTACAAATCTTTAATTTTAAAATAGACTTTTCATGGACATACAAAAACGCTGTCGGCCATTTTAGTCTATAGATTGTCTATGCTATGACGTGAACTGTGGTAAACAAAAACTCGTAAACACGTAGAAAATTACTTTTAACTGAGTTTATAATAAAAAAAACATGATTTCTAATAAATACCACGAAAAATAAAGTAATTATCATTACTGTATTGTACGAGAATATAAAAACACATCCTTGAAGACACCAGGAAAGTTGTGGATTAAAGTGCGGAAAGAAATTAACCTACGCAACTTTATTACACTTATTCATATGTTATATCAGTTTTATGTTTATTACTACATTGTAATACTAAATGCACTGAACTTACATAGATGCCTTGTCGTTTCTCTGCTCCGCAGAGCAGAAATCGGGGTTTAGTGCAACAAATTCACCAACCATCAATTCGTCAATTCTTGGCAGATTTGTGCTTTCTGATTTCACAAAGCCGGCATCCATAATTTGTTTAGTAAAAAAAAACTAAGTTTACTGTTTTTTTCTTTCCTAAAGTTAAAAGTGTTTTAAGATAAATTTAGTCAGACGAAAGAATCCATCTACAGTAACACGCGAATGACATTTAGTTGTTTACCACAAGAGACGTCAAAATCATGGCGAAAGTGGCGAACAGCGTTTTTAGTGTTTAAAAAATATAGACTAAAAAATATTTTTTAAAATTAAATTTCTACAGCAATCTTCTGCTTTTATGAAGTGAAATCGATATATTAAGGTTCCTTAGACTAAACACTTTAAGAAATAAACATTTATTTCATACAATTCGACATGAGTAAACTAGCCTATTAGCCTAGCCCCAAAGTAAGCACTGTAAGGCTTGTGTTATGGGATGCTAGGGTAACGGATAGAATACATATACTGTACATATATAAGTATATTTATATAGAAATACATATTAAACATCCATGACTGTAGTACAAATGCTCGTATTCATCACACAAACATCTGCCCCCACCGGGATTCGAACCCGGGACCTCTCGAGTCGGCGACACCATGAAACCCGGCGTACAAACCACTCGGCCACGGAGGTTAGAATACATATTCAAGTAAATTGATGATCTCAAATATTTAAAAACATGACCATGACTTATGTACAAAAGTTCGTACTCTTCGTACTAACATTTGCCCACAGGGATTCAAACCTGGGACCGCTGAGTAGGCGACACCTTGAAACCTGTGCATACCATTCGCGGCTCAGACGTCATTGATTGTTAACTAGTTGTTAAAAAATAATTTGTATAGGATCTTACGCGTGCAGGTGTATCCGTCGCCAGAGTAGCCCTCGCGACATTGGCAGGTGTAGGAACCGGGCGTGTTGGTGCATTCTGCGTCAGGGTGGCAGCCGTGCTTCTTCGACGTACACTCGTCCACCTGTGGACAGTACAATATTTATCATTATTATCAGCCTATTAATGTCCCCACTGCTGGGATGTAAGCCTTCTTTCCGTGTAAAGGTCATTACACTCCATGCAAATTGGTGGATTCTAACAGCTGCAGATGAGCTTTATGTGCCTTCCAAAGCATTGTCACTGGCCATTGCAAAAGTTGCTTTGATTCCGTTAGGTGAGATTTCGTCCCTTTAACTAATAAGGGAATGACATGTATGACATGCTGGCGTATTAGGGAAGATAGGAAAATATTGAATAAATGAAATTAAAAAACTTTATGCCCATACTCTTCGATAATTAGCAAGTCCAACAAATTTCTTTGTACCTAGTAACTAGTTTGAACCTCTCCAATCCAAAATTCTGCGCAGACTGATACACAATTTGATAAAAAAGTAGAGTATGTTAGCACGTACACCTATTTAGCTTTTTACGTTCGGCATTTGTGTTAAGATTACAATGTTTTTTTTCTATTTCATACGAAACAAAACCAAATTCTAATGTACCTCATAGCAATTAAATTTGTCCTTCCGATCGTAGCCAGGCAGACACTGGCACACGTAGGTGCCGACGACATTGACACATCGAGTATTGGAGTGGCAATGATGGCCGCGTAGGCCTCCTTCCTCTTGACATTCGTCTACATCTGGAAAAAACAGAAATGGAAACCATAAATTCTTAGAACTGTCATTAAAAGCATCTAAAAGTTTCGTACAAGGCAAGTAAACAAAATTACGTAAATCAAAAATATAAGAAAATTAATTGTTCCTTTACTTTGGAATCAAAATTAGGAAACATATCAAAATTAGATTTCTAACTAAGATTCTATAAAATTATAATGACCTTCACATGTCAGGCCGTCGCCTTGGAAGCCTTGGTTGCATGTGCAAGTGTACTTTGTATTGAGATTCATACATGTGGCATTTTCGTCGCAGGAGTGGCCCATGCTGCAGTAGTCCACACCTGAAAACATAAAATTTTACGACATTAAAATTATTAAAATCAAGACGGACTTAATGGTACAATCGACATTCGCGCTTATTGGAATACCTACTTATTTTAAGATACCTATAATTTGCAATAAAAAGTGCAAACACAATTGATTTGACGTTGACTTCAGAACTAATTGGTAATTATTCCATTAAGCGTGCATTTGTAGTGTATCTAGGTATCGACAACAATTTTACCGACCAGGGCAAAACTTGCAGCATTCTCCAGGTACAGAGAACTGGTCCTTCTTATCGCAGGGCAGCTTTGGGCAATTCTTCTCGGGGTTCACACGTCCGCATTGCATGTTGCCATCGTGGCACACGCATTCTGCGCACTGTTTGGGAGTGAATCTGTCCCCGTGCTCATAGAGAGTCCCCATTAGTAAACAACGCTCTGAAAAAATAAATTAATCCTTCAGAATATCCTTTTATTCAAAAATATTACAACAAAAATGGACATGTGCTGTTGAAATGTGCACACGTAAAAGTCCTTCAGCCGCCCGCGGCTTTATTTGTTACCAGCTATTTTTATTTTATTTCTTTTGTTTTTCATATCTTAGGATTTTTTTGAAATATTTATTTATAAAAAAAAACTGTTAAAGTATTTCAAACATTGGAAAGGTAAAGATTATTGATAAAAACCAAGCCTGAATTATTAAACAACTTAGGCACCTAACAAACGTTTAATACTTAACTATTCAGGTATTGTAAAATACTGGGCTAAATTAAATATTCCATTCTTAAATTGATTCGAAAAATAAATAATAGCTTAATAAAAGAAAAAAAAAGCAATTGAAAAAATAACCGAGCTCAGGATCGAACCATCATTTGGTGTCGACCCCAAGGCCATTACCGTTCGGCTATCTATCTCTTGCAGTGAGTTACAAAATTACGAATACCTTGTGTTAAATACTGTCGCTTTTTCGTTTCATCGAGTTTCAAATCACAACGGTGCTAATGATGTTTACACTTAAAAATTGTAGAAGAAAGATCCGACAGTCAGACTTGTCTTTTTACAAGGTTTAATCAGAAATGAAATAAATATTCTGGTCTCTATATCGGCGATAGTTCTGGCGCTTGACTGCTCAAGGATATTATTGGCCCTACTTAGACAAAGTCTTTAATCTTACGGTTTAACCAGAAATAGAAAAAATATTTGGATTTATGAAACCTCGATGCAAGTGAAACTTTTAAAATCGTTTATAAAAGTCCTTCCTCGACTGGGGTTCGAACCCAGGCCGCCCGCGTATCAGGTGTTTGTTATAAGCCTGTGAACCAACGATGTTTGGTGATAAAATCTGAAATTTTTAATTACAATCAAAATGTATGCGACATGCTAAAGATGAACGAAAACATTTGTAGCGATGTAATAAAAGAATCACTAAAAATGTTCGCCTCTCTTAGAGTATCTCCAAGATCTATGATCTGACGCTCAACTGCTCAAGAACAATGTTTGGCACTTACTGAGACAAGTGGGACAACATTCTCCTGGATGTATCACCGGGTTCTTGCATTCTGCTCGTTCGCATTCGACTGGCCTGCACGTAATTTCACCGTGCTGTGAAAATACAGTTTATAAATTTTAAATCGTTAGTTTACAACCACAACAAAGCTAACATATTAATAAAGATGTCTAATGCAAGCCTTGTCTTGCATTGCTTGCACCGAATCCTATTTATGGAATGTTGATAAATCTGAGTTACCATCTATTTATTGCTTGGGTTGGCATGGCACCGGTACGGTGCCAAATAATGTTAATATGATGTTCTTTAAGGCGCTATTCCACTGCGTGCGCTGCACAGGGTTGCCAAACATATGAGAACTGTAACGTGCGAGATTTTACAGTCTCTATACATGATACGAGGTAAATAGAAATCTCGTAAACTTTGTGATGGCATAATGATGCTATACTTACTGAGTCGATCCTTTGTGGACTGGACATTTATTAACTTTTTGATAATATTTTTGTTTTGTGTACATGACACAAACAGTCAATATTGTTCAAATCTCATATCAAAGTGTACGAGATTTCTATTTACCTCGTATCATGTATAGAGACTACTAAATCTCTAACGTTACAGTTCTCATACGTTTGGTTACCCTCCGCAGCGCGGCCTCCTCTGCGTCAACACAGGTCGTGGGACAGCGCCATAAGATATGTTGTTAGAATGATATGTATTATTTCTTCTTTTTTGTGGTATTGTTTCCATAGAGTAATTTTATAGTTTTGTTAAAATGTTTTGAAAATCCTAAGGTGCATGTAAGTATACACAAAACTCATTTTATTTAGATCTTCCCCAGGCTGCCTAAACTAGTTAATATTATAGATCAGAGGGTATTGATTTATATTCTTACCACGCAGGAGCAACGATTGCAGTCGCTCTGCCATGTGGCGCCGTCTGCATGAACGGTGCCGTTGGAGTAACACGACTTTTGACAGTCGCACTGTTCCAATCGTGACAGTCTTGATTCAGCACTCAATAGCTGAAGAAAAACAAAACATTAGAAACTTAGTCATCTTCATTTGTATATTTTCGTAATTTACAATAATATAAACATACCTTAAGTGAAAGGTCATGGATATGCGATGTGAGCTCTTGTACTGTTGCTTGTAGTAATGCAAACTGTCCACAGGTAGGACATTCTGAGTCCAAACCTGGGCATTGCGTAAGATAGCCGTGAGGGCCGCTCACTAACCTCACGTCTTGAAGTGTGCCCTAAAATTGAATACAATAAATCATTGCAGATTGGTGGTATACAGAATCATATTTAAATCAAAGTAAACTAAGAATTAAATTACCTTAAACAGGGAATGTTTGCTGTTTCTCTGTCCAACCCATAGGGCTAGCTGGGGTTGTGAGAAATTGCGATCAGGAGGAGGGATAAGCCGACGATATAAGGGATGGCAGTCAACAAGGAGCGTGGCTTGGGCGCCGGAGACGGAGAGTGCGAGGCGATGCCAGGCGCCGTCCGCCAGCCGGAAGGGGAACGTCTCGACACGCGGCGTCGCGGCGCCCGCCGCCACGTAGTGCAGTCGCACCTCGTCGCGTCGCCCGCTCGACTGCACCTCCAGATACCTGCGCAGCGCCATACTGGTGACTACAGATCGCTGCGAGTTAGCGGAACGCTCCACTGCGCCCTCGCGAACTGTTCCGAGGTACACACATACAAAGCAAACAACACAAATATTCGGACAGCGAACGGGGCGGGCGCGACCGCGAGCGGACCTCGGCTCGCTCTACATCTCAATATCGCTCGGCCAGGATAGGGGACCATGTACCTCGGAACGGATCGCGTTCGGTGACGACCGAGTCGCTTAGGTGTCTGATAGATCGCTACGGAGAGGCTGAGCATCTCGTTGTGTGTCCAATGAATGAATTTCGGGAGAGATGTGGGTTGGCAGACGACTCGACGAGCGGTTTCTCCGTTTGGTGCGAAGAACGCGTCTCCGCGTGCGGTTTCGAACACAGTACGAGACGTTCAGATTTCCATGTCGCTTGGAATGCTAGTGCGGACGAACCGGACGGTGTCCCCTCGGAGCAAGCGCGAGTCCGCGGTCGACCGCGCCACGGCAAACAATAACATCCAGGTGAACATCGAGATTTAGGTGTGAGGGTACGTGAGACAGATACAAACACAACACGTCAAGACACAGAACACAAGACGGACGGCGGCGAATGAGTCGCGGAAGGCGCATGCAAACCGGCCCGCCGCGAACACATACATCCATGCAGAGGACACAGTGAACCAAATGAGGTCAACGGATGGATCGAGGAGGACATTCCGAGGCACAGGACATTCCAAGATACATGATTCTCCCCTATGCGCCCGCACGCATGCCGCCGCGAGGCGTGATGCGTGCGCGCTGCGATGTTGAGATCTAGAACTCACCAGAGGCAAATCCAGCGCTGGGCTGCGCGCTTCCGCCGCCGCTCGCGCCGCTTCTGCGCTCATCGCTCATCCAATGTGTTCTAACTCGACACCAAGTCAACTGAATCATCACATCATCATATTACTTTTACTAATGGTACAACAACCAAACAACAACGAAAGCTTAAATATGCTTTAAACATATTAATTGATCAATAATAAGCATTAAATTCGTGATCTACTTATATAAATTACCCGATAATTGTAGTTATAGGTCCTCAGAATATTAACAATTTACTTTGTTAAAATTATAGAGGTACTTTGTAATGATTCTCAAAGTTAAAATTACAAATAGATCGTGAAAAGCAGAGATTAACTTAAACCGATAAATCTTAGATTTAACCCAAACAAAAATGAGAAATTGACATTGACGTTTGGACATTTTTCTATGGGTTAAAGCTTATTTTAGTTGAATCAAGATTTAGCAAATTTCCTGCAAGTGGCCCTTAAAGAATTTTCATTACCCTTCATTATGACCTTTCATTACCATATTAGGAATCAATAAACAAGTAAGTTTATAATAGGCTTCAAAGTATCACTAAAGCGTTAGTAAAAATAACATCAAAGTCGAATAGGACAACCTACCTGTTGTAGCCATGTGAAAAGGATAGTATAGTGCCCGAGTTGGCGGGCTCCTGCCGCAGCGCCGCGAGCACCGTGAACTCGGGAGAGCGGCGCAGCAGCTCGGCGGCGCGGTCGTACGCGCTGCCTTCTACTTGTAGCAACCTTGAATCACCTGCAACATAGGCCACTGATATATAAACATCCAATAGACAAACTATACAACCAGAGCCGGACCGTGAGTTAAGGGGGCCCTGGACTAATACAATAAAAAAATGAGACAGTAAAATATTTAATTTATATTATACTAGCTGACCCAGCGAACTTCGTACCGCCCTAAAAAAAAATAGGGGTTGTCCAGCGGACAAAATTGTGAATCTAAACCATTCTCAGATCCCCTTGAACACACACAAAAAATTTCATCAAAATCGGTCCAGTCGTTTAAGAGAAGTTCAGTGACATACACACTCACAGAAGAATTATATATATAAAGATTATGCCTTAGTATTACACTACTGTTAATATATTGACAAATTACAAAGAAATCTTTCTGCAAAGTGCAGACATGGCAAATTCTTCAATTTGCTCCTCACATTCTAGGGGTAATATAAATGGGGTTACATTCAACAATGTATTTTTTCTACATTGAATGTACTACTTATCATTGAATCTACTGGTTTAAAGAAAATAATTTTAATTTTCTTTCTTTGGTGAATCACTAGTTCAGCTTTAGACATCTATTTTGAAAATATTATAACTGCTATTTCTTATTTAAATTCAGCGATATTTGCCTGTCTAAATTTCCGAACTGTTTACTTTAATAAAAGTATGGATTCTTTCGCATTATCGTCTATTTTTGGCCCCTTGAATCCACGGGGCCCCGGGCTGAAGCCCAAAAAGCCATATGGTAGATCCGGCCCTGTATATAACCAGCATACGAAGCGGACGTCCGAGCCGGGCACAGTAGTAGCACTGTAGAGGATTTACGGGGGGAACGCTGAATGCACAGAGCATCTCCACATAATATTTGAGTCCTACTAAGATACGAGTAAATAAAAAAAAGAAATAAAATAGACAAGAGCTAGAACACACTTGCCGCTCTGCAATAATCACTTAAATTGTAAATCGTTTGACAAAAAACTAGAATTTATTTTATCCCCGTTTTTATACATTTATATAATAAAAACTCAAAAACTACGGTTTGAAATTACTATTTTCATATAAAATAATATAATAATTGATTGACAATGGGATTTTTTTGTAAGGGTACTGTACCCTTAGCACGAACCATTATCGAATTCGAATAGTTTACGAGTTCGAAATGTCATTCAAATCAGTTCAAATGACTCCACCCCACCTGATGTTAAGTGACGGTGAAGTCCAGACGCGAAGATACCTGGTACTGCTGTACCAGCTAGCAGTTCTACCTGCTACACCAGCCATCCTCACCCCGCTGGCCTGCATCTCTTTTAAAGGATCCCAGGTTGTAAGAGGGAGGGAACACATGAGCGGGTAGAGCATTCCATTTATGGATAGTGCGACAAAGAAATGAGTCACCAAACTTCTTCGTACGCGTTGGAAGAGTGGCCAAAGTTAGTCGGTGGCAACGTAGGTCAGCGCGCGTGGTCCTTTGAAGGAAAGAGGAAGGTGGAATAAGAGAAAAAATAACTCCTCAGAACACTCGCCGTGGTACAGACGATAAAACGCGCTTAATGGATCATGTCACGGCGTAATAGAAGAGGCTCAAGGTGTTTAGTCACCTCCTCATACCTATGATGCGGATCGCGCGCCGCTGTAACCTATCCAAAGCATCGAGCAAGTACTTGGCGAAGCCATCCTAAATGTGAGCAATGTTCCACACAAGACCGCACCTGCGACTTATACAACAAACAAAGTTGCTTGGGCGTCAAAAAACGCCGAAAAAAGATTTTCAATTCATATGACGTCTCTTATGACTGGGTGGCCAGCATCCTCACAAAAATGATCAATTATTAAACACGATTTAAAATTAATCAGGAGTAAATAAATAATTAAAAGAATTTGTTCATGTTATAATATAAAACAAGCTTTCAAATGATATGTTTCGTCATTGCCGGAAGACGACTACCACTATTGAACCATCTCTATTTTTTAATTTAACTGCAGCAGCATAATACATAACTATAACCTTAAAGCTGTGCAGAGTTGCCTTGGCATGGCATAGTGGTAGAAACAGTTTCAGGTACCTAAATTAAATATGTTTAACCATATTTAGGCTCCAATTGGACTGGTTACTTGTGACCTTTTGAACGCGTTGCGGTGCAATAAATTTCGATAGGAATCAGCAACGAAGCAACGAGGCTGTGCCGCGCCGTGCAAACAGCCTTGATACGTAACGATCGCTGAATGTGGCCAGCTGCCAAATTAGCTTTGCACTATCTTATACTTTTCCTTCGCTTCAATTCGTTTCGCTGCATACATTGAAATTTATGAACTATACTAGCGGCCGCCCACTACTCTGTCCGCGTTGACTTCAGTTTTTTGAGAATCCCACAGGAACCTAACATAATCCAGGTCATAAACTATAAGCGTACTTAATTTTATCCAAATCAGTTCTGTAGTTTTTGCATGATATAGTAACAAACAGTCAAATATTTAAACATACCTCAGATTACAGAACAAATACAAACTTTCACAATTATAATATTATTAGGATTACTGAAATAATGTTTTTTGTTTTGATTTCAAAAATCTAACAATTTCCTACTGAAAAACCTTTTACTGTTCAGTCAAGATAACTTTCGTATTTCATATAATTTTTAAACAAAAAATTATCCCATATTCAATTTACATTTCGTTAATGACATTAGTTCGAAAATGCTAATTAAATTTTGAACTCGCATCTGAAGGAATTTGATCGCTTTGAATGCAATAAAAATACTTCAAATAGAATGGGAAGTATACCTCTATAATGTTAGTGTTTGTAACAATAGGTATTATTAATAGGTATGGTGTACCCCTTCCCTTTAAACAGCTGAGAAAAGCTGGTTAAGGGACTAAACACATGGTGGGCCTCTACACCAGGGTGTAGGCAATCCAAGGAGGTTATGTCATCCCTAGGCACAAAGCTGATCAGCCTTATTTCCATTTCATTTCTAGGTATCACTGACAGTCCCCTATGCAGACCATGCATAGAGGCCGAAGAAACGGTGGCATATGTGCTCCTTGAGTGCACAGGTGTCGTCCAGATCCACAGCAAGACTCGGTATACCGGAATCTCTCACAGATACCCTGAGAAGACTGGGAAGATTGATCTATTTCTGGAGGGAGGTGGCTGGTTGGAGTAATCGACCGCTATGGCTCATGTACAATGGTTCACTTAAGGATTTAGTGCGGAAACCATATCCTTTAACATAGAACAATAGTTATAGTCCCGAGTTTAAATTGTGTGATAGTTTCTGCGACCCATTTTATTTTGAGGAAAAAATCTAGGTTATATATCACAAACTGTGCCATAGCTCTTTTGAATGCCAAAATCCAAGTTACTGCACTGCGTTCCAAAAGTACGAGTAGTTTAAAGTATTTATCTCGTTGCAATGCGAAGTTAGAAAGAATAACTGCAATGCGGGAACATTATTATATCCAAGAGGTATTTAAATGATGGTATTTTAAAATAATGTCAAAAACAAAAGCAATGCGATTTCATACTTTATACTTAATAATCTGATTCCATTTAAAAATGGTCGTTAAATTGAGATGATTATATTACTATCACAAATAAAGTGATCAATATCTACTTAAATAAAACTCAAAAATTAATTAACGTCACTCAGTGAAAGTGGCCGTAAAAGACTAAGACAAATTCAAACATATATATTAATTTTAATCAAAAAGTCTTGTTACAGTAGGTACTCAAGTTGTTCATTGTCTTAACATTTTAACCAAAAATATATTATCACTTAGAGACATCAATGAAATTAAATGCATAATTAAGTTTTCTTATTACAATGTTATCGCAAAAAAGGACTTACTTTTAAATAGCATAATAATTCTTTAAGCAAACCAGTGGTGCCCTAACTCCTCTTTCAAACTTAAAAGTTTTGTTTCTCTGTGAACCCATTTTCCACATTTTCCAATGTCATACGCGAGTGCCTAAGTTATTAAGTTTAGTTCTTTCTTTTCATCATAGTAGAGCAAGCAAGCAAGGAATGACAATGGAGTCATTTGCTGTCATCTTTATATAAATTATATAAAAAAATACACGAAAGGAAGGGCAATATGTTACACTTTTCTTTTGTAACAATAATCATATGAAATATAAAACGTCACCATTTACTGAACACTCGTCCCCTTACCAAAGAGGGGTTAGACCCTTCACATAATGATCCCATCGTACGCATCATTACAACAGGACATCCAGAAAGCAAGTCTTAATATAATGAGTGACATTTCCAGAGAGTTTGAATAGATGTTAAATAATAACATACCCTATATAAGAACTTAGCATTCAAATAGGGTCGAGAACATAGATGAGATAAATAGAAAAATAAATAGTTTTGTTTGACCCAATTTCAGTCCCTTTTCCGATGTGGATTTTTTCACATAGCTTCGTCGCCCTTATACATTTCATATATATAAATAAATAAATAAAATAAATAAATATATTCACATTCTTGGTGCCACATGCAAAGACAGATGATACTGTAAACATTTATGTTATTTTTATGAAAATTATGTCATTCGGAATACTTTTTAAAAAACACAATGTAATAGCGAGCGATTTAAAGAGAAACCAAGAATACAAAACAACTTTCTATTTTAAATAAAATAATTTTGAAAATCTTTTGAAGTAGTTATATTTTCACGCACTCTAAACGGGTTATGAATTTTTACATTATTCTTGAAGGTTTCGGATCAAATACAGGTTCCGTGGTCACAACATTGTGGCCACAAAAGTAGTTACGATAGAATAGAGGATTCGTCAATCTCATAAATTGCTATTGTCTCGTTTGTAAATTCTAGCGATGTAATTCGTATTCAGAAGGCTTGCGTAATCAATGTTTATTCAGTGTTCGTGGAACTCTATCTCCCTCCGCGTTCGGTTGTTTTTCTACAATGTTGGGTGTTAACGGTGGGGTGTCGTTGGAACTGCGGGTGGAAGTCGACGAACTGCCTGCCGGGAAACTTCCAAGACGC